CGCGCATAATCCCAAACGCGCGACCGAGGGGGACCGGGGGTTTACGGTGTGGCCGGGGTGGTTTGGTGCATCGACTGTAGGTTTGCAGAAAAACACCCGAGCGGGAGCCAACATGCCACCGTGGTAGTGGCACACTGTGGCCTGTGGCCTGTGGCCTGTGGCCTCGTCTGGGCTCTGTCGCGACGAGGATGCAGCATGCTTGCGATGTCGCGTTCCTCTGGAGCTTGACATGTCGCGGCAGACATACAGTACGGCAGACACATTGGGGGCCCAGCATGGCCTTCGGGGACTGAAAATCCACAATGCAGCAGCTGCTGCTGACGCTGCTGCTGCTCCTTCTCAACACGGCACACAGTTTTACGTTGTTACGCTTCTTTTGCACACCGCATGCACACACCATATGAAGCAACTGCCGATACTGTTTCGTCCTCGTGGAACCTGGCACCTGGCCACCTGGCCTGCGACAAGCAAGGCCCGCATGCGGTGATGTGAAGGGGTGTGGGTATGGGTGGGTGCACGGGACCAGCGGTGTCTGTACCTTTGTCGAGCGCGGTCACAAAAGGTCAAAGGTCAAGGTCAAGGTCAACCAAAGGTCAACCAAGGTCAGTACCTCGTCTCATTTGGGGGTGTGGCACAAGTGTGTGAATATCGTGAAGAGGGGTGGACAGACTAGAGACTAGACGTAGCGCCAAAAATGGTCACGGCTGTACGGCTAACACTGACACACACCGTGTAAGCAGCCATTAGTGGAAACTGTATTTCGTCTCTTTGGCATGTTGTGAGAACTGGGGGAACGGGCACACACAGACCGACGCTCGGGTTGCCATGCTCACGCACACGATTGATGACATTCTTGGCAAGTGTGAATGCTGGCCGCACGATCGCCGTCTGGATCTGGCTGGGCTGGCGATGGCCACTTGGCCACTTGAGTTATTGTCTTGAAGCATAAACCCAGAGCATCGGGGGTCGGCGGCCAGTGCACCGCACACGTGCTGCCTGGCGTCAAGCGATCATTCCATTGTACTGCACTGCTGTGGTCTGGGACCATCAGCGATCAGCGATAGGCAGCATGCAGTGGGGGTTCCGACGTTTAAACGGCATGGCATGGAGCTGGGCCCATGGGCTTTGCTGGCGCCCATGGCCTCGCCCGCGCCGTGCCACATGCCTCGAGACATACAACCACCCATCAAACTGTATCTCGGTGACCGGCCGTCCGTGTGCCCCCAGTTGCATGCCACAACCCCCCCGTCCACTCGCAGCGAGGTAATCAGGCAGATTGCACGAGAGCCCGCTTCCGTTTCCTGGCGTGCGTGCGTGCGTGCGTTTGTCGGGGGGCGGTCGGGGGCAGATCCAATGCAACGCGCAGCAGAGCTTGGACATGGGTAGTCGCTCGCGCTCGCATCCAGAGACGACGAGACGAGACGAGACAAGACCAGCCGGAGACGGAGACGGAGACAGAGACGGGCAGAGGCGCAGGTCCAGTACAGGTCCAGTGCAGGTCCACTTGGTCCCCAGGGCGAACATGAAGGATATTGTGTGGCGACTGTGGCGTCACAGCGCAACCACTTCTGGGGAAGTGCTGGCTGCTCGGGACTGGGGGGGGGGGGAGGGAGCGCAAGCGGACGCATGTGTCGCCAAGGACAGCGTCAGAGGCAGTCCGTTAGCGAGTGCGAGCGGCCGACCCGTTCAAACGCTTCGTAAAAAGATGGCACCGAGAGGTACGTGGATACGAGACGTGTTCCTTTCTGCATTGGGGAGAGGGGAGGGAGGGCCACCGTGCTTGGCAGCAAGCAGCAGCAGCAGCAGCGTGTGCCAGTGCCAAAGAGGGGAAGCGAGGGGAACCGCTGGGCGGCGCGCGGTCGTGGCGTTTTGGGTGTCTAGGCAGGAACGGTTCATTCGGGGACCTTAACTGTGACCTTAGCCTTTCTTGAACTTATGGGGGGGGGAGGGTGTCTTTTCATGCCGGATGGATGCCTTTTTTTGCGTCACGGGCAAGGATCAAGGATGACGATGGGATACAACGAGACCAAAAGAGGCCGAGGTACGAAACAAAAAGACCCAACCACACGCTCACGGCGTTGCCGGCCGACCCGACCTGCCGTGACCGCCGAGCGCTTGTGGCCCGGGGGCAGAGGGGCTAGAGGGGGAGAGAGAGGGGAGGGGAGGAAAGGTACGGTGAAAGGGGAGGGGAAATATCATGGTTGCATGGTCGCCTGTTGCGTATGACGTCTCCGTCGTGTGTCTCTCGTTGTCGTCCTTTTCAATCAGTTTGGCCGGCCAGTGGCCAGTGGCCGTGGGATGCAAACCTCCCTCCCTGGGCACGGAGCGTACCTTAGATTTGAGGTCGCTCGTTCTATGGGTGGGAGCAAAAAGCAAGAACTCTGTTTTTTTTTGCTTGTTAGGTTTTCGTTGTCCGAATCGCCTATTTGGCGCGGCGCGCTTGCTGCTTTGAGGCAAAAAGGGGCAAAAGCATGCAGCCTGTGTCGGAGGACGTGACACGGGGGGGCACACCGCCGGGAGCGCTTATTTTTGGCCGCGTCATGTCCATTCGACCGTGCGCGCGCGCGGGCGATGTTATGTTATTATGGCACACGGTAGTGGGTCAGTGTGTGCGTGTGATTGTCGTTTGCGATCGTGGCGGGGGTCGCCTGGGCTGGGGCTGGGGTTATGGGGATGGCCTGGTGGCTCGTGGCTGGTGGCTCATGTCATGCGTGTCACCTTGTTTTCTCGCTCCCATGTTGTCACGAACGACGTTGGATGCGTGCGATGCGAGTGTGAGTGTGCATGTGTTGTGGATGTGGTGCGGCTGCGGCCGGGGGAGACCAGGGCAAGCGGGTTGAGCGGCATGGCGCTTTACGTGAGTGATGCGCCGTGTGGTGGCCACGAGGTATGGCCCGATTCTGATATTCTGTCCTGTGCACGCATGTCATCGTTGCCATTGACATTGATGGGGCCGATGGGGCAAGGTAGGATGGCTACGGTGCGGTACCGGGCCGGATAGGGGGAGGCTTTGGATGTGGGTTGTGTACCCGAGTCATCCGGGTTGAAATGAGAGGAGACGTGAAATGTGACCACAGGGGACGATGACACGAGCGACAGAGAGCGCTAGAGAGCTCGAGAGAGATACGATCGAAAGGGGCCAGGTGGTGTGCAAAGGCTGTGGCCGTTGTGGGTGGGGGAGAGGGCGATTGGGATTACCTTTTTTTTGCTGAAAACGAGGAACGAGATGGGCCGTGCCTGAGTTATGTCTCTCGCGTGTACGTCTCGGTAGACAGGGTTTGGCACCAAAGGTGGGGGGAAGGGGGACGGGGTGGTGGAAGCAAGAGCCTGGCGTGTCACCGCCGTCTCACACGTACACACGCGTGTGACAGCAGGACGATGCGGTGTGTGTGGATGCATATGGCCCATTGTGGAGAGAGAGGGAGAGAGAGAGAGGGAGAGAGGGAGAGAGAGAGCTGAGAGACTGATGCTAGCGTGTTACAGAACTGGATGGTGTTGGGGGAGAATGAGATGTAAGCAGCCAACGGGTCCCTTGAATCGGGGTGGGTAGTAGCGCTGTAGCCACACCACCCACACACCCACACTGGCGCACCCACTCTGCCACTGCACACGCGCGCGCGCGTGTATGGTGTTATTGAAGATGCACTCTAACCCCTGAGTGAGCAGTGGAGGAGGAACGGACAGAGGGAAGACACCCACCCACCAGGTACCCCCGGCCGCTTGCCCCCTTCCCCCACCCACCCACCCCGCCCGCCTTGCCGCCCCCCGGGGCTGTCATGTCTGGTTTCCCGTGTGTGATGCAAACTAGCGTGCGCCGGCGTTGACAACCCCCCCAAGCAGCAGCAGCAGAACGACACTGAAAAAGCACGCGTTCCTGGGCGGTGGGTGCTGCTGGAGCTGCTGGCCTCCTCCTGGCCTCCTGCTGCTGGGATGCGCACGCGCGCTGCCTACCCACCGACGGCCACCAGGTCCCAGCGACAGACACACTCACACTCTGCGGCCCACACGCTAGTTTAGCACACACTGTACACACATTCTCTCTGTCCGCCCCGTCTCCTCTTGGTCGCCCACACACTCTGCATGTACACGCACACACAGTACATAGATGGTGACAGACAAGCTCGGCTCCCCCTCTCCCCGTTCACTTTATAGATATACCCCCACCTCGAACACCCGACCGCGTGCTTCTTCAACAGGCAGTGCTCTTTACTACACCGTCTCTCGCGCGCTCAACGACCACCACCTACACACCCACACCACACCCACACCCACACCCACACCCACACCCACACCACCTCCTCCCCACCCTCCCCTCCCTCGCCGCCAACAGCCAGCTGTCCGACGTCATCCATCCACTTGAACGGCCCCGTTGCTGACTCCCCCCCGGCCCCCCTCGGAAGCAATATTTGCCGTGTGCCCGTTGTTGGCGTCGTCCGCCCTCGCTGCAATCTTCCCGTCCGTGTCGCCCATTTTGGTGCTTCACACAGACGACAACAACGACGGCGACAACGACAACGACGACCACCCCCACCATCGGTCCTTGCCGCGTGCAGGTTCGGGGTATCCCCTCTGCCCCGCAGCCGCCGCTCACACAAAGAGGCCACCGGGTGCTAGACCACTATAGACGGAGCTGCGCGCGCACCCCCAGGCCCACAGCTCGAAACACAACACTGGTCCATCGCGTGCTTCTCGGCCACCCCGGGTGCCTCCCAAGTCACCACTAGCGTCCTTCTAGCCCGCCGCGCACCCTCTCTCCCATCCGACACCCGTGCCCATCACCATCCATCCCCCCCATCAGTCCAACTCTGGTTGGTAACGCACTCTCTCTCTCAACACCACCACCACCAGCACCACCACACCACCACACCACCACCCCCACCTACCCTCCACTCACCGCCTTGCTTCCTTGCTCACCGCCTTCCTCGCCTTCCGTCCCAACCTGATGTTGCCATTGTTGCCTGCACCCCCCGACCTCTAGTGCCACCCGCTTCACCGTCGACATGCTCGACCTAAACGTCTCCTCCAAGATCGGCAACGCCGTAGGCTCCTTCCCCCACCAAGGTGAGTCTCGCACATGTGGCGCCAAGCGGCAACCACCGCCGCAGTCTGTTTCTCTCCCTCAACTGACCACTCCCCCCCACCCCGCAGGCTACTTTGGCGTCACTCCCGTCGTCCTGGATGGTACCGTGCACACCCGGCTCGCGGCCGGTGCCGAGCCGCTCATGGTCCGCAACGTCACCATGCTCGTCCGGTGCTACGAGGTGCGCGAGTCTGGCCCATTTCGTTCCAGCCGCGAGAACATTCTCTGGGAGCGGCGGCAAGACCTGTTCTGCCCACCAGACGGTAAAGACGCAGTCTCCATCCCTACCGAGTGGGAGCGGCCATTCTCCCTCACCATCCCGCCCGAGGCTGCCGAGCATGCGCGCGGCACAAAGTCGATGCGAGAGTGGCGCGTCAAGTGGCGTCTCGAGGCCGTCGTCAACCACAAGCCCATCCAGTATGTCGGAGACCGCGTCGCAAAGGCCTTTGTCCTCGACCTCCACAACCACCGCACACCACAGACCCCACCACCGTCCACAGCGGCAGGCGCGACCATTGGCGCCGGTCACACGTCCACCCAGCTCTTTATCAACCCGCCCCATGGCCCGTTTGGCCCGGGCGACATTATCCCCATCTCCCTGTCGGCACGGCCTGAAGACTACGGCTCGTCCATCCGCAAGGTCCAGGTCATTTTGGACCGACGACTGGAAATGCTCGACGACAAAATGTCTCCGCCACATGCGTCGTCGTCGTCGTCTCGCAGGCCGTCCCCAACACTCGACGACGGGCAGGGCAACAAGTCGAAGCGCATGTCGTCCATCTTCCTCCGGGGTTCATCGCCACGCTCTGCTTCGCGGCTAGCAGACGACAACAACGAGCGCGTCAACGTCACGCGCATCGCCGAGGCGCCGTGCGACATTTCGTCTGCCGGCGACAGCGGCGCCATTTGGTCGGTCGGCTCGATCCAGCTGCCCCGCCGTGGCAACCGATGGGACACGGGCGAGACGGAACGCACCGAGTTTGCTGCCGTCTCGTTTGATTTGCGAATCAAGTTGACGCTCAAGACGAAACGGGGCACGTCCGAGCTCGTGTCTGCGCCAGTGCCTGTCGTAATTGTTGGCGCCACCACTAGCGAGCGCGCTACTGCTCAGAACGCCGCCGCCAACAGTGCCTACGAGACGTCGCGCAGCATGGTCAAGGCGAAGCGCAGTCGAAACCGTCACTCGGTGTACCAACAGCACGACGTCGTCCACTTTTCGTCGGGCAGCACACTCAAGGGCGGGTCGTCTAGGAAGAGTCTCACGCCGTCACCGCCATCAAGGTCCACAATCAACCTCGGCATCATCAGTCCTCCTCCGCCTCCTCCCGTGGTCGTCGCCTCGCGCCGCATCCCCAGCGCCGAGGACCTCGACAGCTATGCCGACTGCGAAAGGGAATCGTCGCTCGAGTCGACCCCGTCGTCTCACCGCGTCACCCTCCCGCCACTCCAGCCCTACTACCCGACCTGCGCCACCCCGGCGCCCAGTACCGGTGCGGACAGCTCGAGCTCGAGTGCAGTTCTGTCCCCTGACGCGCCGACAGATGAGTACGAACACGTGTACCAAATCCGCCAGCAGTCGGGACGGAGGATATCGGCCACCACGAGCGACGACGAGGAAGACTTTCAGCCGTCGCGGTCCCGCCCAAAACTCCACGCGACACCCGCCGAGCTCTACCCCGTCCCCGGGATGCCGTTTGGTCTACCGTTCCATGACCCAGCGTCCCCGTCGCACCCGGCGCCGGCGCACATGCCCATCCCCCCCGCCCGTGCGCAGGCAGCCCCTGCCGTCGCTGGACGCTCTGGGCTTTGGGCTGCCACACGTCCCCGAAGAACACCGCCCGCTCCGTCGGCCTCGGACAGCACCCACATCGTTTGGCGTGTACACTGCCGCCGCCAAACCTACTTCCTTCCCCAGCGGCGGCCCACCACCCGTCCAACGGCCCAGCACGTCCAGTGGACCTGGGTCGCGGTCATCGAGCTTTGCATTTGCCCTGCCACCGCTCCCAGAACAGCGAGTGTCCGAACCACGCCTGCGATAGAAAAAAACAAAACAGACATGCCCACACACAACTGCCCACCCACCATAATACCCGCACACTCGGCACACGCACCGGTTGCGCCTGTCATCTAGTTTTACCACCAGACCTCTTGATCTGTCTTTTTTTTCTCCTTTACGAACATTTTTTGCCATACAGTATCATCCACCACACCACCACCACCACAACTACATTTAGCGCCCCCACCGGCATTTGCCCCTCAACCCAACTCTCCCCATCTCCCATCTCCTCCATGACGGCAAACCCCCCTCGGCCAGTGCCCACCCTGTCATACACGCGCACAGCGCACTGTTTCACGCAAACGTAGCATTACAAACTTGCATGTATCTAGATTGCACCACGCGAGCGAGCGAACGCGCGAGCAGGGCTGTGGGGCGACTCGACTCTCTTGACCTAGGAAGTGTCTATCGGCACGCCCGGCACGCACGCATCATGTGCACATGTCACTATACTGGGCGTCACTGGCGCAGCACGCTGCGGGCCGATACTGGCCACTGCCCGGCCACTGGCGAGCACCGGCGCGAACGCGAACGTGTCTCACGTGTCGGTGTTGCGCCGAGTAGCCCGAGTAGCCCGAGGTGTGCTGGGGGTGGGAGGGTGATATTTGGCCGAGACGTGCCGATACATGGCAAACATTTGCCCCTGATCCTGATTGCTGCCCGAACACATGCCAATTGCCCGCCAATGTGCCGAGATGGGGGGGGGGGGGGGCGACATGGCTCACACCCCGCCACACCCCACCACGGTGTCACAACGGCCACACACCCCGCGCACGCCCGGGCGCGCCCGCGCGCCATGCCGTACCATGGCTGACTCAGGCCGTACTCGCGGGCGGGGGGCCTGTCACAGCGGCAGTGGCAGTTTCAGTGGCAGCGCAGCAGCGTGTAGTGGTGGCCAGCGCATTGTCTCGGCGTTTGCTTTGGACCTATCTGTGCGCCGAGGGCAGCCTGCTGCGTACAAGCCGATGTGCGTGAGTGTGTGTGTGTGTGTGTTGGCGTGTTGGCGTGTTGGCTCTTTTTGTTTCGTCTTTGTCTGTGTCTTTGTTCTTGTTCGCGCCCCGCCCTGTTTTCCTCCGTTACAACCGTGTTCTGCTTGCAGCACAACTAGCTAGCTATAGCTAGCCGGTGAGCTAGTGCTAGTTAGAGAATGCGGCGGCCACGGGCCCCTGCAGCCAGGACGGTGCCACTGCCCACTGCCCACAGGCGCGCACGGCGGCTATGTCGTTGTGCATCAAAGCCTGGCTCGGCGTCTCCGCAGTTGGACCGTACTGTACGGCTTGGCACGAGTGATCGCCGTCATTGCAAAAACCTGAGCCATCACCGTCCTCCCCCCACTCAATCGTCACCACACACCTGATATCATTGGTAGGCTGTCCCTATACTAATTTCCGTCCCCTTAGACGGGCCATACGGGCAATACGGGCTAAACATGGCCCGTCCGCACCCACACCGCACCGCTCCACACCGCACCGCTCCGCACCCTCCACACCTACCGGCGTCCGCTGTGTCGTCTACGCAGGCTGCAGGCTGTGAAGGGTGACGGGTGGGTTCCCTTCCGCCATGACCCGCCCGCCCGCCCACGGGCCACGGGCCACGGGCCAACGCCGGGCGATCAATCGGCCCCCCCAACGCCTCGATCCTCGATTTCTTTTTATTTTGCTGTTTTTTTTGGCAACCCGGCCATCCCTTGATCCCTTGATCCTCCTTTGATGCCTCACCGCGTTCGGACCTCAGGACAAGGCGGCAAACAAAAAAATGAAAGCATCCAGACTCACAAAACGTCGCTCGACGCCGCCGCCACTGCGGATATCCTGCAACGGGCCACCACGGCCACCACAGGACATGGCCGGCCTGCGTCGCGGTCGCAGTCGCAGTCGCCCCAGACGAGAGATCCAGAGATCCAGAGATCCAGAGACTTGCGGTGCATGAGTCACACACGCACCTTTCCTGCATTTCCTGGCCGCGCCAGCGCTGGAGCTGGCATGACCTAGGACCTAGGACCTGTTCATGAACCGCATGGCACATCCCCGCCCCCCCCCTGAAACTTCATTTTTGACACCTCAAACTCGTCCTGATCCAACGTTCCACAGGCCACAAGGCCACAAGGCCATAGGGATGAAACCGATTGGCACGTAAAAGCTATTGTGGTATTCTCTATTCCTCGTCCACTCACACACACTCGACTGTTTCGTGTTCGTGGACGTGGAGCCTATCGGGCCATCGATGGCGTCTCCTGTGTTCAACAGGGTCCCAGTGTCCCTGTGTACCGTGTGCTCCCTTTTTTGGCTCGTTGCAATGTCCAAACGACACTAGCCACCTGTGTGCCGGCCGTTACAGCACGCTAGCTAGCTAGCTAGCATTCGCATGCATTCGCCCCCGCCCGTGCCGTTGGATCGGTGGGTGCGCACCCCACACCACACCACACCGCGCGCTCGACCTGAAACAGGACAGACTGCCAGGCCATTCGAGGATCGAGGACAACGCCGTGGAAGTGGCGCCGACTACTGATCTCCCTTTTGCCCCCTCATCCCCGGCCCGCCCGGACAAGGGTAGCGGGGCATATGGGTATATGCACACGCAAATTGTGCCGAGACGACGGAGTCCCCGGCGCGCTCGCCGGCAAGGCTGGCGTCGCGGCCTCGCTAGTCTCGCTGGCGCGGGCAAAGGGTCTCGACACCGAAACCACTCGCTGTACCCCGCACAGGCCAGTTGTCTCTTGTCACGGTCTCGGTCCACGTCGACTGGCACTTGTAGCCGCAAGGCCGCAAGGACACGAGGGCCACGAGCCGCGCCGCGGCGACATGTCGTTGCACGCTAGCAGCTAGCACGAGGTCCGTGCAGGCTCTGTAAACCTGTGGCCTGCGGCCTGTGGCAGTCCTCTTTGCTCGCAGCGACATTGACGGCGGTGCTGGTGTGTGTACATGTACGGATCCGAATGAGTTGCACCAAACACCGGTACACCGGTACACCAGATCGTCACGTTGCGGCACAACCTTGGAGCAAGACATGAGCTGGCCGTGGCCGTGATAACCTCTTTACCCCCTTGTGGAAGAATCCGTCGTCGGCGCTTGCCTCCACGTCGTGTGCTACTTGCCGCAATCCAAACTTGTGCCACGGTGGTGGATGTGCGTGCCGGCTTGCGTCGTTTGCAACATGGCCGAGAACTCGACGCGGAACCCCACGTAACCCGACACAGCAGTGCATACCATCCACCCACGCATGACGGCCTCGCGGCCATGAAGACTCTCGGGGCCTTCGTCAAGGCATGGTCGATGAAGTGAGGGGCGCTACCCACCGCCACACGAACGCGAGCCAGCCGAGCGACAGGTATGGGAGACGGACTCCATCCCGGGCACTGGGCCTGGCATCCGCGTGTGGAATCTCATAGTCCTCGAGGAGGCGAGGAGGCTGCCAAAAGCGACTTTGTAAGTAGTCTTGCATGTATCTTGCAAATCTTGGCTTGTCCAAAAACGACACACGCAGATACCGACAAACGCCCCGTCCCATTTTCAGCTCACCGCCACTCTCCTTCCCCCGTCACCTTCAACTCAACCGACCGACACCTCTTGCCCCCCCACCCATCCCAAACCGTGCAAAACATGGCCCCGACCGCAAAAGATCCAAAAGGGACAGCTCTTGCGAACCACAGCTTCTCCGCCAGGGAGTTGAACCCTGCTCTACCGCGACCTAATCCTATTAGGAAAGACTCCCTATTGAGAGGCGGTTATACTAACCGATATACTAGCGAAGAGGCGATGTATACTTGTTTGGAAGTGCCGTGGGCATCTGGGACGCGTTTCTGCACGTCGTCCTGATGTGTTCGGAGGAGATTTAGCTGTTGGACGACAAAGAAGGAGGTGATCAGGTGGATGGGTGGCGGAGGAAAACGAGGAAAACGAGGTTTCGCGTGACTGAGCCCTGAATTTTGGCGACTGAAAAAAGTGGCAGTCGAATGGGTTTCTCGACGAGGTGGAGCTGCTCATACGTGGATCACGACGGCAACCTGTGACGATACTGCATCGCTGATGCCCATCAGACGCTGTATCGGCTCGTTGCCTACGGAGGGAAATGGTTGTCCGGTGCCAGAAAGGTGTGTATTTCCTTTGGCCAAAATAATAATCCGCAGAAATATCAAATTTCGTGAAGCGGTGTCCATGTCTGCTGCTGACGAACGTTTGCGCAACCTGTGGCTGTGATCAAGGCTCGTTATGGCGGTACCAGTGGGTCCTGGTGGGCACTGTGATGGTCAAAGAGTGCCGTCGGGTGGCCATCACCGGTATGCCCAGGTGTCGCCCCGGTTTCCCACAGAAGGGAAGGATTATTTGCCATCTTCCCGTTCCTTCTTCCTCGCCATGGCTCCTTGTACTTTTACAATACACCCTCCAGCCACCTCTTCTCTCTCTCAACTCCATACCCAAATGTCCAACTGGGGTCCAAAGGGTCTCAGCCTCACGCTGGCACGTACGTTCCAGTTGTCAAGTTCCTACTGCAGCTGACACCAGTCTCCCCCCCACTCAGTCGGCGCCAGCGTGCTGCTCGTCGCCACCACCCTCTCCGTGCCCGTCACGAACCGCATCACGGTATTCACCGTCACGGACGACACGGTACAGGCCGAGTTTGGCCTGTGGGGTGCATATTACCGGAACCTGCGGTACGTCTGGTCGGAGTAGGACCGTCACTCTGTCGCCTGACGCGGCGCCACAGTTCTGGCAGTTACGAAACCACGTCGCCAGCGCTGGGGTATACCCTCCACACGCAGTGGCTGTCCCTCCTCTCCAACGACGACGCGCGCTCGGTCAACGCGGCGGTGCAGACTCTCTCACGGGGCGTCGTCCTCGCCCCGCTGTCTGCGGCGCTGGGGACCATCACGGCCGTCATGGGCGTGCTGGCCATGGGCCTCGCGTCGCCAGTGCTGGGAATGGTGAGCTTTGGCGAGTCGTATGGTCGGAACGTGGTGGCTCACCGCTGGCCCCGGCGGCCTCGGGTTACAGGTCGCGTTCGTCCGCCTGGTGCTTGCGGGACTGCTGGGATGCGTGGCGTTCCTCCTCATCCTCACTCTTGGCCTCGTACGTCCACGGCCACGTTCACGGCCACGGCCAGCAGAACAAGCCGACCTGACCTCCCCCTCCTCCAGTTCGTCCGCAGCCGCTTGCTACCGGCGAGCAACGGCGCATACGCCGTCCACCTCGGGAACGGGGCCTCGCTCTCCCTCGGCGCGAGCGTGAGTCCAGGTAAACCAAGCTCCCCCATTGTTGACCTGGGGAACACACAGATCCTGTGGATGCTCGCCATCGCGCTCACCCTCTTCTCCAACTGCGCCGGAGCGGCCGGCGCCGCATCAAAGTCGTCCGACGAGTAAGTACCCCAGTTCCCCCAGCTCCCCCAGTCCCCCAGTCTACGCAGGTACACAAAAAAGTAACCCTGCCTCACAGCTCAAGCAGCGTCTTTCAAAAGGCGAGCGAGTGTACCGCGGCCACGCCGTTCACCGACTTGCCCGTCCGCCAGCCCCGCAGGGCAAAGTACGCCAGCTCGTACTAGACTGTGGAAAAAAAAATGAAATGGGTTGGATTCATATGCGAGAACATGACAAAATGAGAGAGAGAGACAGTGTGTGTGTACAAGCAACAGTGTTAAAAGGTGTCGGGCAGTGAGTGGGTTTGTGGTCGGGGCGTGGTGGTTCGTGATTGTGAACGATGCAGTGGACAAAATGCTGTGGTGTGTGAGAGATATCGCCTTCAAGGTCTAGCCTAGCGCCGCGGCATGAACTTTGGTTTGGGCTTTTTCGCAAACAAGACACTCTCGAGGTCCTTGTTGGTCCTCGGGGGCGGTGTCGCGCGGTGAAGCGGCGGCGTCGCGTGCCCTCCAGCAGCAGAAGCAGTAGCAGCAGCAGCAGCAGTCGCCTCGGGCGTGCCGTCTGCCTTGTGGCGTTTCGCCTCGCTGGCAGTGGTGCTCGCGATTGCTGCAGCAGCGCGCTTGACAGGGCTAGCAGTGGAGCGCATGGGTGTCGGGGCCGAGAAAAAGTCCAAAGCCTTGCGCACGGGTTTGGGAGCTGCGAAATTGCCGACTTGCGGACGGTGGATGGGCCGGGCTTCCCTCGAGTCCCGTGCGGGGTCGATACGGAACCTCTCTGCGGACGACACGGGCTGTGTCGAGTGGCCGTAGCCTGCAGTGATAGCTGTTGGGGCTACAGTCGGTGGGCGAGGACGCGTCTCGGCGGTTGGGGTCGGGTACGCCCCGGCGATAACGGTGGGTGGTGGACGCGGGACACGCGGAGCTGGGAGGCGAGGGCCAGAGACGGGAGAATAGCTGTTGGCCGCGGCGATGAGTTGCGCGTTCGTAGCCGAGTTGGGTATGTAAGGGTTACGAAACAGGTCGCTATCGCCACCAAACGTTCGGGCTGTACGCGTCCGAGGAGGTGGGGGAACGTACTTGCCCGACGCGTGGGTGAGAGCCACTCTAGCGCGCGTTGCGTCGTTGCGTGCTTTGGCCATGGCAGTTTGCATTTTGGACGGGCCAGGGCCTGATCCCCAAGTGGACGTGGCCGCAGCACCACGGCGGACAGATGAGAACGAGTGCGCAGAAGACGAGTAGCCTCCAGACCTGCCACGCTTGGGGGCGATGAGCTCGTCCATCACGACGATTCGCTTGGACGCGCGTTCGGCCTCGAGTTGGCGGTATCGCTCCGCCACCCGCTCTGCCGCGAGTTGTTTACGCTCCTCGGCGTCGACCACAGCTTTCTGAAGAACATGTCAGCTGAGTCGCTATTATCGCAGCCCCGTAGCTCACCTGGTACATTCTCCTCCAACCAGACGTCCGTTGCTGTCCCTTCCTCTCTCTGCAGCTCCCATAGTAGACCGGGTAGTCTTCGACGACGAACCGCTCCCACAGCCAGTCGGTATCCTTCTTGATATGCTGGGGACATGGGTCAGTTACACCGAAGCTCAAGACATGCCTACCCACTGTCGAGTTATTCTCAATCTCCTCCAGCTGATCGCGATTGCACCCATCAAGAAACTCTGCGACCTGCGTGTATTCCAGTCCTCCAATGTCCCAGATACGACCAGAGTTGCGTCTAATCACTGGTATTTGTCAGCTTACCGTGTCCTTGCACCCCAGCTGCTCACCTATGTTGCACTGTGCCCGGAGGCTCGACACGCCCATGGCCGGCAGCGGCGTGGGCCGGGTCCGCAGGTCTCGAAGTTGGGCCAGGCGCTGGTCGACGGTGAGCCGTGGTTTATCGCCCGGCTGCAGGGTATGTGTCGTGATGGGCTTGTAGCGCTGTTCAGGCCGGGCGGGAATGAACGACGACGGGGGCGGCTGGTGTGTGCTGTGTGCAGCTACGCCGTCATTGTCGTCCACCTTTGAGGAACTGCCGACAGGAATACGCGTATCGCTGAATCCAGCTGCGGGCTCGTCGTCGTCGTCAGAGCCAAACAGGTCGTCGCCGACGTTGTCATTGTCCGACTCTTCTTCTTCGTCGTACTCTAGGTAGTCGAGTGCGTGCGGCATGTGGGGGGGAGGGATCGATGTGGGTGACGCGATGATAGTGGGTGAGTGTGTTCATATGCTTTTGGATCTCACCTCCACCGGGCCGGGGAGTCGCAGTGGTGGCAAGGTATACACTGATTTTCAAACGTCATTAAACACGAGGTTAGTCAACTCTAATGGTTCCTTATCACCGTTTACTAATGGCAACCAAGCCCTTTGGCGCTCTCATATCCCCACTTCTTCCTCGTCCCCTGACCGCCAGCCTGGCCAGCAAGCCCCCTGAACCGACAACACGGTGCGCAAGCAGGCAGACAAATGAGTATACATGGAGGGTAATGCAAAGAGAGAGAGAGAGAGAGATCCAAAAAAACACAACTACTGGCGGGCGGTCACAACTCGAACGGAGTGAATGTGAGCCACGAAGCGACCTGCGCGTTCGCCATTACATGACTGGGGGACAAGGTCAGCACAGGGCACCCGACAAACTCGTCTTGCCTTTGGCCTCTGGGGGCCAAGGGGTCGCACTCACTCGAGCAGCAGCCGGCGTCGTCGGCAGGCGCGTACGGGTCCTCGCCCTTCTGCAGAGGTCCCCAGACGGCTGGCAGCTGGAGGAAGGGGTCAGCAGGAGGTTCGCTCGCTTGGTTAGACACGTGATGGGAGACAAGATGCGTACCAAGGGGTCCCTAGTGTCCCGGCAGTAGTTGATCAGGCTATAGAGGGTCAGCTGCTTTCCGGTCACGCGTACAGCAGCAAAACACTCACTTCAAGCTTGCGAGCGAGACCATGACGCGGGGACGAACGAGCTCCTCGCGGAGACGGTAGTTGTTCTCTTGCAGACGCCTGAGCTTGAGCTCCGACATGGTGATCCTGGTTGCCTGGCGCGACATTGTGATGGGTAGGAAAGGAGTGTGTTCTTGTTGTTGTGGTGGTGGTGAGTAGTGGTGGTGCGAGGTGTGCGGGGTGGGGGTGCAAGGATGAGGGGGAGCGGTCCAGCTGCTCGGAGGGGTGCGGAAGAGAGAGGGAGATGGATGAGAGACGAGGAGATGAGATGGATGTGCTGTTGCGATGTGTGCGCAGTGTAAGTGGACGTGCGTGTTGCGTGTGGTGCGCGTCTGCAACAGCGAGCGAGGGTGAAAAGGCGGTCTGAGCGTCCGCACGCTTGGCACTGGCCCCCCACTTTGGAAACAGAGGCGAGGTCCGTGCTGAGATCCATGAGAGAGAGGGCTATGAGGGGGTTTTTGGGTGGCGTCCACAGGGTGGAGGGTGGAGGCCTTGGCCGGATGCGGGGTGTGTGGGGTGGGACATTTGGGTGGGGCCTGGGGGGGTCACAATGGGGGCTCTGGTTGACTCACCCACCGTGTGTTTTTGCCACCCATGGACGAATTTGCCACCCAGCCCACAAACAACCGGGGAGGCCTTCCCTCCCTTCCTCATTGTACTATTTCTTGTCGATGCATACATCTACACTCACCTTTGTCCATCTTCTCATCTCTCCATCACACACTTCTCTCTCCCTCCCCACTCACACTTCTCTCTCCATCCCCACTCACACTTCTCTGCACCATGTCCACCCAGCGCCAGTACCCCACACCCTACTTCCGCCACCCAGCCCCACCCCAGTCCAGCAACATCCAGGTCCGCAACCGCAACAACCCCTCCTCCTCGTCCCGCCGCCTGAGCCGCACCACCGCCTACCACCCACTCGTGACTCAGCGCCGCCTGTACCAGCAACCGGAGCACCAGCAGTACGACGACAACAACGACGGCGAATACGACTTCTCTGGAAGCTCGGCGTCGGAGTCTGGCAGCGAGACCGAGACGGACGAGGACCACCCTAAACGCAAGCGCAAGCACCGTGCCCGTGAGCGCCACCACGACGGCGCTCGTCCCAAGAAGCGCGTCGCACTGGACGGACACACTACGAAGAACTCTGACAACTCTGTTCCCCACATGATCGCGTACATCCAGGCTCACCCCGAGAAACTCACTGCAGAGCAACTCACAACCATCCGTCAGATCGGAGCTGGCCCCAAGCAGACCCACCGTGGTCTCGAGCAAGACCTCATGGATGTTGACGAGCAGGAGGAGGAGGAGGAGAAGGAGAGGAAGAAGCAGATTGACGACCTCTACGCGGACGGGTAAGCTAACAATTGCCTCTGAGGGCATGAGCTGACGACCTGGCAGCCTTCACGTCATCAGCGAACTGGACAGTGAGTTCACTCCGTCGCGTAACCAGCTGACAGCAGCCGTGTCCTCGGCAGTGAACTTCAAGACCAGCCTTGGCCAGGCCCGTGTCATTGACGACCTCGTCAAGGCGTTCAACCCCGTCATCAGTGCCTATGACGGAGAGAAGCTTGGGTGAGTTGGCCCAACATGCACTCCAACAGCAACTGACACTCCAGCGCGCACACCAAGACGTGGCTCCAGGCGGAGAAGGGTTCCCGCGCCAAGATTGACCAGTCCTTTGAGGGTGGAAGCATCAAGATGATCGCTACCAAGGTGGGTTTCCTCATTGTGGCCCTTGCACTGACCCATACCCAGGCCAAGGCGGCTGCCGAGGCGGCCAAGATCCGTGCTGCTGAAGAGGAGAAGAAGCGTCTTGTGCAGGAAGCTCTTGGCGACTTTGACCTTATCCGTGAGTTTGGCGCGCTTCGTCTAAAGCTGATTGCCAGTCGCTAACCAGGGTACCCATCTCAAGGGTCTCCGCACCGAGTTCTCTGACAAGGAGGCCACGTATTGCAACGAGGTGGGTCCAGTTGATGATGTATCGACACTGACCCCGCAGGCCATGAAGTTCCCCGACGCCGAGCAGATCAAGGAGCAGGTCACCAAGGAGGCCATGAGCCTCCTCATGCTCGTTTGAGCACAAGGACAGTGAGGAGTATACCGTACCATGTGTCTGTAGTCGTAGTTGCTGTACATAGTCAATAAGTGAATTCCCAAGTAGTCTGTATTATACAACATGCATGTCGGAGTGACCTGTACAGGTTCTAGTTGTGAGCAGCAGCTACCGGAGACCGAGAGCGGTCCATGGCGCAGCGGCGAACACTGCCTCATACCTGGAAGCAGTGAACGAGCCCATGCCCTTGGCATCCCTCGCGAGCCTGAGCAGTCCAATACCGACCACACCAACCAGCGTGGCGACAATACCCTTTAGGCCAATCCTCCGCGCCTTGCCAATCTTCCTCGGCGCGGCGCTCACGTCGCCCTTGACGGCCGCTGGCGCCTGGGCTTTGGACCTGCCCAGCACCCGCCTCGCCCAGCCGAGCACCTTCATCCCGCCGACAAACGCGTGGTACAGCCCAAAGCCCGTGAGCGCCAGGTAGCCAATGTTCATCCACACCCTCGACGCGGCCGCATAGCCGACAAACTCAAAGCCAAATTCGGACGGCGACAGGCCCGAGATGGGCGGCGAGGGCGACGCCGGAATCAGGCGGTGGAGGAGCAAGTGCGGGACGACGAGGGGCGCGAGAATGTAGCCCGTCATGGCGTGGGTGGACAGGTTCACCTTGCCCGTCTTGTAGGTGATGACGGCGCGGCGGGTGGCCGAGGACACGAGGTGGACGAACAGCGGCGCGTACACCAGCACTGGTTCCAGGGGAAGGTAGATTTCTCGGCCAAGTACCTGAGGCGAGAGGTCAGCTGTGAACGTGGAGGAGAACAGCCGAAGGGACGCACCATGACACCGTCAGCGGCATTCAAACCGCCCACAGCAGCCGCAAGTGGCGCGGCAAGGTGCAGCGTCATAAAGACGCCAAACGACAGTGCCGAGGCGTTCTGGGTATGTGTGAGGAGACGGAGGATAGAGCCGGACGTGGGGAGGTAGCGAGATGCCGATGGAGGCGACGAGGCAGTCGCCTTGTGGGCAGCATCGGGAGCTGCGGGCGGAGGGTGTCCTGAGTTGGAGTCGCCCATTGTTGATCTAAAAATCTAGGGGCGAATCTAGAGTGTCTGGAGAGAACGTTGCTGTTGCCGGCGGCAGGTTAAATGAGTGCTCTCGTGAAATGCTCGCCCTGCAAGTGGTCGATGGACGTTTCTTGTGCCGAAGTGTGGACGTCATGGAGGCCGAGTCACGTGTTTTGCACGTGTTACCATCGTTCCCGACCGGATCGGCGTTGGAGCCCCGCCGGAACAAAATATTCTCCCAAGTTGCAACTCAACGCCATGTTTAGGACTTTTGCCAGAGTCAGTCAATCAACGGCGAACTGGCCTGTCTTCTGTACCTTCGCTTCTCCCTTACACAAACACACCACCCACAAACACCATGACGCGTCAACCTGTGAACACTGGCGGCGACGACCTCGACGACGGCCTCGAGCTCGACGCCACCCTCCTCGCCTCTGACGACGAGGACCAGTTTGGCTCCGACGTCGATGTCGACGCCGAGGGCATGGACGGCGCCGAGTTCCTGAGCGACGACGAGGACGAGGCGCCCGCCCCGCGCGCCAGCAAGCGCAAGGCCGAGGCTGTCGACGGCGACGACGATGACAATGCCGTTTCGACCGGCGACGCTACGGCCGACGCTGCCGCCAGGAAGAAGCTCAGGAAGGAGAAGGAAAAGGCGCGCAAGGCTGCCAAGGTGAGCCGGAGTGGCCCGAGGAAGAGCAACGTGATGGGATATTGACAATGGTATAGCGCGCCGCACAGGCTGAAGAGACCGCCGTGGAGCCCACCCTCCTCACTCGCGAGGAGCTCGCTGGCCTCTTGCTCGACTCGGCTCGCGCCGCCTTCCCTTCTGGCACCGCCATGGAGATTGATGATGTCGCCGTCCCAGGTAAGTCTCTCAAGTTGGAATATTGATGTTAACACATGTGCAGCCGACCGCATCCTGTCTCCCCCCCGACACCCTCCCCGACTCAAACGGCGACGCGTTCGCGCCGCTTGTGCAGCGTCTTACGGACGGTACGTTGGTGGGTCCCTCCTTTTTTCCCCTCTCTTCACCGTTGCTCTGGCTTTTGGATATCGCCGAAAGCAGACTCGTCTCTCCTCCTCCAGCCACGTTGGGGCGTTGCTCCGTGCTCTGGTGGCGTGATAGCGCTATTGGAGGTTGGGCTGGCGCCGACACGGCCTAGCTCGTGGCTGAGCTCGCGGCTGGGTTGGGCGGCGCGGCGCGGCGGCTCCGGACCTGGGGTAGGGAGTTGCCCCACTGGCGACCCCACCCGGTGCTGTAGCCGTCGGCTCGGCCAATACCATCTCCGCGCTCGCCGTCGCGTCGAGCCGCAGTCGACTCGCGGAGCCCGAGTCCTGCGAGTCCTGCGGCCTGCGGCCAATACCGATAGGCCGTCCCAGCCCGCAGCCAAGCCGTATCCTCCACTAGCTAGCTCCACTTGCTCGCGCACGTGGTTGGACACCCCATGCCGTCATTGTTTACACCAGTCGCTGACACTTTTTAGTGCTGAAGGATGCCCCCAAGAAGCCTGCGGCCGGTACCCCACGTGCATTGATCATCTCGCTCTCGGGCATCCGCTGCGCCGACGTGATTAGGGCTGTCAAGTTCATCCCTCGTCCCGGAGGCGAGGTGGCAAAGGTGAGCGAGCCTGTGATCTGGAGGAAAACAAAGGCGTCACAAGGATTGGCAGGTGGCCCGATCTCGTCACCTGGGTCCCCCATTCCGGACCCTTTGTCCCCTCTGGCGCTGTCTTCAGCGTGTTGCTCTCAGCGCTAACGATCCAGCTCTTCGCCAAGCACTTCAAGCTCGTCGACCAGGCCAAGTACCTCGCCAAGACCCGCGTGGCGATCGCGGTCGGCACGCCTGCGCGCGTGGCCAAGCTCCTCGCCGACGGCTCGCTCAAGATCTCCAACCAGACCATTGTCCTGCTCGACGTGGGCCACAAGGACGTCAAGGAGCGTTCCCTCCTGACTCTGCCCGAAGTCCGCGACGAGCTGTGGAAGAGCCTGCTTTCGGGCCCCGCCAGGGCTGCGCTCAAGAACGCGCGGTTCACTGCCTTTTAAAAAAGGCTTCAACAAGACGCCTGACCTCGCCCCGACATGTCGCACCGGTCCCCCAACGCCCGCCCCATGTCGACGTTGTCAAACGCTCATTACACCCCAAAAAGGGAGACCAACGACCCAGCTTGGCCACTCCATCCCCATCCTTCAACGAATCCACAACACAAAACCCCAGCATCCTCAGCATCGGAATCCTCCCAGCACTACCATGCGCGCGCACACCCCCGTTGCCGCCCCGCTCGCCACTGTTCCTGTAACCTGTACGACAGTTACTGTATGCCCTTGATGATGCCCGCATCGCGCCTCAACTGCGCGACTATTACCCACCCACCAACCAGCCCGCCCGTCCCGGCTCACTTTAATAGACCTCTTTGATACCCCCTCATGTTGCGTAAATGTGACTAGTACCAGCTCCTGCTTCCTTTGTGGCACGGCACTGCTGATCCTTTCTGCTATGAGTCCTATCTTACATATTCCTTCCTCACACTACCACCACCGCCGGCCGTCGTCTCTCATTTCAATTTGTCGTGCGGGGAGTTTCTAGCAAGCTACAATCCAGTATAGCACACCAGGATACTATATATCAATTTCACAAAAAGCACACACTCAGATGGAAGACGCTCAAGAGACAGTGTGTTATCAAAACACGTCCTCGTCGTCGTCCTCTGCCAAGCCGCCCATCATCCCCGCCGCTGCACCAGCCAACAGCGCGCCGGCAAGACTCGGTCGGGGGCGGAACGACTGCCGCCGTGGCCTGTCGCCCTTGCCCAACGCCGCGCTTGCCGCACTTTTTGCCTGTTGCTGTTGCTGCGGCTGCTTTGCCGCGCTGCCACTCATGTATACTGGCGGCGGAGCCCTTCCTGTCCCATTCGCCCGGGCGCCGACGGCAGGCTTGCCGAATGCTCGGCCCTGTGTCCTTGCTGCTGCGTGGGCAGTGGGCGTGGCGCTGGGGCCGTGCGGGTATCGCATGGACGAGGTGGTGCTGGACCCCAACGTCGAGGCAGTCGAGCTGCTCACCACGCGCGGACGTTTGGTCATGGTTCCCGGGCGAGCCGTACCGGGGGTGGGTGCTACGCGCTTGCGTGCCACTGTACCGGGCTGGGAACGGGCACCGGGACCTGGAGTTGTACCTCTGGCCGTACCGGGAGCGAGACCCATCTTGGCGCGCTGAGAGTCAGCTTGATCACACTTCCTCATCTGAGGACTTACCTTCTTGGCCTCCTTGGCCGCTTCCTTTGCGGCAAGAGCATTCTCAATGGTCTCAACCACGCGTTCACCCAGGGCATTGAAGGGAAGTCCATGTTCTTCCTCCCAGATGGGAACAGAGGTCAGGAGCTCCATCTCGATCTGAACGTTAGCCACACAGCTTTCTCAACCGATCCGCTGCAGCTGCTCACCTTTGGCTTGAGCTTCTCCACCCTCTTGCGCAACTTCTCCTCGCGAAGCATGGCTGTACCCCGCTTCTTGAAGCGGTTGGGGTCGTTGGCAGCATGCTCCAGCTCTGCTTCCTCTGACCGCAGTTGGATCCACTCCTTGACCCGCTTGAGCAGAGTGCCCTTGATCTCCACCTCGGAACGGAGACGTGCCGCCTCATCCTCGTGTTCCTGGAGCAGCTCCTCGGTGTAGTCGTCATCGATAAAGCCCCCAAAGGCGGCCTTCTCCTCGTCACACATCATGAGCGAGTCTTGCAGAGTCTCGATTTCCTTGCGCGTGTTGACCACAAAGGAGGAGAGCGACGTGCGGCGCATCTCGAGCATCCGTTCGAGTTCTTCCTCGTACTGATGTGTCAGATACAATGTGAACTGATTATGTGACTCACGGCAACGATAGTCGACTCGCCACTGCCGAGGTTGCTCTCAATAAAGCCATTGATCTGCTCCTGGGGGATCTGGAGACGGCTCCAGAGGGGGTTGATCTTCTCGTACAGATCTTGGATGCGGCAGTCGCGGTACTCCTTTTCATCTATCCACTGGAGAGTGTTAGCAGACACATAATATCGACCGACGCACCAATGCCAAGACCACTTCCGACCAGTTCATCAGTCCGATCTCGGGCTCAATGTCGTCCATGCCCTGAAGCTCGATACCGTCCTCGCCGTCCTCGCCTGTCTGTCGCGGATTGGTGGCAAGGACGTGATCGAGAAGTTGCTCGTAGCGCGCATGGAAACCTGGTTGTTCCTCGTCGGATTGAGGCGCTAAGAGTGCCAAGGGGAACATGGATCCATGTACTGGTGATGGCAGGTTGAGCTCGGCGTGGTACCAGAGCAAATCGTTGAAGTGGGTCTCGAGTGTGCGCAATCGTGTTTCCTGCTGGGTCAGTAAAGACATGGCATAGGGATACGCACCCTCTCCTGCAATGCGCGGTCCACCTCTTGCTGCAGACGCTCCATCACCTCCTCGCCGACATCATAGTAGGTTGTCTCGGCCGGCCGCGGCTCAGAGGCGACAGGGGGTCGGCTGGACTGACGTGCCTTGCGGTGCGTGGTCGGTGCAGTCTGTGCTGGTGGAACGAGCTGGGCATGCTGAGGAGGTGCAATGCTGGGACGCCCGGCTACCAGTGGTGCGGCGGTGGCCGAGGACGAGCTGCCGGCGACAGGTTGGAGAGACATGGGAGCGGCGAACGGTAAACCGAGCAGGAACGAGAGGCTTTCAAGCTCGAGCATGAGGTCTGCGGGGTCAGCGAGTTCGGGTGGCCAAGGACTCACGCTCAACCTTTTCCAAGCGCTCAGTGTATGACTGCACGGGTTAGCTCAGCACCAGCACGATTTACCCACCTTTTGAAGCTCCTCGATCTGGCGCATGAGACGCTCGTGCTGTGCCGGCAGTGGCTGGCCATCAGTCTGCGCTCTCTCTCTCTCTCTCTCTTTCTGTTCCCACTCGACTCTACTCACCTCGCCATGTTCGCTCTCCCTCCGGCCGTTCGCGATGACTGTTCGCCCATGGTCACCTGTGGCACGCGATATGAGTGACAGCTCGCGCTTGCGTTCGGCAATCTTCTCTTCCCACTGAGCCACCTCGTCCTCGCGGGAACGGACGACGCTCAGGATGGCATTCTTGACGGCGGCGTCTATGCGTGACTGGTCTTCGGCGAGTGCAGATGGTGGTAAGGCCAGCTGGGAATGTAGACCCTGGAGCAGTGGGATTTGTTCTGCAATGATGGCGGATGCGTCCATGACAGGGGACTGTTGATGTGGGGGGGTAGAAAGGGTGGGTTGTGTGGTTGTGTGGTTGTGTGGTTGTTGTTGTGGTTGTTGACGTCCACAGGGGGGCAAAGAAGTCAGGCGGGGGGGGGGCTCACGGAATCAAATTAGGAGGTCCGACAGAGTCAATAAAGCGGTGAGCCGGGGGGGGTGAGTGTATTATTTAAATCAGCCCCATCTTTAAATGAGTGACGTTTTGGGTGGTGGGACGGAAGCAAATTACACGCTGGACGGCGCGCGTTTGCTCCAGTCCTCCTCCTCGCTCGTCCAGGCCCGCCCGCCCCCCCACCGCTCCCATCTCGTCATCGACCTTCTTGCCGTCACCTTCTTCTCCTGTGTGTTTGACTCGATCCCTTCTCTCTCTCTCTCCACATCCCAATCAACACACACAGGCAAGCCGTTGCTTCTTTGTGGAACAGGTAGACCCCGCCTTCTCGCCATCACAACTCGACGGCTATAATACCCCACACACCGCAGGACTGTGGTGCCTAAAAGAGACACACCTCCCCCCTACCTCCCTTGCCTGTGCTACCCAAACGTAGCATCGCCCCACTTAAACTCACCGCCGTCACCTCCCCGTCACCTCTCCTTCCTCCGCCAGCATGTCGCAGCGTCCCTCCGTGGCCAAAAAGGCCGACGCCTCTCCTATCGCCCTCGACGAGCCCAAGCGCGTCCAGCTCCAGCAGTACCGCGACTCTGATGGCCACTTCTCTCTCGTCCGGTGAGTCTAAACGTGCAACAGCAAGCGGCGGCAAGCGGCGGCGCCGAAACGACCGGCGGTCCGATCACCTGTGGAAGTGACGCACCACAAAGGTCATGGTGTGACGGAAGACCGAGTGATGGAGCGGGTAAACAGCCCTGTCCACTACCTGTCTCGGCCGTCACTACCCACGGTCTTTGAGCTCGGCGTCGACAATGGCATCCTCGCTTGGCATGCTTGCGGTGGAGTCCAAAATAACCCCCACTGACGCTATGCATAGCAACTTCCGCCTGGCCGACCTGATCACAATCATGAACGGCGTGTGTGGCACGCTGTCGATCCTCTCTTCAGCCCGCTACCTCATCCTCTCGTCCAACCTCCCCGCTCCCCCCACCCAGGAGGCAACAAACGTTCTCTACTTTGCTCACCTCCTCCCCGTCCTCGGCTTTGGATTTGACGCTCTGGATGGCAAGGTCGCCCGCTGGCGTGGTGGCGGCTCCATGCTCGGCCAGGAGATGGACTCGCTCGCCGACCTTGTCTCGTTTGGCGTCGCCCCCGCCACCCTCGCCTACACCCTCGGTGTGCGCACCATCCTCGACCAGGTGTGTCTCCTCCTGTTCGTCTCTGGCGGTCTCGCCCGTCTCGCCCGCTTCAACGCCACCGTCGCCCTCATCCCCGCCGACGCCTCGGGCAAGTCCAAGTACTTTGAGGGTCTCCCCATCCCCTCGTCTCTCCTCCTCACGGCTGCCATGGCCTTCTTCGTCCGCAACGGCTGGTACGCCATGGGAGCCGGCTCCAACGCCGACGTTCCCTTCGGTCTCTTCCGCCTGTTCGGCGAGGCCGGTGGCAACGGCGAGATTCACGGCCTGGCCGTCATCTTTGCTCTGTGGGCCGCTGCCATGATCTCCAAGACTCTGCACGTAAGTTGTCTGCCCAAACTCGCTGGAGAGCTCAACTGACGTCGAACCCAGGTCCCGAAGCTGTAGTGTTGCCATGGCGCAATGCATCTGGTTCCTATAATGACGCCAAGCCTCAACGGCTTCTCGCGGACGATTCCGGTTGACTGTGTGCTGTACATCAATGCACATGGCCTGTAATAGAGAGAAGTTGCAGCCCGCGCCACCTGGAACTTTACGTTGCCGAGCAGCCGACCGGACGCCGGGTAATGTTCCGGGTCGGGTATTACAGCACGCCCAGACGTCTGTCTCCACGACTCACCACTCTTCTGACTGTCATCCACCCATGTGAACTGACTTGCCTCGATTTAGCTTCGCACGGTCGATGCTTCGGATAAGCTAATCTCCCACTTCTCTTCCAATACCCAGCACGCCCACAGCTCGGTGGAACGATGGACGGGTCCATGCGGTCTCATTCGACATTTTGGTGGGGCAAAAGGGCGACGTCCGTAGGGACGTGCGTGACGAATCGCGAATGGAGAACCTCACTCTCGTCGTCGTGGCGCTCGGTGGCAGTCCGACTGACAGGCCATGACCCGTGAACCAGGCTCGGTCTGTGGCTGTTTTCGAAAGGGCTTGCTGAGGCGTGGGTGGCGTTTCAATAATGCGTAGCGTCCGTGTCCTTTGGGTTACAGATGTGGGACGTTTCATTTCACAGCGATGTATTTTGACGTCATGAGACTCATACCTGCAACACCTTGCCCATTATCAGGTGCAATGAAGGGGACACCTGGTGAATGCGTGTTTATTTAAACCTTGTGCGGACGAGGCAGGTAAGTACTTACGTGCGATCCGCCACCAAAAGAGTTCCCGCCCCGCCGGTTTGAGATACCACCAAGCTCACGCCTGTTCAAGAACGTCCTGCAGTTCAAGCCAAGCCTTCCATGAGCCTTCCATGTGACCGCGATTCAGAGAGACCTGACCCGACACTCCAAACACACGCCAGGACTTGCCCCCTCCCCCCCCCCCCAAAAAAAAAAAAAAGAACAAACCGAATGTGAAAACGAAAGTGGCACATCGTAAATTACCGCCAACAATCCGCCGACTTCCATCGACCCGTCCATCCACGTCGCCTCTTTTCCTGCCTTCCACAAAACAAATATCCATGCATGCAAGCAAAAGATGAACATCTAGATGCTCTGCTCTCTCGCTACCCTGATTCGAACAGGGGACCTACGGATTACTCGTCCTATCGGACGGGAGGTAGACAGTTAACATTTACAGTCCGGCGCAATACCACTATGCTATAGCGAGGAGATGTTCGTTTGGGCACGGGGTTTTCAGTGGTCGCCCGGTTCTTTCGTTCTTTTACTCATGCACAGGCCTTGGGACTTCTTGCGCGACGATGTCACAGCATGTTGTGAGGCAGCATTTGGTTATATTCTGTCTTAGGGGTCGATTCTCATGAGAGGTGGTCAGGAGGTGAAGATGTTAAGAAATACCCGATAAACGTTTTCCTCCCGAGTATCTTCGTCATATCATACACTTCACAGCCAGCTGCAAGTCCTGTAGGAGAGTCTGGTCCCAATCGTGTTGGGGCTGAAGCTTCAGCATGGCCATCTGCTGCTGGGACAGGTCCTCGTCCTCATCTTAAGTTAGTCGGAGTGAGGCGGCATTCCAGCAACGCGAGCGATGTCTGACCACTGCCAAGCTAAATCATCCTGCAGTCGCCAATCTTTTGCATACACAGTTCACGTCCAGGTCTAGTGAGGCACAGCCAACCCACCACCGGCGAGCTTCTCGCTGTAATCATAGGAGTCATTCACCGACGGCGACTGGTGATACATACTTGCTCGCGAGCGTTTCCACACGTGTAGCCTCCTGCCGGGCACCCTTGCCGTCGCCATTAAGGTCAACTGTACAGTTTTGCCAATCACGTAGGTACCCTTCTGGGAGCCGTCGATATGACTAAAAGAACAGCGTCGGCCAGCAGGGTGTAAGACTCGTTGCATCATCGCGCAAGGTACGAATGGGTCTGAGAGTTGAAACACCAGGCGACCCAGACAAGGAACACGATAAAGCAAGCATAAATCACGTCGAACACCAGGAAATAGGACCGAACCTTCACCGGAGAGTTGGTCGTATCGTCAAGCGTGAGCCAGCAAGAGGAAAGTTCACGTCCAATCGCTGAAGCACGAAACTGGCGGACGGAGGTCTGGGAGCTGGGTAATTAGCCAAGGAGTCTAAATTTTGTTGCAATGGACTAACGGGTTGTAACAAGTCCCAAATACCCCAAACTTGGTCTCGGCACCGTCGCCCACAATGCTGAAGAGCCAAATGTCGCACAGAACTGGAGGCGACATAATAAGAGCCAATACAATAACCGCAAGGAACAAGGCACCAATAGAGACTAGGAGCATCAGTTATATAATGGGAGGAAGCAGATAGTATGACAGACACACTTACTTCCAAAGTGGCTGGGCTTCGAGGTTGGCGGGCCAAAAGGCTTAAAAAGCGTCGCCTTGGGCATGTCGCTGGGTGATACGCAGAAGGTGTTCACTGGAAGTGAGAGGAGGAAGAATGCGTACCAAAAGCGTTGAATATATAGGTCGAATCAAGACCTGCCTCCTAAACTGATTGTCTCCCGAAGGCATCACTGCCACATTGGGGGCGATTGTTCCGACAATGTCCCATCCGTGCCCATCAACAGACACCAGGGGCCAGGGGCCAGGGGCCAGGAGAAGCAGGATTACTCAGCTGGCGACGCACATCCACTGAATAACTCGGGGGCATCCGGGTGGACGGTTGTCGATATGCACAACGATCGAGGTAGTCTGCAATAAAATCGACAATAAATGTCCAAAAAATTGCCTCTCTTTTGATTCCCTTCGACCATGGTGTCAAAACTAGGCGTAAAAGGGCGCTGCAATCTGACACTGCACTCCTATCAGGTTGAAGCTCATTGCTACTCATTCAGCGTCAAGGAATCTACTTGAGCCTGGCCATCTCAAGTGGCAGGCTTCTATATACAGTATTGTAGTCCCAGCTGCAACGGTTCTCGCTTCGTTACTTCTTCCGTATGCCTTCTTCCTTCTTTCTGCTCCCAGGTTACTCTTCAATCTCGATCTGGCGGATCACATCGGCGGCAATTGATTTAGCCACCTGGGCGAGGAGGTCCTCCGGGACGGGCGAGTCGACGGTCAGGACACTGAGCGCCGATCCGCCAGCTTCCTGACGGGCGATTTGCATGTTGGCAATGTTGATGCCCGCTTCACCGAGAAGCTTGCCGTACACAGCGACGATTCCTGGGCGGTCCTTGTAGACGATGACAACGTGGTAGGTCTCGATAGGAAGTTCGACCGCGTAGCCATTAATGCCCACGAGCTTTTCGATCTGCTTGGGTCCGGTCAAGGTGCCTGACACGGAGACGGCGCTGCCGTCTGCGAGAGAGCCCTTGAGGGTGATGACGTTGCGGTAGTCATCGGACTCGTTAAACTTGCGGAGACGGACCTGGCCCCCGTCAGCATTTCAAGGGATCAAGATATACTCACAGTAACTCCGCGCTGCTCGGCGAGGAGTGGCGCGTTGACGTACGAGACCTGTCCGCTGACAATGTTCTGGTACACGCCCTTGAGTGCCACAAAGCGGAGCGCCTCTACATCGTACGCAGCGATTTCGCCATGGACCTCGACATCGAGGGTGGTAAGGGGGGCGGAGCGGGAAATGGCGCAAAGGAACTGGCCAAGCTTCTCGGTGAGGGGAATTGCAGGGCGAACGTGGGTGCTGATCGCACCGCCGGCGACATTGACGGCGTCGGGCACAAGCTCGCCGTCGAGAGCGAGGAGCACAGACTTGGCAACTGAAATGCCAGCCTTTTCCTGGGCCTCGTCGGTGCTGGCACCCAGATGAGGAGTAACGACAACGTTGGGCAGGTCGAGGAGCCTCTTGTCGACAGGTGGTTCGCTGGAAAAGACGTCGAGACCGGCTCCACCGATGGCCTTGTTGGAAAGGGCAGTGAAGAGGGCATCCTCGTCGATCAGTCCACCACGGGCCACATTGATGATACAGGCGGTCGGCTTCATCATACCCAGCTGCTCGGTCGAGATCATACCAGTGGTCTCGGCTGTCTTGGGCATGTGGATCGTGATAAAGTCGGAACGCGCAAGAAGGCCGTTCAGGGGGAGAAGCTCGACGTCAAGCTGCTGTGCGCGAGTGGCAGTGACATATGGATCGTAGGCGACAATCTTCATACCAAACGCCTGCATGCGGGCTGCGATGAGGGTGCCAATGCGACCAAGGCCGATGATGCCCAATGTCTTTTCGAACAGCTCGGTACCATTGAATGCCGAACGCTGCCACTTGCCCGCAGAGAGAGAGGAGTGTGCCGCCGGAATGTGGCGGGCAAGAGAGAGGATGTGAGCAATCGTGAGCTCGGCAGCCGAGATAATGTTGGACGTCGGCGCGTTGACAACCATCACGCCGGCGCGTGTGGCGGCCTTGATGTCGACGTTGTCAAGTCCGACACCGGCGCGGGCGACCACCCTGAGCTGCGGCGCTGCGGCCAAGGCCTCAGTATCGATCTGCGTCGCCGAGCGGATCAGGACGGCTTCTGCAGTACCGAGGGCCGAGAGCAGAGCGCTGCGGTCCGTGCCGTCCACATGACGGACAATAACATCTGGGCCCAGGACCTTGATGGTTGCGGGCGAAAGGGCCTCGGCGATGACGACCACCGGCTTGGGCGCGGGAGTACTCTTACGAGTCATTTTGGGCACGAGGGGCCGAGGTCGAGATGGTTGTGTGGAAGTGAGTGAAAGAGAGAGTGTGGGAAAGCCAAGCAAGGCTACCAACGTGACGTCACAAGAAGCAGACGCAAAGTGGGCAACATCGACATGCAAGGATATCACGTGACTTTGGATAACCGGATCCGGTGGCGACATCCAGTGGTCTTGAGATAACAATGCCACACATGGCCCGCTCGTCGACCTTTTATTAAACCAACCAGTGGCCAGTGGACATTCAACAACCAGCGATGTCGCAACTCTGCCGAATCACTGATGCGATGCGTGTCGGAGTCTGAACTGACATCACGACCACTCATCTACAGCGAGGGAAGGTAATCAACATCTCGGAGACATAGCTCAGCTGGGAGAGCGAGCGACTGAAGTTCAGTCATCAGACCTTGCGTGGATCGAATCGATTCACGCTTGGACATCGCTAGGTCGGGTGTTCGATCCACCCTGGCTCCATTCAGTAGTTGTTCAGTACAAGAACAGCCTTGGTTTTTGCCCCTCGAGAAGCCTGAAGGTTCATGCTGAATCGCAAACTCGCAGGGAAGACGTCTAAACAATCCTTGGTTCCCCTCACCCCGAACACGGCTGCAACAAGCTCGAAGGCTCTCAGACACAAACTGTGACTGAAGTATGTTGGTTGCATGGTGGCACTCCTCTCATCCAAACCTCAACGGTTTCCGTTTCAGTAGTAAGGGGAAGGTGTCATTTCCTGCTTGGCGCCCCTAGAGAAAAGGTGAGTACAAATGGACAAAATTAAGGCCAAACCTAGACTCACCCGGGGAGAAATTGACTGCGAGCACGAGGAGGATAGCGACAGTGTATGTAGCCTGAAAATAAGTCAGCGTAATGGTCGCCTCGGTATCTAGGTGGGACTCACAGCTGCTCCCAGAGAGCACCACAAGCCCGCACCACCGCTGACCAGGTACGCTCCGTCAGTAGCGACCTTGATCTGAGAGGAGAGGTACTGAGGTTAGCCATGTACCCTGTGTAGATGCTGAACATACGTTCTTTAAAGTGAGGCTGAAACCATACCCAATCCAGACTACGATAAATCCACAGTAGAAGGAGAGGTAGCTGATCTGTGAGCCGTGTTTAGCGTTGCAATGGACCACCCAAAGAACCGCCACTGCCGATAACACGTACAGCGAACCACATGCGCGAGTCGGTCCAGATTGCGAGGCACATGGTGAGGTATGCCATACCGGCCAAACCCCCAGCGACCGTGTTGGCAATGAGGTACGGCGACAGGTGGTGAACCACCTTGTTCATGGTCTCCATTCCTTCATACTGCTTCAGGAGGGGCAACATGGTGGTGTTGAGCGTGTATCCGACTGCCCTGGGGGTACAGTGCCAATCCCGAGGAGTACCCTTGGAGAAACAGGCGCCCAAGACGCCAAACCTGGTAGCAACCGTGGGGCCGGTGATCTCGGCAATGTAGATCTCCTGGGTGACGGGAGTGGAGATGGTAACGGCGATAAGCAGGATACAGCACGCCACTTGAGGACTGGGTTAGCATCGAAGACGTGTGCCGGGATCGACTTACCAAGGAGCACAAATCCAATACCTGAAACAACTGGGCTACACATGTCTGAGGGGGCTCTTCAAATGTTGAATAGGGGGTGCAGCATGAACAGGCAAAAGGTGGTCAATCCTGTGTCAATAAGTAGACGTCAGTGGTGCACCACTGTGGAGGAAGCGATCGCCACCTGAAGGCGCGTTTTGACATTCTCAACTCATCAGTGGCGCCTTCCATCACTGACGCCGTCGCATCCCCATCCCGATTCTTTACCAATGTAAATCCGAAAAGGCGTGGCTACTGTCGAAGCTTGTGTGCGCCAACAAAGGCAATGCTCCGTCAAATAGCACAGTACAGTACATACAACACGTTAATTAAGCAGAATGTACAAAAAATCAATCCAGCCGCCACTCGACATCTGATTCGAAGCTGAGCCAGTTTCAGCGGGGGCCAAGACCCACACCCCTCTGGCCAAAGAGGTATGCCTTGACACACTGCGTGCCGGGTATGTACACACCCGTGCGGTCGAGATACATTGCATGGTGTACGGCCCGGTGTTCGCGGTGGCTGGCAATGATGCGCGCTTGGATACGAGGGCTGGACGTGTCGAGTGTCGACCGACTTGGCGTCTGTGCTGGGCGAGGGACGGTGGGCATTTCGTTGGCGTCCAGTGTCATGATGACTTCCCGGTGCTTGTCAAAGACTTTGATGGCAATACGCTCGCCGTGGGTCGCGATTTCCTCAATGTGTGATCCGATGCCGACCACAAGCGTGTGCGTGTCGAGGAGACTGGAACGGGCGGCGGGGTGGAGCTTGGCGGCCTGGGCGAGTGCGGAGCGGTAGTTGCGCACCACGACGAGTGCACCAGAAGACGCCGTACAAACTAAATCGGTGGACGTGAGGCGGCACCTGCAAGTCAGTATACAAGCTTGAAGCTTCGAGGCTAGCCAGGACAGCTGGACTCACTTTGCAAAACCTTCACGGCGGCTCTCTGCGGGCTTGGCCTGGGCTACATCCATCCCGTACTTGAACCACTCACACCCGTCGTCGCGCCACCCACCACGCTCCAGCACGAGGGACATGGGCGCGTGGTGGTGTTCATAGTTCCAGTACTTGACTTTCCAAGCACGCGACTCGCGAGGGAGGACCGCAAACGCCAAGGCGGCCTGAGGGCTCGGGGTCTCCATTGACACGACGTGACCACCCGACCGAGCGTAGATGTGGACGTGTGAGCTGGACGGGATGAAGATGTACTGGTCATCAAGCTCGATGTGCTTGACGAAGCCGACATCGCGGAGGCCAATAGCCTGGTGGCGCATGCCGTCGTCGAGGTGCCACAGGTGGACGGTACGGCGGGTCCGACAGCTGATCCAGTGCTGGCCGCTGGGGTCATCGCCAATCATGCGGGTCTCAGCTGCGAGCACTGCGAGAACGGTCTTGCCATTGGAGTCGGTCCGGAGACGCATGGTGTATCCCCACACGGGCGGGTGGTGGGGCGATCCGATAAATTCGAGGTGGATTGGTTCGTGCCTTGCGTTGCGTTTGCTGAAGTCGTGAGTCCCGCCAGTGACGCCGCTGTCACCGCTGATACGCCAAATGTCTATACGAGTAGGAAGAGGCTTAGGCGCCTGCATGCAGAGCTGGTTGTTCGTGCTCATTCCCACCACGTAGCGGCTGGCCGAGTCGAGCTGTTGATATGGCGAGACGCTGGCATGGGCGAGCGGAGTCGATGCAGCCGTGTTCCATGAGTCGACACGCAAGCCGCGATGAGTGGAGCGCACAAACACACCCGCGGCCGACACAAAGGTACATGTGGTGGAGAGTGCCGCCGGGTTGAACTCGAATGCCTGCTGCATCCAACTTTGGCGGGGAGTGCGCGGACTGAGGCGGGTGAAAGGGACGCAGCGCACATGTGCTTCCCCGCGATACCAGGCCCTGTTCATAGGGAGGTAGGTAAGGCCTTTTGGGTCAACTGGCATGAAATGATACAGGTTGGGTGGTCGGCAACTCACAGATTCCGCGCCAGTCGGGACGCTGCAGCTTGTCTGCCACCATGATCTCGTGGTCGAGGTTTTCGGCAATGCACCACTGGCGCCAAAGCGCATCGTCGGTGCGGATGTAGGACTTCCAACGCTTACATACTTGCTCAGCTGCGAGGAGGTCATTGATAAGGAGGTTGCCGAGAACGAGATGGAAGATGTCGCCACCAAGGGCGGTGAGAGGGTCGAGACGGCGCGTGGCGGGGGCGAGGTTTGGGCGGGGGCGAAGGCGGTAAGAACCACGAGGACGCGGGTGAGACACAAGCATGTCGACAAGTTAGTAGTGGAGGTGGGGACTAACATGCATGGACGTCCCGTCTTTTGTATGCTCCCAGGTTGTGGACGGTTGTGGTAGTGTCTCGACCAAGACACTGCCGGTGGTCGCAAGTGGCAAATCTGGCACCACGGTTTCCCATTCCGGCCACTTGCCGGGAGTGATATCTCCCCGCCGCCGCCGGCAGCCTTACCGTGCTGTGCATTCATCCCGCGTCAGATACGTCCCGTGGTGTGCTGGGGGTAGGCTCATGCATGTGGTATTGCTGGTATATGCATATGTGTTTGAGTCTGGTAACGAGATCGCCGTGGAGAAGTGCCAGCGGTGAAATCGTAAGTGCGGCGCTGGCTGGTAGCAACCACATCCAAAGTTGCGAGTTGCGAGTTGGTTCGCAGTCTGACTGCAGAACGCTCAGGAGGTCTAGACGTACAGCGTATCGTCCATCGCGTCTACGCGAAGCCGACCCTTTTCTTCTCCTTCTTCGCAGGCTCGGCGACCTCGGTGGTCTTGCCCTTGCGCCTTCTCCGCTTCTCAATGTCCTTTGCATGGATAGCGTTCTTGGCCGCGGTCTGGTATGTCAGCTGTGATCCACAGTACGATATCCCGCATCGCAGTTCCTTCTGCGACCCCACTCCGTTTCGCTTGACCTCCCAACATCACCTTTGCACTCACCAGCGCCTTTGCCCTGTCCTGAGCCTTCCTGTTGGGCTTCTTGGCGTCATCACGCTTCTCAGCGGCGGCAACACGGCCACGCTCCTTCTCTTGCTTGGCAGCAATGACGGCATCCTTGGAGGCGGTAACGTTGTCGAGCAGCGAGAGGAGACCAGCCTGGTGAGTCAGTCATTGTTTTCAAAGGGATTCAAATGAGTTGGCGGCTGAATCCAATGCAGAGGGGGGACATGGCCAGCGGAGGCTGTGGGACCCAAGCAGACGCCCAGATCACAGCTATAGCGCTCTCCGCAGAACTGCACCCCCCAGTTCTCTGGTGCTCTCTGTTCTGGCTCGTAGCGCAGGAGTCTCCGAGTTCAAGAGGGCGCACAGACGGGACATGGAGAAATGGGGGTTCGCCGCCAGGGTCGATGCTGGTGCCCATCATGGAGCCATGGATCACCAGAAAGAGAGTGGGCTCACCTTGTCCTCGAGGAAGACCTTTCCCTTCTTGCCCTTGGGCTTGCGGCGGTTCCTCTTCGTCTTCGAAGGGCCAGCCTCGTCGGGGGAGCCAGTGGAGTCGGCGTCGGCGTCGGCGTCGACAGCGGCAGTGGTAGCAGCAGTGTCGTCCTTGGCCTCACCCTCGTCCTCCGAAGACGAGTGGTACTCGACGTTGGGCTTGGGAGCAGCCTTGGGCTTGTCCTGAGCCTTGGACTTGGCCTTCTTGTTGACGGCCTTGGGCTTGGGCTTCTGGGCGACCTTGGCAGCAGCGACCTTGACGTCTCCCTCGGCGGCGTCCGAGGGGCGCTTGGGCTTGCGTCGGGGCCGCTGGATGTTAGCATGGGGGTGGCACATGACTGTCCTTGTTGCCAGGATGCACTCACCCTGTTTCCGGTCTTGATGGGGTCGGCCATTGCGGGTCTTGACAATAACACAAACAACGACCCAAAGCAACTCGCAGATCGACCAGCGCCCAAAAATCTCGGACGGCTTCGAGGCCCCGCAAAATGGTCCAGGCACGAAAAGAAAAACGGTGTGGCGGCTGGCATAATATTCTCCCCTCCTTTGGGTCTCCATCGTCTGTCGTCCTTTGTCCAGTCACAACGAGATGCATAACATACTTTTCTCGCCTTGATCGCTCACCTCTAAAGCTTGTTTTCCACCAGGGCAAGGAACAGAACCAAGTCGATTACGGGGTCCGTTGGACCCATGACGGTGGGCATAAAAGGCGTCGCTGGCATAGAGCGAGTTGGGTGGCGCCTCCCACGCCACCTACACAAGTGATTGGTTTCTGTAACCAAGTGAGTGGATTCTACAACGCGCCCACAATGATCTCCTCCTCCGAACCCCCTACGCTTTGCTCGCTCACCTCCCCACTCCGATTGTGCATGTGTACCTTGCGGCGTTGCAGAGGGCTGCGTGCACGAGCGGGCCCTGCAGCCACCGTAATGACACGGCCAACTGCAGCACTCCCCCAGCAAACGACACCGTGTTCCTCTTGTCCGGGCGGAGTGGCGTGCAAACCATGTACCAGTAACAATACGCAGTTGATGTTGTCGACCTCCCCTTGGCTCCTGGTGGTTCAAAACCTCGTCACTCACGACGCGCCGACCATGCCCTCCGCAAGATATAAAAAGCAGCCCCACCGCGAGCCTTGTCTTTCTCCATCCCAACTTCTTCTACCCTCTCCCCCTCCCGCCCTTCCACATACACTGTGGTCAAGACCATCATGATCGCCCTTCTCTACTACTTGGTCGCCCTCACGGGCTTTGCCACTGCCCTCTGTGCCCCCGTCACTGGCTGCTCCATCAAGTGGGGTACCGAGACCGTCACTGGTACCGCCTCCGCCACTGGTGTCTGTCGCTACACGGTCAAGTACGGTAGCGCTGCTCGATGGGCTACTGCCACTTCTCCTGCTTCTCAGACGTGAGTCATCTTGCCAATGGGCTTTGTTACTAACATTGCAGCGGTGTCAGCGCGACTGCCATCCCCCCTTCGTGTCCCCAGATCTCGTCGGTCCTCCTCGCCACCACCACCTCTGAGGACTGCCTCTACATGACCATCTACGCGCCTACCTCTGCCTCGTCCCTCCCCGTCTTTGCCTTCTTCCCTGGTGGCTCCAACATCATGGGCGGTATTGCCTCTCCCGGCATTGACGCCTCGGCTATCGCCAAGGCTGGTAACATGGTCGTCGCTGTCATCCAGACCCGTCTGGGTGTGCTTGGTTACCTTCCCCCCGCCGTCGCGAGCACTTCGTCCGACCCCAACATGGGTGTCACCGACGCGGTTCTCGCTCTGTCGACTATCCAGTCCAAGATCTCTGCGGTCGGTGGCAGTGCTACCAAGGTCACCATCGGCGGCCAGAGCAGCGGTGCCAGCATGGTTCGCGGTGAGTCTATTCTGTTTGTTCCAAGTGCCGTTGTCTGACACCCCCACAGCTCTTATGGGTACACCTGCTGCCAAGGGTCTCTTCCGCCAGATGATCCTGCAGTCGGACCCTCTCAACTATGGCCTGCAGTCGCTCAAGATTATGAGCACGCTCCAGTCGACCTACTACGCCCAGTCTGCGTTCGCCGGCTGCTCCGACCTCGCTTGCTTCCGGAAGGTCTCGGCTGCCGACATTATCACTGCTCAGACCAACCTCGGCAACGTCGTCATTGACCCCTCGAACGGTATCCCCTGGGCTCCTTTCCTCCGCCCCTCGTACGGCGCCGCTACCATCCCCAACGAGCCCACCAACTCGCTCTACTACAACACCGGTGCTCTTGCCATCAGCCCCTCGTCCGTTCCTCTCCTCATCACCAACGTCAAGGACGAGGCGGCCACCAGCGTCAGCCAGATCTTCGGGTCCAAGATCGGAGCCGCCAGCAACGCCGTCTACTACTCGGCCCTCAACTCGCTCATTGGCGGCACCCGTGCCAACCAGATTGTCTACTCGGCCAGCCTTACCGACTACCAGGTGCCCACCACCGGCAGCGGCGACCAGTTCCGCGAGACACTCTCGCACCTCGTCACCGACTTTGTCTGGCGCTGCCCCGCCCGTACCCTCGCTGGCAAGTACGCTGCTGCCGGCGGCAAGGTCTATGTCGGCGAGTTCCGCCAGGGCGTGACCTACCCGCTCAACAGCGGCGTCGACCTCTGTGTCGGCAAGGTCTGCCACATGGACGACGTTTACCCCACCTTTGACACCTCGCCTTCGCCTTCGGCCAACACCACCACCTTTGTGAGTACCCTTACAGCTGAGATATCCTCCTCAATGCGTTAGCTGACACTTGTCCAGGAGAACGGCATCATCGCCGCTTGGGCCAAGTTTATCGCTGGCAGCGCTCCTTCATCCACCTGGTCGGCCTTCTCGTCCGGCTCTGGCGTCTCGGGCACGGGTGTCAAGTCGCTTGGCGGTGACGGCCTCGTCGGCTCGTGCCCCACCGAGTACTGGGGCTCCAAGGTCGAGTGGGACTTCCAGATGTTCTAAATGTCCTCTCTGGCCACCCAGGATAACCGACCTGGCCAGGGATCGTGGCGAAACCGATCTTTATAGTGCGCAGAGGCGCGAATGAAATAGTCTTTAGTTAAAAATGAACATTTGCATCGAGAAGGGAGTGAGCTGAGTGGTGTCTAAGGACGTGTGAGCTCGAGAACACGACACTAAAGTGGTTCTCGTATCTGGAGACATAGCTCAGCTGGGAGAGCGAGCGACTGAAGTTCAGTCATCAGGACTCACAACTTGTGAGCTCATCGCTAGGTCGGGTGTTCGATCCACCCTGGCTCCAAATAGGACACCTGAGAAGGTGCCCAACCCTTTTGGACATCATTTGGTGCATGCACAAGCTCTGGAATGGCCGTTCGGTGTTGGAAGATGGTGTGGTGAGAATTCGCCACAACTTGGGGGATCCGCCACATCGGCCTCCACTTTTCCCTTTTGCTTCCGCCCTGGTCTCGTAGGTGCTGACTGATGTTGCCACCCAACTGTCCTTTTCTCGTTTACCACCTTCCATCCCAAAAACAGTGCTGCGACAACCATGACTGCAGACGCACCAGCAGTTAACGGCACCGCCAACGGTGTCGCGAACGGCACCTCACACGCGAACGGAACAGCAAATGGAGCAAATGGCACCAACGGAGCTGCCAACGGTGTCAACGGCGAGCCCCGAGGAGATATCCCAGAAGATGCCCCGGAGCACTGTCCTGTAAGTCTGCTGTATATCTTGGCTCTATAATGTAGCTGACGATCCCTCTTCGTCCCCTTCCACCTGTTCGCTCCTCTCCTCCTCCAGGGCCCCGAGTCGAACAACGCAGGCAAGGCCGACGCCTGTGACGGATGCCCCAACCAGGCCGTGTGCGCCGAGGGACCGAAGGGTCCCGACCCCGACCTGCCTCTGATCCGCGCGCGCATGGCAGGTGTGCGGCGCAAGATCCTCGTGCTGTCGGGCAAGGGCGGCGTGGGCAAGTCGACATTCACCGCCGCGCTCGGCTGGGCTCTGGCCGCCGACGAGGACCTCCAGACGGGTATCATGGATGTGGACATCTGTGGTCCCTCCATCCCGCTCCTGACTGGCCTCGAGCGCGCGACCGTCCACACGAGCGCCGAGGGCTGGTCGCCCGCGTACGCGACCGACAACCTCGCCGTCATGTCCATTGGCTTCCTCTTGCCCTCGGCGGCCGACGCCGTCATCTGGCGCGGCCCGCGCAAGAACGGCCTCATCAAGCAGTTCCTCAAGGACGTGAGCTGGGGTGACCTCGACTACCTCGTCGTCGACACGCCACCGGGCACCTCGGACGAGCACCTCAGTGTCGTCCAGTACCTCGCCGAGGCGGGTATCGACGGCGCCGTGCTCATCACGACGCCCCAGGAAGTCGCCCTCCAGGACGTGCGCAAGGAGCTCGATTTCTGCCGTAAAGTCGGCGTCCCCATCCTCGGTCTCGTCGAGAACATGTCTGGCTTTGTGTGCCCCAACTGCAAGAACGAGTCGCAGATCTTTGCCCCGACCACGGGCGGCGCCGACGCCATGGGCGCCGAGCTCGGTGTCGAGGTGCTCGGCAAGGTGCCCCTGGACCCGCGTATCGGCGCACTGTGCGACCAGGGCGAGAGCTTCCTCGACACGTACCCGGACAGCCCAGCGACAACGGCGTACCTTGACATTGTGCAGCGGATTCGCGAGAAGCTTGGTGATGCGTAGGCAAGGGGAAGTGATGTTGTACTAGTTAGATTCTTGCATGCAGCTGGAAGAGCGACAGTGCCACCAGTGATGAAACAACGTAAAGGCAAACGTCGTAAAGTGGCGATGGGGGTGAGGCGGTTATCATGGCCATCGTGGCAAAAGATGACACCCAGACCTGTCGCATGGCCGCCCGCCTTCCCCGACCACCCCAACTCAGCGTCCATTGACTCGTTAGCTGTTTCTGCAAGGGAAGCCGATCAATTTGTTTACGTGTGGGTGTTGCGAGTACTACAGCTGTCGCTGCGCAGCTGCCCACCACAGGCTCCACATCGCCTGCTCCGGCAACGGAGCCTAGTCATTCAAGGATTGCCCAATGTGTCTTGTCTTCCACACGTCCTCTCAAGCGGTGGAGTCGCGTGCCACAGCGCGGAACGGCTGCCGAGGAACTAGGAGACAGTCTGCAGTGGGGTATTCTTCCCCCGGAACAACGCCCATTGGCACCTGTAGTTACGGACCAGCAGGCAAAGGTGTGGCTGTAAACATCGTTCACGCCATGTAGCTGGGATATAAGCGGACAGACTGGTTCACGCTCAAGGTGTCGTTGGAGGAGGCGCGTGGCCCGGCTTCCAGACGTCAGGCCCACGATGGCCCGCACCAAACTCGTCCCCACTAGTCAAGTGGCACCCTCCCTCTTTACCTTGCTCACTCCTCAGGCATTACACATCACCCCCTCGCCACCTACTGCCGCCCCAAGGGCCCCCCACCCAAAAGACCAAAAGAGAAGACACCTCAGAGGTGTCTATCCGACAATGACATGATTCGAACATGTGCTCCCGAAGGAAATTGATTTCGAGTCAATCGCGTTAACCACTCCGCCACATTGCCGCATGCTTAGTTCGCTGTGTTGCCCTGCATCGTGGCTACCGATCCATGCTTTGAACGATGCATGTTGTGCTGGTGGATGGCGAGGAATGCGGTGGTGAACGTCGGAGGTATGGTGCCCGTGGCGATGAACATTGGCGGCGTGGTTTTGGTGGATGGGCGCGGATCAGTGTGGGTGTGTGCGGATCAGCGTGCAGTGTGGCAGTTGGCATGGCAGCTCGTCGCCCTTTGGATCCTGGGTGCTGCTGATGGATGAACCAATGGTCGGTTTGAGCAGCGATCCTCTATCTAGGCGTCTGCTGTCCTATGCCTATGCGGAGTGTAGCAGCCAAAGACATAGAAGACGAGGGAGCGCTCGCTGCACGTGCACAGTCAATCGCGATACACGTCTCCTATACACGTCTCCTGACCAGAGGTGTCAAGGACATGACGGGCGAAGGCCTGGTGGACGCCATGCGCCATGCCAGGCCGTCGAGGCGTCGAGCAGGCCCCAGCCTTGATCGAGCCACAGCCTCAAGTGATAGCTAACATTCATCAAGCCCCCAGCCTAGAAGTTGCTGCTGCCTTGGATCTCCATTCACAGCTCTCAGAATAGTCCCACAGTGCGCTAGCTGTCCTTTCACCTAGTATTGCACCTAGTGCAGGGACGTTTGGCTGAATGAAACGTGCCGAAACGTGCGCTCGGTCTGTTGCACGTTGCACGCAGTAGCTGCGTTTCGGTACACGTGAAATGTTGGCATTCCGTACCCAAAAAACCCACCATGTTGGGCACCCTTTTGCTGTCCTTGATTAGTACAGGGTGTCACTGGAGGAACCTTCTCCGACTACGCACGCGCACACGGGCTTGTGCAGAGTGTCATTAGCAGCAGTGTGCCTTGTCCGAAGCGAAGACCCCGACACCAGCACTTCTGTTTAGCAGGTCCAAGCGTGTCGCGGGGCCACGGAGCCGCCCACCGCCAACAGGAGCAGGAGCAATGAGCACGAGCGCGCGATCGAGGCTGCCCTCGAAAGTAATGAGGACGCCATGTCAGCAATGAATGGCCCCAGTCGCACGCACTGGCGTGTCCCATTCCTGGCCTTGTGATATGGCGGAGTGTGCCATGTTTCGCGTGTTGGGCAGCGTCGAGGCGTCGACGGCCTGCCACGAGTCGTGTGGACATGGGCATGATAAGACGGGGCCTAGTCACTAGTAGCCTGTGCCACAACTGGGACTACGACCTGAGACGAGACCTGGATATGCCATCTGCCCGCGCTAGTCTGCTCCATGACGAGCACAGGTTAGCCTGCGCCATTGTGAATCACATGTCACGAGCCAGGCATGCAGTCACACACCGTGCTGCTCTGTATTGCTCTTTGGGTGTGCACGCGTCACGTCGTGGCGTGCTGTGCCATAACACGCACGGCTGCTGACCATAACCGTTTCCGTGATCCGTGACATGTATGCACTCTGCCGTCTGCCACACAGGTCACACACTCATGACACTTTCCGAGTCGGAAAACACTGCACATGCATGGGAGACCATGAACGCGATCCGTGTCCATGCCCGCCATGCCATAGTACGCACGCTCCTACGTACCTACGTACTCGCCAGAACATGCATGTGTCTGTCGTGGAAGTGTCGGGATCCCGCGCAACACCCTGTGCACCCCATCCATCTCCGCCCGTGCGGCTCTAATCGATCTAATGGCTTTGATTATGGCTTGATTATTATTTCGATCAGTGGGATGGGGAGGAGCGCCTGGCAATCCCGCGCATGCTGCTGCCCGCTGCCACCCGCCGGCTCGATTCCTTCTCGGGCATGCCACCCGGGCGAGAGCGCCAAATGGACGGCGGACGTCGGGCGGGTGGGGTTAGTCGCGCCCCGGCCCGCGTTTCGTTCACCTTGTTCCCGACGACGTCGGGACCCACACGCTCCCTCTCGATCATTTCTGCACGCTTCGATCCAAAACCTCCGACGAGTGCGGCCCGCGGCCGCACCCAGAGGCCGGGCAGAGGGCCAGAGGGGCAGAGGGGGTAACTCCAGCACGCGCGCCACACGTCTCTTTGGGTTGCATACCGTAAAACCCAGCGTACGTACCCTGTTCCGTCACAGCTCCCTCCAAGAACCCAGGGAACGGCCGCCGCCGACGCGTTCCGCGTGGTGGAAAGATCGTGGGCTGCCTGGTCGCCAAGGCCGCACGGGCCATATGCACCATCTGCACATCATGAAGGGATGAAGGGGATGCAAGGCATGTAAAGTAACAAACCTTTCAGTGCTCGCTCGTGTCGGACTCTGTGCGGACAACCTGATACTCGCAACCGTTTTACACCCCCCCTGGGTCCCTCGGGCCCTATGCAGATCGCCCGGCGTGCCACATCCATCCTGCTTTGCTCTCCTTGCACATCGTCCCACCGGCGCCGCATACCTCGCCATGCGATGGCCCATCAGGTAAGCTAGGTAAAGCACCTTTGGCGGACGGGTCCGAGCGCTCGCCTCGCGCTCGCGCACTCGCCGCCTCTGTCTGCGTGTACGCGTGTGCACATCGGGCCGGACAGCGCACATGCCCGCAAGCCCGCACGGCGCACGGCGTCGCCCCGATGCCGGTAATGGACGGCCGACAGCCTCGGGCCACGCGTCCGCTGCCGAGCTGCGAGGTGAGTACCCTTTCTCTGCATCCCGTCTGCCCCCTCTCGACCCTCCCTCCCTTGCGCGGGGGCTTGAAACCGGCGTGGCTGACCGGCGCGGCGGCCTGTGCTACGACCGAGGCGCGCAGAGTCTCACCGGGGCAAGTGGAAAATTAATGCCTCTTGCCCTTGCCTCTGCGCTGCACATCCCGAGTTCTGAGGGTCCGAGGGTCCCACAAGTTCACCTTGGGGAGACGGAGGGGAGCTGCGCGCCACGGCGGCCCAGCGCCACGCCGAGGAAGAAAGCGGGGGTGTTCCCTGCAGGAGCGCGCCGGGAACGACACAGTGTGTGCAGTGTTTGCGTCGTCGTGCGTCTTGGGGGATTCGTGGCGGGCAAAGCTATAGCTTGGGGCGGCGGGATAGAATTTGCGGGTATGGAAAAACGTGGGCCATGTGGCGAACGAGTACACGCATACAAGTGTACGTAGCTTTTTGGGTGTCCGGTACTGTACCATTGTCGTGGGCCTGTTAAGGTTTCTGTAATCTAATGTTCTGCTTTCCAACGGGTCCTGGCACGCTTCCAATGGAACCTCCAGAACAACAACAATAACAATAACAACAACAAACGAGTCGTTGTCGTGGACCCTGTATGCAACGCTCGTCCAGATTACATATACATCCTGCCTGCCTACGGGAATAAAGAAAAGCAAAGAGAAGAGATAGAGAGAGAGGAGGGGGTAACGCATTACCGTAAAAATAAGAAGAGGTGCCGGGTGGTTGTAGTATTGATGGTGTGGTGGTGGTGGTGATTGTAGGATTGGCCCAAATGGCAGGGCCCCGAGTCGCCCCGCTCTGTCGTATCGTAGGTCTACACTCCATAAGAAAGAGAAACTCGCCCGATCGGTCGCTGTCCTCGCGACTCGCTGCGCTCGCCGCTCGCTCAGTCGCTCAGGTCGACGCCCTGGAGCAGGCCGCCGCGGTCGTTGCGCTCCATGGTGCGCATGGAGCGCGTGAACCAGCCCTCGGTCTTTGAGCGAATGTTCTGGTAGACGGGCGGGCCGGGCATGTCGGCGGTGCCGCCTTCGCTGCGAATGTCGAAGCCGTCCTCGCTCGCCTCGGTGCGGTGGAAGGACAGCGGCTTGCCGTGCCCGAGGTGGCTGTTGTTCGTTCGTGGTCCCGCTCCGGCTGGAGAAGCTGCAGCACCCATAAGCGTCGTGATACTGGATGCAACGCCGCCACCGCCATAAGACTCGCCATCCATGTCACTCCCTGGGGAGATGGGGGGGTGCTCGGCAGTGTCGGGAGACGCAAAGGCCGCCTCGGCGGTGCCCTTGGTGTCCACTGCGAGACCCTTGCCGAGCTTGCCCACACGCGCGTTCCACTTGCTGGTGCTTGCCGAGGTGATCGAATCGAAGGGGTTGGGGACCATGGGCCGCTTGACGTCCGACTCCTCAATCTCGGTGGCGACGTCGCTGGCAACGAAGGGGTACAGGCGGGCGAGGTCCGCCTGCGTGCCGCGGCAATAGTCGTTGCACGCACGCGAACGGAGGAGCATGCCCTGCGACTTGGTGAACAGGTTGTAAGGCGTGTAGACGAAGGGGGGAGGCGGCTTGTCCGAGTCGTGGCGGCCAGAGCGGACACCGGGAGCCTGGACACCGGACGCACGCGACTGGACAGGGGTGATACGGGCCTCGGGCGCACCGAGAACGACCTCGAGCATGATCATCTGGGCGGGAACCTTGTCGTCGGCCTCGGACGTGGGGAGGTCGAGGATCTCGGGCGACAGGCGCGCGGTCAACTGCAGGTCGGGCCAGCAACGGAGGGCCGTAGTGAGCGCCTCGACTGCCACGGCAATAGCCGCCTGGAACTCGTACAGAGTCTCGTCAAGCGACATGGTCGACTCATTGTCCGACGCCTCGGCCTCTTGGACGGCGTCGTTGCACTTTTGCAGCACTTCGCCCATGCTCAAGTTGGCACAGTCGCGCACGAAATTACGCATTGCAGGGGTGAGAGGGTAGCCGACATCGGGGAGACGGTAGGCAGGGATCTGGTGACGGGCAAAGTTGTAGACAAGGACGTCGAGACCGTTGTCCGCGGCGGGGCGCACACCAAAGAGACCAAGGTACGCACCACCGGCCTGGACGACGGGGCGGGTACCACGCTTGGCGTACGTCTTGCACGCGGAAAGGAAGACGTCCATCTCCGACTTGGAGACACCCATGTTGTCGGCGAGGGTCTTTGAGAAGAAACGCGTCTCGGTGAGACGGTAGCCGCGCGAAAGGTACGAGTCAATGTTGTCGGTCGACACGCCAATCTGCTTGTCTGCACCGGGCACGTCGTGTGCGGCCGGGGCACCGGCGCCAATGGTACGGACAATGAAGAGCATGACACCCTCGGACGAGTGGAGGCGGAGCGTGATACCGTGGATGGACGACTCGTCGTCACCCTTGGGGTTCTTCTCGTCGGCAACCTCGGGAGCGTTGGGGTTACGCGTACCGGTAGTAAGCACACGGTCAAACATGACGCCGAGCGACTCGACGGAAAGGTCGAGCTGGTGGGCGAGCAGCACACATGCCTCGACGAAACGCGAACGGAAGAGAAGCTGCTCCCAGGCGGTACGGTTCATCGAGCGGTCCGAAGTGGGAGGAGCCGACTGGTCCGATTTCTTGGTGCGAGTGGCAATTTCGCGGAGAATGCGGGGGACAAAGGGGGTAATGATGTTCCAGTTGAACGAGAGCTGGTAGAGCCACTGGAAGGTGGGGCGACGGGGGTCGAGCTCACCCAGGACGCGCGACAGGTCGGCGTCCGTCTGGATAATCTGCATGGGGATGGTACCGTCGTGGCGCACAAGGAGCTTGCCAGTCTGGTCAAACGCAGCCGACGCGACGACAATGTGACGGGCCTTGTCACGAATGTCACGACGGATGAGGTAGTCGAGCGCGGCAAGGGCGATCGAAAGAAGAATGATACAGCCACACATGACTGAAATGGCAATGGTGAGGGTGTTGGACTGCTTCTGACCGTTGGACAGACGGTGGGCGAGGAGCGTGGGGTCGACGTTCTTCTTGGCACGGTACGAAGCACCGCCGAGACCGAGGTAGTGCATACCGCACACGGCGGCAGCAAGGAATACGGCACAGACGCAGCGCTTCCAGAACGAGTCCTGCCACTGCTCGCGAAGACGGAAGAAGAGCGACAGGGCGACGGTGGCAGCGACACACGCAAGGATGAGCGCAAACACGACCGTGACGGCCGAGTAGCCAACGTCGAGATCCTGAAGCTTGAACGCAGCCGAGTAGTGCATGAGACCGACTGGGCCGGGGTGTCAGCAGTGTGCGTAGCAGCGTGCACGGCGACGGGGCGACTTACTGGTGAGACCGACCATGACACCCGAGACGAGACCACGCCACCAAACGAATTCGGCCTCGGATCCCATAAACCAGAATGCAAAGCTCGTGGCAATGAGGGGAACGAAAAGAGAGAGGGCAGTCATGCCGGGGGAGAACTGGAAGGGGGTGTGAGCACACGGCGCGAAACAGGCGCTTGGACCACCACCACTTACAATAAGATACCATGTCTTGTTGGTGTAGTCGGGTGTTGGGCGAAGACGAATTGAAATCATCGAGACGAAATGCATACCCCACACGGCGACGGCCGCGAAACACACGGCAGCAAGCAAAAGGAGTGACAGGTTGCGGAATCCGCGCGCCGATGTACGACGACCCAGGACCAGCAGGGTGGCGTAAGAGCCTAGGACGGACACGAGAATGGAGGCGACAAGCACACCAGGCTGCAGGTGGATGGGCACCGCATGCGTGGTGTAGTACTCGACGAGAGCCTCATCATCTGGGCACAGCGTGAGTACATGGGGTTTGCCAAAGGAGGTGGTATCGGAGGCCCTAGTGGGTGCGGTGGGGTGGTGTTGTGACTTACCGTACCAAGTGGAGTTGGGTGGCCAGACGGGCATGGTGGAGAAGCGGCGTAGAGCCGGGACGGTGTCTGAGACGGTGTCAGTGTCGTCTTCAGAATGAAAAGAAGATGGTGTCTTGTTGCGAAGGTGGAGTGGGTGAATGCAGGAAAAGCATGGGGGGGTTGCCGAGAAGGGCAGCGTTGGGAGCGTTGGCTGGGGGGGGGGGGGGGGGGGGGGGGATCGATGCGACAGGCGCTCAAAGGCACCGTCTCTCGTGCCAACGTCGGTGCTCGCGACGGCCCAAGCTGCAACATGTCCTTTGCGGCACATCCCGCCGCCATCGCCGCCGCCGCAGCGTCATGCGAAGAACATGGTCTGATCCGCGAGAGCGTGTGCGAGGGCCCCCGTCTCTCTAGCGGGACGGGTCTGCCAGCTCTCAATGGTGACCTGGCAGCGCGCGCGCGCATCGTACCGCCACACATCCACCCCCCTGCCCAGCGATCCGGCGACTGCCCTTGAGCGATCAAAGCTGCTCAAAGTTTGCACCGCTGCTCGACTCTGTTGCACAGTGCCCGGATTTCCGGGGTGCAGAGGCATGTCTAAAAGTGGGCAGACGGGAGACAAGAGGTCAGACACACCAGACGCCATGAAATGTGCCGTGGCGAGAGAGCCAAAACACCCATCAGATATGGGTCCAGACGCTCTTCTCGCTGCAACTCTGTGCGTCCGTGCCTCCGAGTGCAACCTTGGCCGCTCGTCCCTCCGCCCTGGGCACCACCCGCACCCCACCACCCCACCGCACCATCGTCGCCGCCCACAAGGCCGCGCTCATCACTACGCGCGCGCGACCGACGGTCTGGCAGTGCGAGGCGCAGGGGGAAGAGTGTGGGGGGACCGGAGCGACCCATCGGACGCGGGGCGCGGCGGGACGTGTTCCCAATTTAATGGCACACCCAAACCAGTTCCCCGGCTGTCTCTGTCGAGCCCGTCGCTACTACCGGCGCCACTAGCACAAGGACCAGCGGGCAAGGAGGGCACATGGTGCACTGTGCGCGCACTGTGCGGACAGTTGGCGCGCGCAAAGGACGCGCCTGTGCTTCTCGAGGTCTGTGTACAGAGGTTGTCTGGACACACACTTGTGTGACGCGGATGACAGGTTGAATCTGTGCTGGCCGCACCGGAGACGCACGCTGACTGCGAGCGATGGCCCGCACACCCGCACCAGCAGATGCACGCTCTTTATCTCTCCGCAGTGTTCCAAGGCAACGGGCGATAGTCCCCTCCGTCGTCTCTTCCCCTTTCGCATCGTCGCACGCATGCATGCACGCAGCCGTCTCTGAACCAACTCACTGTGAGGAACCGGGCTGGCCGGCACAAGTCTTCCTCCCGAAGGTCAACACTCGGGCGCTGGGCGGGTGCCTGCGATGTAAGGTGGGGGTCCTGCCTCCGGCCGTGGTGTGTGGAGTGTGGTGGTGGAGAGTGTGTGGGTGGGTGTGCTGGGCGATGGGGAGTGGGGGGGACAGGCGGCGAACGAACGGGTGTTGTCGACGAGCTGGGTGGGTAGCTGGTGCAGTTGGAAGACGAAGCGAAGAAGAGAGAGAGAGAGAGATTGGTGACGACGAGGAGAAAGAATGGAGAGAATGTGTGTGGAGAGAGGAGACACTGACACGGGAGACCCAGAGTGGTGGGTTGGGTCTCCTGTCGGTCTCTGTCGCTCCTTCCATTTCCTGGACCCCGACGGTCTGTCCTGGATGCTGGCCCTGCCAGTCTCTCTCTCGCTCTAGCCGGCGCGCTCGATTCCCACATGCATGCAGCCATGCAGCCATTGCAGCAGCACTAACAGAGCGCACTACTGCAACAATTCTTTCCCGCCCGAGACCGCCGACAGGCCGCGCGCAGTTGGCGCCTCGTTACCTGCCCCGCCCGCTCCTGAGACTGGGGAGGCGCCGGGTGGGCGATGGACGCCGCCGTCTGCTCGCTCGGATGCTGCTCCTGTGCTCCTGGTTGCGGCTCCTGCGCTCCTGTCTCTCTCCAGCAAGGGGTACGGCATGTATCGCCAGTGAAAGGGGTTTGGCCAAAAACGGTCGGGCAAGCTCGAGAGCTTATTGCGAGAGAGAAACCTTTTTCGCCATGTGCGCGGCACTCACCGCAGATCTGCGGTCCCCCTTTTGCTCTCCTGGTGTGGGCCAGGCAGAGCGTTCTGCCCACCAGGCCACCAGGCTCACGCAGCACGTGCCCCTCCGCAGACCACAGAAGCACACTCGTACTCCCACCCAGCCTTCCACTGGGTCGCGCGTTTGTTTGAATGTTCTGTCAGAGCTTGAGCATGTGGCCCCGCCCAGTACACGATGACCACGGAAAACTGATCGCCTCAGCCATCAGCCACTGATCCCCCCACTGAGACACCACCGTGGCACAAGCACATGCATGGCGTGCAAAACCTGCCTCCTGGTGACCTGGTGCTGCACGCTGTGCCCCCGTCTAGCACTCTCGTGCACTCGCGCTGCTGATCTCCTGGCAGTCACCTCTGCCTGTCACCTCTCGTCCGGGCCCAGCCCTGCGCGCCTCCATTATCGCCATTTGGCCATTTGGTCTCAGCCCCGCGCTGTCGCCGAAATAGCGTCCGCCATCGGACGCGAAAGCATTCGCCGGAATTTGGGCATTGACGCCAGGCATCGAGGGAGACAAGTGAGGGATCGAGGGATTAGGGGAGGAATGGGGAATGGAGGGGAGGGAGCGAGGAGGGGACAGAGGGGGAGAGAGGGGCAGAAGAGGTTAATCCGCGAAGCGACAAGGGTGCCATGGGCGTGGAAAAGCGTCATGGGTGGCCGGTGCTGCTGCTCGCCGCCGCCGCCGCCGCCGCCGCTTCCGTGAAAGCAATTCCGGGAAGCACAAGATCAGAAACGGCAGCCAAGCCAATATAAGTCATCTACGTGATCTAGAGTGTAGTGCAGTGTGTGTGTGTGTGTGTGGCCCATGTTCAATCGCATTTTTTTTTGGCCCACGGCAGAGATCGCAGAGACATGAGACATGGCTGCAGTGAACGCGTGCACCTTGCATCTTGCGCGGAAAAAAAAAGAGTTTTGCCTCAGGGAGACACCGGGTACACCGGAGCAAAAGGAAGGTTGTAAAATCCTGGAGAGTTCAGTTGGCGAGAAGCGAGGTAACCTCGATACCAGCTCCTGTCAGAAATTCCAGAAAGCTGGGACAGTCAGGTCAGCATGTGCACAGGTGCACTGGGCGAGAGGCGGCCGGTGACACAGGCAGACCTGTCAATATGCGTGTGTGGGCACGCAACGCCGTCCAATGGCCATGCCCCCGTTGTCCCCCGTCCACGCCAGACATGCCTCATGCCTCCGCTCATGAGGCGCGCGCGCCGCCACCAGAGTGATCGACTTGAATGGACGGCGGCGGGGAGCGTTGGTGCATAACGTGTTAACCGGTAGAGCGCGATGACGGGCCCGCGGTGGGCAGTCTGTGGGACACGGCCAACGAGACACAGCTGTTCATGTTGTGAATCCCGAGTCGCGATTGCATCGAGACCGTGGTTAGATATGACGGCCAAGACACTAACTCACTTATGGCCACTTGAACCAGGCCCAGACACACCCCGCCCGCCGCTGACGGGCACTCGCTACCCATCGCCCAGATGCTGCCATTACCGTTCCCGTGTTCCACGTCTCCGCACATAGGTCAAAGGGAAACACTCCCAACATGGCCAGACTGACCGGTGGACGCCGTGCACAGTATATGTACATACGTGCACGCGTGCCGGCTCTCGGCATGTGGGTATCGATGGGTTACACCATAAACCTGCCTGACGCTCGGTATACCGAAGCGAACAGCGCAGAACAGAACACACCTACACATCCACCCCAGGGCCTTCCCGCCGACGTTTCTAGCTTGTCGTCGTGCCAGGCCCCCCGCTTCCCGGCCCCCCCTAGGCTAGCCGCATGAGAGAACATGCAAACGTTCCACCCATGCCTCAAGAAGAAGAACGGCACAACGGAGACAGCAGCGTCGTACACCCGTCGGGGCCACGGTGGTGCGTCTGTGGTGTGGACTGTGGACTGTGGACGGCGCAGGCGGAACGCTTGCGCTTGCCACAGCATGACCCTGTGAATCGCATCACGACACGCGACAGGCTGCGGCTCATGCTTATAAAACGTCGTGATCGGGTGTGTCCATTTCTTTGCTTCTCTTGACCTGACTGACTTGGTGCTTTGTGTTTGTTGAGTCCCGCAATGCGCGATTGTCTGACGTTTTGAGGGTGTTGTTGGATGACACTGCTACACTGATCCCACTGACCAGCTGGCAATACTGCCCCTGCTCTCCCTGTGCGGAATCACCTCCAGATTGGCGGTACGAGCGGGGCCGCCGCTCCGTGCCGCGTGCTGGGACGCATCGGGAGGCGACGGACGACATAGAACGCTGGTAAGCTGGGGCGGGTGTCTTGTTGGATACCGTAAGCACACCGCTGTTCTGTCGTGATCGCGCACCCCTTCCGAACCCATTCTCGTAACGCCCAGTTCGACGCGGCAGACATACTCGATCACTTCCTCGTCCGTGCGGCTTGGCTGCCGCACCTAGCGCCACTTACGAGACCGTGTGCGCGTCGTTATGTATAAGGCGCCACCTCGAGCCATGATCGCAGCAGGACATATAGCGACAATGCCCATCGACAGTCGGCCATCTACTGTGTCACAATGTGCTGATGAGGAGCCACCTCTCAACTGCCCTAGCAGCCTCCACTACCAACACCGCAGCCATTGCATAGCAGACATCGCACAACATCACCGTCCGCCGTCCACCTTATCCCGCCCTGTTCGACAGGAGTGCGACATGCACTCTGTGACTAACCCCTCCCTTCCGGATGCTATGCTGGATGCCAGTGCCATGCAGCCGAGAGTACGTACGAGACTGCTGATACGGGAAACCATTTGGGGGGGGGTGCCCTTGGTCCTTTAATTCGAGGCAGGCGGGGTTGAGTACAAAAGCAAAGAGGGTGGTGGTCGTGTGGCTACTGTTGGCGCGATGGCCTGTCGCCAGCCCACTTCGCATGCGTGTGCCTTTACAAGTGAAGCCGACCAGTCGGTCGTTTTCGCACCTTGTGTCTTGAATTCCACGACAGGTCGTCGTAGTATCTGTCGTCGTCGTCGCATACCCACTCTAGGACACGAGACCCAGGATCAGCCCAAGGAACAAGAAGTCGACCAAAGATGCCTCCGACATGCCAGGGGAACGGCACGAACAGGTACTGCAGGTACTCGACAAACTGTACCTGCCCTCCCCTCCCTCATCCCTCCCCGCAGCCCAGAGATGGAGAGATCCAAGCAAGAGTCGACGCCAGCAAACGAAGACACGCTGGCGATGACGCTGACGCAACGGTCAGGTACACGAAGTGTCATGCCGCCTCAAAAGCAAGAAAGAAGAACAAAAAACAAAGGCCAAAAGGCGTCGGGAGGTAATAGTCGAAGTACACCGCCATGCCTTCGGGTGCGTTTGTGCCGTGACATGCAACTTGTAACTCCCAGTACCCAGTGACCCTGCTTGGTGCGGGTAGCTCGGAAACGTCTCCTGTTCTTTCGAGTTAAGACCTCGAAACACGCCCCCCCTGGTAGCTGGTTGGCGGCATCGTCGTCGTCGTCGTCGTCGTCACGTTTGCATTTCGTCCTCGAGATGGAATGGGCTGCTACAGACCACACGCTACGGCCACGTGCACGCAGCCCAATGGTCCGGTTATCGTTGACAGTGGCGCCACGCGCATAGAGAACGAGCCACTGCAGAGGGCCACACGAGCACGGCTCCCCCTTCACTCCAGCACCAGCACAAGTACCCACCTGCCGTCGTCAAGCGGGTTTGCCTGGGGCCTGGGGCGACGAAACGGCACATGAGCGCCGAGCCTGCCATCTGGATCTAGCTGATGGCCGAGTTGGGTCGTCTCCCGATAGCCGTTTCACTCCTGTCTACGGCGGCGCTCGCGACATGTCCAACCGCGAGAGCCTGCGACCTGGGCAGCACAGCAGTACAGTACACCAGTACTTTTTTTCAGATTTTCTGCACAAATGCATCCATCCCAGACTGCCACTGATTGCTGCAGCTGCAGTACATAGTGGCGAGGTCTGGGCGATGGGAACATGCTGGTTCCTGCACTCGGTCCTTGTTCGGCACACCGCTTGCACGCTCCTTGTGGTGCAGCAGTCTGCGTTCCCTCGGAACAGCAGCAGGCACTGTGGCTGTAGGAGTACATCATTGGCTGCGTGCTCCCTCGCTGACCCGGGTACATTGTGCTCACAGTATACAGGCAGTCGTCGTACACTGCACTGTACTGTACGCATGGGCAATTCGTTCAGTAATCAGTCGTGTATGCGTTCCTCGTGGGACCGCCACGCTTGTCCGTGGCGCGACGAGGAAGACTGATTGAGTCCGCCTGACATCCACTTCCCATCTTCAGCCCCGTACGTTCGTTCCCTGTGCTTGGTAGGTACACCGCCACAACGCTTGTCTTTAACACAGGTACGCAAGCCGCCTCTCACAGCCGCCTGTTGCCACACATGTGCAGTACTGTAATCTGCATCTACCACTCGTGGCATCTACCTCACGCCCACTCGACGCTCACCGTCGCGTCCGCCACAGCACACACGCTCGTCGTGCCGCCCGGCGGCGCATACACCATCCCGCCCTCGGACGCGACCATGAACCCGTCCAGCGTCACCGGCTCACCCGTCTCTTCGGGCGGCGCAGACCAGTCCGCCTCGTCTGCACGCGGCAGAACCGAGAATGTCAAGCTGGAGGAAGACGTGCGTCGTGCTGCCGGCGGAGCGGTGGTACGGTTGCGCGTGCGTTGCATGAACTGTGGAGTACGTTTCAGCAAAGAAGAAGGAAGGAGCGGGGGCAGGGGTCGGTGGGCATGGGGTGATGATGTGTGCGACTTACCTGCACTGTCTGGCCCGGGAGCAGCGACATCTCCGTGTCGACGCCCAGCGATCCGCGGCTGGGGTCGCCTGAGAGGATACGCACAATGCGTCGTTGGTCCTGCGTCGTGGTGTTCTGGAGATGTACGTGTCAGTGTATTGTTCCAGCACGGCAGCAGTCAGTCGTCAGAGTCCACCGCGTCGCGAGCCCGGCGTCCGACGGAGCCACGTTCGCGCGCAGCCGGCCATCCTCATTGTCCATCCTCGCTTGCCCCACCCAGCACAGCCGGCGGGAATTTGAGGGACGAGAGCATGGCGCCGGACGCACGAGCGCGACGACATGCACTAGGGACCCAAAGTACCCAACTCGCACAAATAAAAGGTCTACGCACCCCGTCAGACTTTGGGTCCGTGATGGCCAGGTAAAAGTCCTCGTCCTTGGTCAAGCTGGCTGGCCGGCCGACATCACGCCGTTGCAGTGCGAGAATCAACGTTTGTGTGGGGTTGGGCGCGCCTTCCATTGACAAGAGGAGGTTTCCGCGACACCTGGGGGCGCCGTCAGCGTTCCTGCTGTCGCGATTTCACGCAGCAAGAGGTGACAGCACAGTGTACAGTGAGGACGAGACGGGTCACGAGATGGGTCAAGGTCCACGGCACGAGATGGGTGATTCGTTCCGGATCTTCATCTCGCTCGTCTCATCATCGCCCCATCTCACCAATGTCACTGGCTGCGCTGCGCTGCCCTCACCACATACCCCCTGCACTCACCTCTCAACGACGTATTCCTTGTCCAGTGCCTCCACGCCATACTCTGTCTCGACCGCTGGCGCAGGCATACCAGAGAACACGAGACCGACGCTGCCGACCGAATACGGCTGGCCCTTGTGGAAGAGTGTGTGTGGGCGGCCGGTGAGGAACGGTGTCGGGGCGGACATGATGCCGAGCTGCGTGGCGAGAGGGCGTCAGCGCCGTCGTGGTTCGAGCAGTGGAGTTGCGGGTATAGTGGGTCATGAGGGGCACTGCACCAGCACCACCACGCCAGCAGAACATGGAGGACAGACTCACCTTGACGGCGTTGGGGTACGCGTCCATTGCAGCCAGGACGGGATGCGGCGTGCCGTCCGTCAACGCCACGACCGCGGTCGCTCTGCCACAGTCAGCGAACATGCCGTCTTCCACCTCTCCCCACCCCTACCCCCACCCCCGACGTCCAGCACTCACCGGTCCGTATCCCGCCCATCACCCAACACCACCCCCTTATCCTCTGGCGCCCACAGGCTATCCCACCCGCCCTTCTCCAGCGCCGCCTCGAGCTCGCCCACAGTGTCCCCGCGCGTGTCCGCCATCCAGTCCGTGCCGACGCGGTGCCACCGGCCGACCTCGGCGGGCCCCCGTCCCGTCTCGGAGACGTACCACGTCGACACGGTCTCGTGCTGCTCGGGCGTGAACGCTGCGATGGCGAGGGAAGGCGCGGAGGAGGAGGATGAGGTGGTGGCCAACGAGGTGGGGGCACTGGCAGCGGCGTGGAACGTGCCCACGGCGTCCAGGCCCGCCAGAGGCGCCAGCAGCGGCGACAGCGCGTCACCAGGCAGCGACGTGCACAGGCTGAAGAGGACGACGGAGCGCGGGGACAGGCCCAGTCCCGCGATGTGGGACTCGACTGCTTGCGGTGTAGGGTGGAGGATGGTGTGTGCCGAGACGTGGAGCGCGCGCCGGGGGAGTGGTGAGGGCAAAGGTGAGGATACGCGGGCGCGCGTCCTTGTGAGGCCTGACAGGCCAGCGAGGCGCGGCATGGTGTGCGGTGAAAGATGACAACAATGACTGTCTGGAGGTGGACATTTTGGGAGTTCATGGAGGTGGAGGTCGATGAGGAGATACCGTGGGAGACTTGGTAAGTGGTCAATCGCGTTCGGCATATTTCTACCGCGTGAGTTGCTTCCAGACATAGACATGCAGACACCACTGCCGTCGACGCAAATGTTAAATGTGTAGCAGTCCCTACAGTGCACAGTGACTTCTGCTGCTCGAGTTGAACGCTTGAGACAGCTGCTCCACTTTGTCTCTCCAACGTTATCCAGTCACCATCGTGTGCCCTGCCACACTTCCGCTCGCCCACTGGCTCCCGTCACGTCCACTCCATTCTATACCAAAAGATGCATTGCATATGCCTATGCTCCTACAACTAACACCGATTACCACCTGCCAGCACCGCCACCACGGGTAGGCGCTGGGGGGGCACCACGGCCGCGTGCCGAGCCACCGCGGCGCCAGGCGCCGCCACGCTCGGGGGCGGCACCGTCAGCGCCGGCAGGAGGGGTGCCGGCGGGGGAACGCTCCGGGGTGCCGTTGGCCAAGGGCGAGGCGGCAGCGGCAGCGGGGGCGGCGGCGGGGGCAGCAGCAGCAGCCGGTGCGGGGGCAGGGGCAGCGCCGCCAGCGGCCTCGGCGGCCTTCTTGGCGGCGAGCTTCTCGCGCCAGCCACCGGGGGCAATACCGGCGATGGCGGGGCGGGCAGACTCGGCAGCAGGTGCGGCGGCGACGGGGGCGCGGGACACACCGCCGGCCGAAGCCTGGCGACGGGCAAGGGCGGCCTCCTCGCGCTCCTGCTGGCGGCGGATGAGCTCGGCGTCCTTTGCGCGCTGGGCCTCGCGCTCGGCACGGAGGGCGGCGGCCTTCTCCTCGGCCTCCGCCTTGCGCTGCTCAATCTCGGCACGCGCGCGGGCCTCCTCCTCCTCCTGCTCGGCGGCGGCGCGGGCCTCCTCCTCCTCCTGCTCGGCGATGCGGCGCTCCTCCTCCTCGCGCTCGGCAATCTCGGCGTCGCGAGCCTCCTTCTCGGCCTTGCGGCGGGCAAGGACGTCGGCGAGGAAACGCTGCTTCTCCTCGGCGATACGCTGAGCGGCGGCGGTGCGGGCAGCCTCAAACTCGGCCTGGCGCTGCGACTCGACGAGCGAGCGGGCGGCGACGTAGTCGGGCATCATGCGGCCAAGACGGGCCTTGAGCTCTATGGCGTGCTTCTGCTGGGCAATAGCAGCCTCGCGAGCGTCGGCGTTGGCGCGGTGGTGGTTCTCCAGGTCGTCCTTCTTCTGGCGGTCGTAGTCGGCGGCCAGGAGAGGGCGCTCCTCCTTGCGGTAGGCACGCTCGAGGTGGTCGACGCGCTTGGCGACGATGCGGAGACGCTCGTTGAGCTCGCGCTTCTCCTTGGCAATCTGCTCGACCTGCATGGCGACAATCTTGGTGGTGTCAAGCTCGTCGTCCTTGATGGTCGAAATGTCAATCTTGAGCGACGACTTCTGGGCGAGCTGCTCGGCAAGCTTGAGGGCCTCCTCACGACGGGTGGCCTCCATCTGGCGCTGCAGACGGTCGACCTCGGCCTGGCGGGCAGCCTCCTTGGCAAGACGGGCGTTCTCCTCGGCCTGTTGCTTGGCACGCTCGGCCTTGGCGGTCGACTCCTCGCGCTCGCGGCGGAGGTTGGCCTCCTCCATGAGCTCGCGACGCTTCTGGACAATGAGGCGACGGTGCTCGTTGCGCTTGTGCTCCTCCTCGGCCTCGGCAATGGCGGCGGCAAAGGCCTCGGCACGCGACACCTGAGGGGTGGGGTTGAGGAACTGGATGGCGTTGTGGAGGTAGAGGGCAAGGTTGGAGAGACGGTTGAGGTCGGCGGGGGGAGCGGCAAAGTTGACAGTCTTGGCAACGTGGTCGACAGTGGCGTTGATGTCACCACGACGCGAGGCGGTCATGAGGAACTTCTCAAGAGCCGACATGTCGGTGGCCCAGGGGCCGTTGTCAAAGGCCTTGACAAGGTTGAGGACCTGCGAGAGCGAGACAGTCTCGTAGACCTGCGAAAGCTCCTGGATGAGACGCGAGAGGACAACGTCACGGAGAGCAGGGAGGTAGGCGGCAAAGTCGGCAGGGAGGCTGGCGACGAGGGGAGCAAGGAGCTTGCAAGCCTTGAGGGGCTGGAAGTCGACCTCGATAACGTTGTACAGCTGACGGACGTCGGCGGGGACACGCTTGAGGTGCTTGGCAGCGGCGTCGCGGACAAGAGCCTGGCGAGTGGGCATCTTGGGGAGGTTGAGGAGGGCAACGAGACGCTGCTTGGTCTCGACGTCACCGAGGGGCACAGCGAGGGCCGAGAGAAGGACAGCGGCGGGGGCACGGTCCGAGACGGTGCCGGCACGCTCGGCGTACTGGTAGTAGCGAGCCCAGGCAGCGGCGTGGAAGACGGCAGTCTGCTTGCCACCCTCAGCCTTGAAGATCTGGGTGAGCTTCTCGTAGTAGTTGGCCATCATCGAGGGCTTGGCGCCCTTCTTGCCGGCAACGAGACCGTGAACGTCCTCGACCGAGCGGAAGGCCTCCTGCCAGAGCTCGAGCTCGACGGCGGTCTCGAGCTGGAGGAAACGAGTGTCGAGGTGACGCGAGAGGGTCTCGGGGTCGGCGAGGTTGACGGCGTGCTGCTGGTGGCCGTACTTTGTGGCGTTGGCGAGGTCCTTGCGGAGGCGCTGCTCGCAGAGACGACGGAAGTCCGACTTGCGCTGGTGCTCCTTGCAGAAGGCAAAGGCGCGGTGGGCAATCTGCTGGTAGATGACCTCGAGACGGTCGTTGCCCTTGGCAATGTCGAGCGAGACATCGTACGCGTCCCAGCAAAGCTTCTGGGCAGGGGCGATCAGGGAGCGCTCAATGCGCTCACGGTCACCGGCGCTGTCGATAAAGGCATCGAACAGCATGGTCGCGGGCTGGAGGGGGAGGTCGTCGTCCTCGGTCTCGGCGGGGGCAGCGGGGAGAGCGGCAACCTTGGACTCGGCCTCCTTGGTGGCAGCGGCAAGGCGCGACTCGGCCTGCTCGATAAAGTGGAGGAGAACCTTCTCGATAGAAGCCACGTTCTGGTTCTGAGCGGCGTTCTTGTACTGGACAAGGGCCTCGCGGGCATCGTTGCGACGCTGGAGAGCAACACAGAGGTCGATGTACTTGAGGACAATGGGCTCAAGGGTGGGGATCGGGGTGTGCTTGAAGCGCTTCCTGTGACATGGGTCAGTGTCCTTTCAAACTTGTCCGCCCGCCCCGGAGTGATGGGAAACACGGAACACATCGCGCGACATTTCATTGACGCGCGACTTTTGTGTGTTTTTGTCACGCACGACTGGAAGACCTCGGAGAGGAACTCGAAGGCCTGGGCCTGCGACTGGGTGGTACCGAGAGCAAGGAGCTCCTCGGCACGCCTGAGGGCGTTCTCAGGCTTGACGTAAACGGGGGCATGGTGGTGGTTTAAAGTGGTGGTGGGTTGGGCCGGACTGATTTGTCGTCGGTGTATGGGCGCGCGCTGTGGGCCTTTTTGGGAGATGTGTTGGGGGGAGGGAAGCAGACTACTATCTTCCTCGCTGCCAGCAGGTTGCTATAGGCAGTGATTTATCGATGCAGTGGCTGCAAGGAGGGGTAGAGGAGGAGGGGGAGGGGGTGGGTAGGTGGTGTTGGATGGACGTTGGGTGGCTCGTGGCGGCTCGAAAAGTGTGCATCCTACGGCCACTCCCCCACCCTGGCAGCTGCTGGCTGGCTGGCTGGCGGGCAGGCAGCGTGGGCCTGCTGGCGGTACGCTGGGTGGCACGGGCGAGAAAATGCCGAAACGCAAACCCCGCCCATGAGCCCATGTGGCACAAGAGAGGCCGTCGTGGGTGCATCATGTGGGGTCCCCGCAGAAATGACTGCGCACGAGCGACGAGAGCGTGTCATACGGTGCGTACGGTGCGCACCGCCCATTGTGTGTGTGGACACTGCGGCCGGGCCAGTGGCCAGTGGGATACAAGCCGGTCGTCGTCGTCGTGCCATCTAGCCATCTCCCTCATCACCCAACCCATTCCCCACACCCAAACCATCGACTGATCCAGCACCATGGCTCAGTCATTGCAGCACTTGTAAGTACAGCCGGCGCCTCGCACCCCCCGCCCCCTTGCACTCAACCACACCCTTTTCACTAACACTCCCCAGCGGCCGAGGTGGTACGTTGCTATAGTCTAGGTCCCCGATTCGCACATGCCCGTGTGACATCCCGCTGACGTCGTCCGACAGCCATCCGGGTGGCCAAAAACTACACCAAGGGCTACAGTGACACGCAGGTGAGTGCTAGCAGCAGCATACATCCATCCCCCCCACCCTTCAGCAGCACTGACACACACCCACAGACCAAGGTCCGCGATGCCACGTCCAACGACCCTTGGGGCCCGTCGGGCACCCAAATGAACGAGGTTGCCCAGCTCACCTACAACCAGTGAGTCTCATCTTTTTTTTTTGGTAACAACAAGGCCGTAGTGGCTGACCCATGCTTAGGGGTGACTTTGTCGAGATTATGGAGATGCTCGACAAGCGTCTCAACGACAAGGGCAAGAACTGGCGTCATGTGTTCAAGGTGAGCGCTTCCCTTCACAGTCGAACGCGGAGAGTGTCGCACTGCGGCCGATGACACCGTGGCGATGACCGGTGTTGGCCAACCAGGGCTTTGCCGACGACCAAGACGACGGCAACGCCCGCGGCGTTGCGCCCCGTGCATTTTGCCTCTTGTCTTGGCCTTTGCGTCATCCCGGCTGACACTGTTTCACAGGCTCTGACGCTGCTCGACTACTGCCTGCACGCCGGCAGCGAGAACGTTGTCATCTACTTTAAAGACAACCTGTACATTGTCAAGACGCTCAAAGAGTTTGTCTATGTCGACGACCAAGGGAAAGACGTCGGCCACAATGTCCGTCAAAAGGCAAAGGACATTACCAACTTGCTCCAAGACGAGGAGCGTCTGCGCGCCGAGCGCCGCCAGCGCGGTGCCATGCGCGACCGTATGCTCGGCAACATTGCCGATTCGGGTTTGCGTGGCGAGGAAGACTTTGGCGCCACCCCAGAGGGCCGCGACCGTCGCGCTGCAGGCCGTAACCGTGACGACGACGAGGAGTTGCAGCGCGCCATCCAGGCGAGCATGGACTCGACGGCGGACGACGACCGCCGCCGTTCGCAGCGTGTCAAGGAGGACGACGATCTGCAAAAGGCCATCAAGTTGAGCGAGGAGGAGGACGCCAAGCGCAAGCAGGAGCAGGAGGACGCCAACGCCACAGCGCTGTTTGACGACTCGTTGCAACTCAACTCGAACAGCCAGTACGGCCAGCAGCAGCAGCAGCCCATGGGCATGATGGGCACCGGGTACCCATTGGTCGACATGTCCAACAACGGCTGGAACCAGGGCCTCCAGCCCCAGTTCACCTCGTACAACCCCTTCCACGCCCAGATGCTCGCCCAGCAGCAGCAGGAAGAGTACATGCGCCAACAGCAACAGCAGCAGATGATGCAGCAGCAACAGCAGCAACAGCAACTCCTCCAGCAGCAACAGCAGGAGGAGTACATGCGCCAGCAGCAGATGATGGCTCAGCAGCAGACCGGTCTCTTTGCCCAGCCCACGGGCTACGGCTCCAACAACCCCTTCGCGCCCCGCCCCACCGGCGGCAGCCTGTTCGACAGCCAGCCCTCGTCGGCCAACAACTCGTCCTTCCTCCCCGTCCCCTCCATGCAGACCAACACGCAGAACACGTCCGTGTTCGGGACCTCCCCTTCGTCCATGCCGTCTTCCCTCGGCCAGAGCCCCTCCCCGCAGGCGGGCACCCCCGCGCAGCGCCCAGTCGCGGCACGGCAGCAGAGCGACGGCGCCAACGCCCACCTCGCCAACCTCATCGGCCGCGGCCGCGAGGACGGTCTCGATACGTTTGGAAACATGGGTACCCTCCGTGAGTGCGAGCGAGCGCGGGCGCAAGCGCTGGCAAAGCCAGCGCGGATGCGAAGCGGGAGTGGTCGTGTGCGTGGATCCACATGTGGGGCTGTCGCTTCTCGCGTTCGTGGGAAGCGCAACAAACCTACACACGCACGCACGCACCCTCTCGCACAGTACAGTACAGCAGCTGACATTTCCCCCAGGTGTTCCCGTCGGCACGGGCTTCGCGTCCACCGGCACCCTCGGCGCCAACAACCCCTTTGGCAGGCCGCAGATGACCGGCCAGCAGATGACCGGTGCGGGCGGCGCCGCCCAGCTCCAGCAGCAGACGGGGCAGCAGCAGCAGCGGCCGACCGACCAGCCCTTCTTCCAGATCTAGATCCGGCCAGTGCAGTACATCACCGCCAGTACATGATGGCGGTGTAGGACGATAGAGAAGGAAGCAAGGAGTGTGGTTCCCCCCGCCCCTTCAGTCGTCACGGACGTGGCCTACCGAGGTGGAACCACCGGTGGAGGTGCTGTTGTCGCCATGACGGGCAGCCGAGGAAGGGAGGGAGAGAGGAAGGAACACGTTTCTGCCGAGCATGGTGCTGGAGGAGAGTCTCCCCCCCGTGTGTATGCGTTTTTTTTCCGATTTTTGAGTTTTGCGTTTTGTTTTCTGCGTTTTTGTTGTGAGATGTCAAAAGGAGAGCCCTAGTTTTACGACCGACCACGAGATCCGCACACGCACACGCACACGCACGCATACACCCGCATGCAGGTTTATTCTTTTCTGATTGCAGGAGGACAGTGCTGCGAGGAATGAGGTGAAGACACCGGGTCGCATAATTCTAAGACACAAAGGAAAAGTGGAGGAAAAAGAGAATAACAACCAACGGGGGCATGGTGGGGTGGTGGATACAACGATGGGGAGGGGGAGGCTACCGACTTGTCTAAAGTCGGCGCCGGTGCGAGGTGTGTGAGGCGAAGTGAGGTGAGGCGGTATGGGTGTGGAATCTAGCGACGCGCAATGAGGGCCAGGAGCAGCACGACCAGTGCGCCGATGAGCGCGTCGAGCCACATGGGGCTGGCGCGGCGTTGGCCACGGCGGCGAGGGGGCACGGCAGTGAAGCGCGCGGGAACGGTGGCAAAGGCCACGTTGGCGTTGCCGTTCGTGTTACCGTTGCCGTGGTGGGTGATGTGGTTGTTGGTACGGCCGTTGGGTACGGGTACGGGTGCGACAGGCTGCGCAGCAGGTGGCTGTGCTGCCACGACAAAAGCAGGTGTGCTGGAGGTCTGGGCCTGGGGCTGTTCCACGACGGCCGAGGGCGGTGCGGCCGCGAGCTCGTCCGCGGCAACATCACCAGCTCGCGCAGTCGATGCCTCGCCAACACTTGGCACGGGAACAACAGCTGCCACGGGCAAGACGACGCCAGCCAAAGTCGAGCTTGATGGCGCGGAGAGGGCCGCATCCGGGTGTGAGGCAGCCGGAGAAGCGGTCTCGTCCACAACTGGTCCGGTGCGAGACCCGGCGCCCTCGCTGTCGGCAACGTGGCCAGCGGACACGTCGCCCACAGCGGGGAGTGGGAGGGCGCTGGCGGCGCTGTCCACATTCACACTCGCGTCCGCGTCTGAGTTCGCGGTATGTGGTTGGTCATCGGGCGCTGGGGCGGTAACCACAGGCATAGCTGGGAACGTGGAGCCAGTCGCAAGCGGGGGACTCGAGCTCGAGGCCTGTGGCTCGGCTTCTTTCTTGATGACTGTTGGGTCGGGCAGCAGGGACACATTGGTGGCGTTACATGTGGGACATGTCCAGTCGCGAGACCTGGGTTGTCAGCTGTACGGTATATGTCACAGCTGGCTGATCAAGTGCTCGCCCAGCCAGCCAGCTAGACTTCCTTCCGCCCCACTCACAACTTTGCCAGCCTCCGCCTCTCGTCCTTGGGATAGTCCAACGCGCCAATCGCACTCAGCGCCTCGCCGTCCTGAGTCCAGAACGCGCGCAGACCGGTGATGGCCGTCCGCACGCCCCAGGCAGGTTGCCATGAGCCGGCGTGGAACGACGTGAGGCCGTCGATACAGATCTGGACGTGTCAGCGGACGTTCACAGCTTGGCCAAGCTAGGATCTTCAACGGTGCGGGATGTGGAGAGGGCCAAGGTGCTGTCGAGGGGTAGAGGGGGACGGTGTCGCCGCCACCTTTCGGCCGAGGTGGTCCCAAGAACCTTGTCTACAACCTGGCGGAGGCGCCCACAGAACGGTGCGCCCACAAAACACATTGGCCTCGTCACAACAACTGGCGCCCATGGAGAAGTACGCGACGTGGCCGCAGCACCCTCTCACCGTGGCCGCGTCGCAACAAGGTTGCCGCTCACTCACCTTCTTGCCCAGCTCGAACCGGCCGCTCGGTGTCATGAGCACAATGTCGGGTGCGCTCATCGGATAGCTTGGTGGGAGGATGATACGGAGGTGGTACAGACCTGGGACAACAATCAGCTAAGAACATACGAGGTCCAGGTGAAGGAAAGTGCGGCTCAGTTGCGCAGTAGCAGCGATGACAGAGCCGCTCATCTTCTCGTCCTAGGAAGCCGATGGACACTCACCGCCTTCATAGTCGGTGCCGGGAACACCGCGGAGCGTGCAGTGCCATTCAAAGATATCCGACTGGCGAGTCAGTTGTGTCCATGCATTTCCAGGTGCTGTCAACTGGACGAGCAAGGGCAGACACATCGCGCAGCTGCCTCGGTGACGGACACTGTAGCTGCAGTACCGCATACAACACGGCCCGAGACGACTCACCTCCAGAGGGGCAGCAACAAAGTCGTCCGTGTCCGGATCAGCGAGCTCGGCAGCCTCTTGCATGATACGCTTGACGGCCGAGGAACGGAGGTTGACACGGGGTGCCATCGTGGAAGTGGGAGACTGGATCAAGAAAAGGGAGTTGGGTTGCAAAGGGGTGCGGGCTGTCCACGAGCGCGAGGGCGATAGCACAAGCAGTCAATGCCAGGCTATATATATAAGGAGATGAAGGGAACCACGCGACTGTCGACGTGTTCAGTGTCTGTGGGAAGCTGATTGTTATTGAAAGAGATTGCTGTCGTCGTCGCTCGTACTTCACGCGTCACCCATAAGCAGCCAGCGGTGGCGACATATCTGGGGGGATGAAATTGGGTGGCCGCTCTTCCTCCACCTGCTCTCGGGCACTTGGCTGTTTTCTTCCTTCCGGCGTCAATCTTGTCGTGTTGCCATAAACATTACATCTCCATCCCCCGTTCACCGTCACCCACATCACAGACCACAACCAAGCTGCCGAGCCGCCCGACCGGCGCCCACCCCACGCTCCATCTCTTCACTCCGTCCCCACCCAGCACTTCTCCTTCCTCGGAGGAGAGAGCCTCCGCTCTCCCTAAAGCCAACCCCCCTTTTCAACGTCCTTCAGCAGGCATGGCCGAGCTCCCCAGCCTCGCGCCCCAGGGCGGCGCGGGGCTCTCGGCGCCAGAAGCCGGTTCCGCCGTGCCGTTCACCGACGCGCAGGTCGACGAGTTTAGGGAGCAGGACAGGTGGTTGCCGGTGAGTGTTTGCAAGACTGCAGAGAGGAGAGACCGTTTAGAGTCCCTTTGTTTTTCCGAGGTCCGAGTTTCCGGGCAAGGCAACTTCCAGTCCGCCTCGTGCATTCCTCGCGAGCAGCTGGGCTTGCCCATCGTCCTCGGATCGCAGGTGGTACTCTGCCAAGATGAAAGCGAGACCACCAGCACCACGCCGCTCGCGACTACAATGGATGGGCAGCCCCGCGTTCGCTGTTGTTGTCGCTCTGTCCCAGCTGTAGCATGTCCTTTTCAACCACACTCAGCTGACAACGCACATCAGATCGCCAACGTCTCGCGTATCATGAAAAACTCGCTCCCTACCACGGCCAAGGTCTCCAAAGAGGCCAAGGAGTGCGTCCAGGAGTGTGTCAGCGAGTTTATCAGCTTCATCGTGAGTCGCCCGACAGCTCGTGAACCGGGGCCAGGAATGCCACTGGCGAGGGTCCGAGGGAGATGGTTACCGCTGTCAAGCACATTGCGGCTGTACAGCCACCTCCGACCCTCTCAGTAGCCGTGTCCCACCCGCTGAAGCCACTCGCGCACCGTTTTTCAGCAGTCACCCCAACCCCCTCACACTTTCTGTCCTGTCGCTGACGGTTCTCCGCAGACATCCGAGGCGGCCGAAAAGTGCCTGAACGAAAAGCGCAAGACCATCAACGGCGAGGACATTCTGACCTCGATGCGCGCGCTGGGCTTTGACAACTATGAAGGTGTCCTCAAGGTGTATCTCGCAAAGTATCGCGAGGTGAGTAGCAACATGCACCGGGTGCCGTGTGTTGCTTTGGATGGTCCTTGGCAAGAGTTTGGTCGAGGTGTGGCACCTTCCCGCTATCACCCGGATGCAGCTAAAGGAGTCGTGCTCCTCCCACCAAGCTACGGAGGGAGGCTCCGGCACCATCTCTTAGTTGACCATCACCACCCATCGGGGCCTCAGCTACGACCTCTTCATCCGGACTATAGCTGACCAAACCCCACAGCACCAGATCCACCAGGCTCGCCAGCGCCAGAACCAGCCGCAGCAGCTCGACGACGACAGCGTGGACCTCAAGCGCGGTGCCGAGGACGACGATGGCGAGGCAAGGAGGAAAAAGGCCAGGCCTGCAAAGCGCCGTGACGAGTGAGCCCGGGTGCCGGGTGCACGGGCATGGGACAGGTGGCGGAGAAGCGTGGGAGACGCAGAAGGGTCTGGAGTACCGCGAGCCAGAGCTCGAGGAGCCGGCCGGGCTCCGACCCATCGTCGACCGACGGAACGACACTTATGGGAGGCTAGAGGCAGGGGAGGGGTGTGGGTATGCGCCATGCGTCGCGGATAGAGGTGGGGGAGTAGGAGAGAAAGAGTTAGGCCGTGCCACCCCGGTGGCACCGGCTCGCCTGACACAAAAGAGTGTTTTGGCCAATATAGATATGTGTGATGATGTTTTCTGTGTTCTTGAATGTGGGTTTTCTTCTCGAGCAGCGTAGCAAGCCGTGGGTTCAATGCAGTGTTTGTTTCCATGATATGGTGGGGTATATGGGCTATGAGCTGTATATGATGCTGCTAACAGAACAATATCCTCACTACCATCTACTCGTCTTCCTTCTCCCCATCTCCCCCAAGTGCCTGCCTAATCTGTGCTTAAAACAGACTACGACACATGGGACAGCTACTGCTGTGACTGCTGTTGAACCACTTGAACAGACAGCTGCCGTGGAACCTGTTCTTGCAAGTACGGCACGGTTTTGTGGGGAGCGTGCGGTCCGTCACGCTGATGATCGAGTAGCAAATGGCGCACTCGACCACACCTTCAAAGTGCAGTGCGACGTTCTTCTTGAACACTGTGAGGGCTTCGAGGATGAGGCCGTTCTGGAAGAGAGGAAGAGTCAGCACAGATATTACAGCTTCGGAACCCGTGGGTAAGCTGCTCTTTTGACTCACCCTGCTCGTAATAGTCTGCTGGACGCTCATGAGCCATCCCCTCCACTTGTTCTCCGGCACGCCGACCCTGCGCAGGTCGCGCACGTCCACGCCCTTGAGCGGGAACTCGGCCGGGAGACGAATACCAATCTCCATCGGCTGCTCGTCGACCACATACGACGCGATCGCCTCGGCCGCACCGGCGCCAGCGACAGTCGCGCCGCCTCCCTGCGCGATACGGACGTTGAGTCCTTCCTCGGTGAGAGTGGCCATGGCGCCAGGCTCGCGCAGGGCGCTAAACTCGTGGGCGATGATGACGGGCGAGAAGTGGCGCGACACAAAGGCCACGAGGGAGAGGGAGAGCTGGCGGTCTTTGAGAGACTCGTAGTATGTCCGCATGGCGGAGGGGATGGTGACCAGCGTGCGGTAGAAGAGGTGTGAACCGAGAGGGACAAGGTCGGCAAGACCCTCGGGCTCGAGCACTGCGGTTGTTAGCTTGTATAGGGGGATTACGACAGCTATACCCACAATCACAGTAGAACTCGTCCACGGCATAGTTGCTCGCAGGGAAGTTCCATGCTCCCACCTCGGACACGCCGAGCATGGCAAAGAGGAACGGCAGGAGAGCTTCCTCCAGGAGGCGCGAGGTGTTGAGCTGGTCGAGGTACGCCCAGCGGAGCGCACGCGACTGTATTGTCAGCTCATGTAGTATGTGGATAAGCTCACGGCATCGTCAAAGTGGTCCATGACCGCCATCCACGCCAAAAGCTGGCCCATGACAACCTCTGTGGTGGGCTCTGGGTGCTCCCAGTCGACGTGGCGGCCAGTCTCGAGAATCGCGACAAGCTCGGCGGGGAGCGTGATCTCCGGCTGCGGCACCTCGCCAGTCTCGTCGGTGGCCACAGCAGTCTCGACCTCGAGGACGAGAGCGGTGGTGCGCGCCTTGACCACCTGTGAGAGGAGGCGGTAGGCGGTGCTCTGGATGGCAGCACTGGACGACAACGAGAGCAGGTCGCACAACTCGGCATAGCCTGCCGCAGCCATGACCTTTTCGCTCGCGTCGGCGAGGAGGTCGAGGATGAGCGAGTGGATGAGCTGGAGAGGGACGCTGGCGGCGTCACGCGCCTGGAGGAAGAGCTTGACCACGAGACTGAGGTGCTCGTCCTTCATGGTCCAAGCGGCGCGGAGGGCCTTGTTGGTGGTACAGAGGTCGCGCACCTCACGCAAGAGTTCCAGACCAGCGTACATGAGCGGGAAGCTCACAGGCTCGTCGAGCGAGGTCGAACCGAGGGCGCCGTCAATGAGGTCAAAGATGGCGTCCCAGTGTGCGCCGTCCAGGTCCTGCACGATTGGCGCAAGCGCGGTGTACATCTCCGCGACGCGCACGTCCATCTCCTCGTCAAGGTCGTCGGCCGCCTCGTCGTCTGACGTGAGCCAGCCGCCGACGTGGCGGAGAACAAAGACGGCACGCTGCTGGGGGATAAACAGCGAGGTCGAGTCGGGAGGAGGAGCCGAGGCGACGAGGAGACGCAGGGCCGGAAGGCCCTTCTCGTTGGCATTCTTGACTGAGATGCCAGTGAGCGCGTTGGCCAGACGGTTCTGAGCAGTCGCGAACGCCTTGGTCTCGTGCATGAAGGGCTTGATGGCAAGAATGGCGGCCAGCGCAATCTCGGGCACTGCAGAGTTAGCACATCCACATACGAGAAATTAACTCACGCTTCTCGCTCATCTGCATGGCATAGTTGAGCCACACCTCGCCCTCCTTCTCGCCCGCACCGCACTTGCGCAGGTGACGTGCGAGCACCTCGCGGAACGCGCGTGGGGCAACGTCGCTCGTCTTGGCAACCACATCGGAGCGGAGGTCAAAGAGAAGACGGTGGAGGTAGTCGGCATCTCCAGCCAGCTGGCCAGCGCGCAGCTGGTCGACGGCTGCCTTGTGCCATGACAAGGGGGCCTCGTCCACAAGACTGAGGGAGAAACTAAGGGCACCCTCAGCATCACGCACGACCTGCTCGAGGTGCTCGGCAGGGGTGTGTGGGGTGTACAGTCCACGCGACGCGCCAGGGATGGCAGCACCGTCCGAGGCCAAGAGCATGGCGCCGAGCGCGACGTGAAGGAGTGAGGGGAGGGTCTGCACCAGACTGCGGTCTGCGCGCAGGAGGGAAAGACCCGCCTCGGCGTATCGAGCCGCACGGGAACGACCAGCAGCATCAAAGTCCGAGTCGCGCCACGTCTGTCCCTCAACCTCGGTTGTGCATGGCACCAAGGGGTCAATGACGGGCAAAGTGGGGTGAGGAGGCTGTGAGGTGTGACGTTCGAGGAACGACAGCATGATAGCCGGGGCAGGGAGTAGTGTGCCGGCGACGGCGGCAGGTGTAGGCGAGGCGCCGAGGTCGGTAGCGAGAGCCACATCCACGAGGGTGTCGGGGGGAACCCGGCATGAAACCCTGCCGAGGAGCTCCGCAAGCGAATGGGACACTGCTGCGGACAGTACAGCAGCTGACTCGGGGCTCAGCCTGCGGGTGATGGCCCACAGCCTGGTCGCTGGTCCCGGAGGGGCGGATGGGCCCAGACGAGGAAGAAGGACGACGAGGTGGTGGGTGGCCACAACGGCCTGGATGTACTCGTCCGACGCAATAAGAGCATCCATACTGTCCTCGGCGTAGGCAGCGAGGATCTGCAGGGCTGTTGACGGCTTGGCAACCTCGGCACCCTCAGTGAGCAGCGAGTCAACCGAGTCATGGATGACGGCGCTGACAGACGATAGGATACCCGCGCGTGCCGAGTCCGAGAGACGGCTGCCACCAATGACCGCGGCAGAGGCGATGCCAAGGGCCGTAGCGTCGTGCGTTGTGAGAGCTGCACGCGTGGCCTCGGTGGCAATGGTGTCAAGACGGCCGTTGCCGACAAGAACAGTCGAGTCTTCGAGAATACCCTGGGTGAGGGCAAAGCGAGCAACCTGCTCTACCGAGTCGGACTCGAGGAACGCCCAGAGACTAGCAAGGAGAGCCTCCTTGTCGGCCTCGCTTGCAAGAGCAGCTGTAGCGTCAAACAGCGCGGCAACGGTAGTTGGCGTGAATGCGATAAGCTCGGGAATATGCGCCTGCAAGCCCTGCGAGAGCACCTCGATGCGCTGGGGAGGGAAGAGGTCGGGGCGTGCGCGGAGGATGCCGACCAAAGCATCAGCGTGAGTGGCAGCACCGGCTGTATGGTCTGCGACAAGCTGGAACAGGCGCTCAGTGCAGCCCTCGGCGATCTTGAGAATTGTGGCGTCCACAGCGGCATCGATGTGAGGGGACGCCTTGCGCAGCGCGGTGAGGGCGTTGAGAGCACGAGCGAGGAAAGTCGACTTGTCGTTGAAACAAGCCGCAAGAGTCGTGCGCTCCACCTCGACCATGAAGAGGTCCGCGAGCGAGGTCGAGAGCGCAACAAGCTTCTCCACGGGCTTGGTGCACATCTTGGCCTCGGTCTCAACGGGGGTGGCACCGCGGCGACCGCCCTTTGCGCCCATAAGAGCGACACCCTCGCCCCAGACACGGGAGCCCAGCTGCTCCTTCACCAGCCAAGCGGCTGTCTCGGCCTCGCCGGTGTTCTGGGCCTTCTCAACAAGGAAAGCGGTCGATTCGAGGGCCGCCTGGAGGAATGCCTGGAACGCAGAAGGCTGGCTGCCGAGCGAATGAGTGGCAAGGAGACGCGCATCGACGGGCGACCACATGTGGGAGAACAGGTTTTGCAATGGCAAGGAAGGTGGTGAGGAGAGGGGAAGGAGAGTAGGCGGGAGGGTCGAGATGACGACAACAAGGAGCGGGTAGGTGAGGTGGGGGACCGAGGGGCTAATGGTCGAAATGAAGTCGAGGAAGGCGTCAAAGGCCTTTGAGGATGGCAGTGCCGCGACAGTAGGAGTGGCAGCACCGCTGGCCGCTTCGTCGCGACTAGGTGGCTCGGTATCGTCATCGTCCTCGTCATCGTCGTCGTCGTCGTCACCCTCGTCATCGCCATCATCGCTCGTAGTCTCAGCAAGCAGCCACGACTGGCGGAACTTGGTAAGGAACTTGACGACGGCGGGACCAGCAGCCTCCCAGACTGCAGCCTCGTGCTCGGCCCAGCAGTTGCCAAGTACGGTGGCCGAGATGAGCTGCAGCATGTCGGGCTTCTCGACCTCGGCAGGGTACGCGTCGACAAACGCCGCGAGCAGGAGATATGCGGCACGGCGGATTGGTGGTTGCTGTCCGATGGGTTGGACGTCGGGGAGGTGTGATGTGGTGCCGATGGCGCTCCAGAGCACAGGGTTTTCGAGCAAGGCAGAAAGCTCCTCGTACAGTGGTACCGAGTTGGCCGGGAGCTGCTGCACAAGCCACGCAAGGCCCACAAGGCCGCCGACACGGTATCGTGCCCATCGCTCCTCCGTGAGCTCGTCGTCCTCGTCGGCTGGTGGAGGCGTCGGCGTCGGAACCGGCGTTGGCCGGCCCTTTGCTCCCTTGCCGCCCTTGGCGTCCTTGCCCTTGGTCGCTGGCGCTGCGAATGCAAACTGGACGGGAGCTGGATGGATGTCGCGGTGAAGCGTGGCGGGGTCAAGTGTACTGAGCGAGAGATACTCGGCCAGTGCGGGGAGGTGTGGGATGAGGTCGAGCTGGCTGGCGTAGGCATTCTCCTCACCCTCAATGTTCGGAGCCGGGCCGAATCGAACAATCGCGTCCCAGACCTTGAGAGCCGCGCCGCCAGCTCTCCTACCTTCCTCGAGCGCGGCCACCAGCCAAGAACCAATAATGTCCCTGTCGTGCGTGCCGGGAAGGTATCCGAGTGCAAGACCATCCAGAATGACGCCGCGGATACTGGGCACACCGAGGAGCTCGCCGTGGAGCTGAAGTGCCTGCGAGCGATGGAAGGGGGATTGAAGCAGGCTCGCGAGGTTGTGAAGCCAGACGGGAATGGCAGCAATCACTGCGTGCTCGGCAATTTCGCGCTCAATCTCCTGCGCTTCGTTTCCTGGTGAGGCAGTGATGACAGCTACCCAGTTGTCGCGCAGCTCGTCGAGACCCTTGCGGCGTGTGACATCGTCCTTCTTGCCCAGGCGGCGGAGAACGACGACAAGGTCGGCAGGGAGGGTGCGCGCAAGGCCCTGGCTGTCGAGCGGGTCGGGAATGGGGGGTGCAGGCGGCTTGGGAGGGGGGATATATTGCTTGATCTTTGGCAAGGCTTTGCGTTGGGCCTTTGACAACTTCTTGCCTCCGGCACCTTTGCCTTGCTGTTTCCTCTGTTGTTGCTGAGGCTGGGTTTCGTCATCGTCCTGGGCGGCCTTGCGGGCGGCATGCTTTTTGCGTGTGCCCGCCGAGGCCGACGACTTGCCTCCCTTGGGCTTGGGCATGGTGTATAGTGGGGGAGATTATGAAGCGACGGGTGTGTGGTGATATGGAGAACCGTTCGGTGACGTTCTCTAGAGGCACCAAGCGGAAGCAAATATGTTTAGGCGGTAGAGTCATCCGCCCTCCACCGGGCGTGTCCACTGTGGATGACCGGACCCGGGCGGCGGGAACGAGCCGCGGCGAGCATCAACGGTTGTCCTTCTTCACACTTACCCATTCACCCACTCACCTCTCGCTGTCGCCGTCGACAAGATGGTTACCGAAACGTACTATTGGACCCCCCAGAGTGACCTCTCAATCGACGAGTATTTGAAAAAGGTGCGAGCCAAAAGGACACCCTGCCCGTGACATTGTTGACGCCCCCAAGTGCAAGCCCTCCGTCGTCACCAACGCCGACACGGCAGTGAGTATCGACTTGTGGATGCTAGTTGACATCAGTGGATCTACGTCGGCGTTCCCTCGGAAGAAGACTCGGGTGGTCCCAGCGGCGATGCATTCAAGGCTGTTGAAAAGGCGCGCGTTGTCGGTCAGTTGGGATTGCCTTGAGAGCAGGAGTAGCTGACCCGCAGTCAAGGATATGACCAAACGGTACCTGGCAGTCGAAGTGAGTCAAGTTGAATGTACGAAGTTGTTCTGGTTACTGACTGCAGGCGAATGACGAGATCCCCGTCCGTGCCAAGAAGGGGGTCAAGTCTAAGAAGGCCGTTCGCGACGAGGTGCGTCCTCACACTCTGACCTGGTGTTCATCTCCCAGATTCACGTCGAGGCCGCCGAGGCTATCAAGGGCATTGCTCAGGAGACGAAATATGTGCATGGCAAGTGGTTAGTATTCAATACAGGCGGCTGCAACTAACTGCAGGGTGCTGTTCGCGAACGAAAACGTCGACTCGGCTTGGGGCAAGATTGCGCGCAGCATTGCGTTTGGTCCTCTGAAGGATGTCGGCGTCACGGCCGCCAAGGTTGCCCCCAAGAACCTCTATGAACCCGATGTGCGTGACAGTGTCATCCTGGTGAATGGGACAGTGGATTTGACTGACCTCACAGCGCGGACATGTCATTTGCATTTACTTCAAGGACGTTTACGACAAGGACTTGGCCCGCAGAGTGAGTTTCCTAGCTTGTCCATAACTCACGGTAGATCCTTGTCGTTCTTCTCAAGGACCACGGTCTCAACCCCACTGGTGTCAAGTCTGATCTCTACACGTTACTTGATCTGGACTCGCAGCATCCATCAAAGATCCGAACCACCGTCTGGCGTCCCAACGAGGTCATCGACGGTGGTGCTGCTGCGGTCAAGGTAGCTAACTGTGGCTCTGGTTACTTTCTGACAATACAGGCACTCCAGGATGAATACAGCCCTTCCAAGGAGGCAGCTCGTAACAAGAAGGCTGCTGCCGCCGCCGCTGCCGGAGACCTCGACAAGGACACTGCCGCCGACGGTACCGACGACTCCAATGGGGAGATCAAGCCCGAGTCGGAAGCGAAAGTCGGCGAGAAGCGCCAGAATGCCGATGAGAATGAGAAGGTTGTGAAGCGTCCCAAGACGGCTGCGTGAGTTCTTAAGTTGGCCCGCGTCTGAACTGACAATCCAGGACCAAGTACAAGGAGAATGACATGTTTGCGGCCTCGGACAGCGAGGACGAGTAAAAGGGTGGATGTAGTGTCTGTGTTTGTTGTGTATGTAAAGCAGCTGTCTATGCCATACCATTGTCAAGCGTCGACGAAGTGTACTGGAGACGCAGCTGGGCGAAGTGGGACAGGAGGTCCGTGCCACCTCCACTGGGGGATCGCCGCCCCCAAGGCAAATACACAAGGTACAGAGAGGTAACCGCATTCCTTCCTTTGTCTTCACTCCTCTTCAATCAACCGCAATTACCATCATGATTGACGAAAAGTACTATTGGACTCCTGGAAACGAGCTCACTCTCGACAACTACTTGCAGAAGGTAGGTGGCGAGAGCTTGCGCAGGCTGTGCTACAGCTGACGGCCATCAAGCGCAGGCCCTCGATTGTTACAAAGGACGACACCGAGGTGAGAGTGAAGAGACCCGCATCCGTACCTCCAACGGTCTAACCGAAGTGGATCTACATCGGCAAGCCATCCAGTGAAGACTCGGGAGGCGAGACCAAGGTCGACGCCATCGCCAAGGCCATCTGCCTGGGCAAGGTCGTGGGTGAGTCACCCTGGTGGTGGAGGAAGGCACTGACGGCAGTCGACAAGCTTACCGTACGCGTCAAGGCCATTGAGTCCGACTCCAACATCCCCAGGAATGCCAAGAACGGCAAGAGGAGCAAGAAGTCGATGCGTGATGAGGTGAGTGGCGGGTTGGAATGTGAACTGACCAGCCAGCTCGGCAACGACGCGGCGAAGGAACTGCAGAAGATTGTTATGACGACGGGATACACTGAGGGCAAGCTGTGAGTCTGACCAAGGACATTTCGATACTGATACAAGCATGTTGTTTGTTCCTCCTGAGCAGGTCGATGCTGTCTGGACTCAGATCGGTCGCAGCGTCGCCCACGGCCCTCTCCACGAAGCCGGTGTGACCAATGCCAAGGTCTCGCCCACCAGGACCGACAGCCCCTCTGTGAGCTGCGAGCCTCAATGGCATGCTAATGTACAGAGCAAGCACCTGTTCTGCATCTACATTGACAACGCGTACGACACGGGGCTCATCCGAAAGGTGTGTTCAAATATTCCGCAAACTCGGCTCACCTCAAGGTCGCCACCGTGCTTCTCAAGGACCACGGACTGGACCCCACCGGCGCCAAGTCCAATCTCTACAACCATCTCGGTATCGACAGTAGCCATCCATCCCAGCTGCGCCCCACCACCTTCCGTCTTGACGAGGTGTTCGGAGGTGGCGCTGAGGGTATCAAGGCGAGCTGTTGTCTAGAGGAAGCTAATGCCACAGGCTCTCAAGGCGCAGTACGACCCCAAGGTCGAAAAGGAACGCAACAAGACGGCCGCCACCGCCGCTGCCACCGACGGCCAGAGCATCAAGCCCGGAGCCAACTCCGCCAAGCGCCAGCACTCCAATGCTACCGACAAGAAGCCTGTTGCAAAACGTCCTAAGACCGCCGCGTGGGTCTGACTGCATGTGATGGTGTATGCTAACTCACTAGGACCATGTACAAGGAGGGCGACATGTTTGCCGGCTCGGACGATGAGGAGAAGTAGAGGGCGGTGTGTTCATGTACATTGGCCCCGTTTGGATAAAAGTGACGCTTCTGTGTTATACATAAGCCTTCGGACGACAAGTATAGTGGTTCCCGAATGGCAACAAGTGACTCGGTAACGATTGAAGAGAGCATCGAGCACACCTGACATTGTCGATGGCGCTCAAATGTTCGCATTCCCTCTCCCAATTGTTTTCACAGCACCCCCATTCCACCTCCCCTCGACCCAGAACGTCTTCCTCATGTTTCTTTGCAACATGCCGGGGCCAAAAGCAAAAGGAGAACCCTTCTAGGCTGCTCATCTTCTCCGCCAGGGAGTTGAACCCTGCTCTACCGCGATATTCCTATTAGGAAACTCCCTATTGAGAGGCGGTTATACTAACCGATATACTAGCGAAGAGGCTATGAAGGCCTTTCTTTTAGTAGCGGGCAACGCCGTGTGAGCGACGAGCAACGCCCCAATGCACAGTCTGACATCCGCAGTGGGCTGGTGGACCTGGCATGGTTTTCTGCGACCAACTTCAACTCTTGTCCACGTTCGATTCTGGCTCAGGCTTCATTTTCTCCACGACAACGTTGTGGGAGCTGGTAAATGGCCCGCGTGACCTCGGTCTGTCTCCCAAGACCAGATCCAACGAGACGGGGAGCAATGGAGTTCAAGGAAGATAGATACAAGTCCACCTTCAGGACTGGAGCATTTTTCAGCCTTTTCCGTAAATTTTTCTCCATTTTTAGAGACCCAGTGTTGACCCATCGATTTCGTCGTGTCATCTCATCAACAACCAATGCCTCGTGAGACTCCCCCAGTGAAAGGACCAAAATCCTGACAACTAAACTAGCTTGCTGTTCTTACTAGGCACCGGCTTGCTCCACAGTATGTGCAGATGGTACTGACAGGTGTTGTCCGTAGGTACAGCAACAACTGCCTTGTTTAGCAAGAGGTTTAAAAAGTAGCAGGTAACGCAAGGCAGCCTGAGAGGGGAATGGAACAGCCTCTTGGATAAAGTCGGCGTTCCGTGTGAGAGGCCATGGGGGCGAGAACTGCTCAACAGCCCAGCGGGTTTAGAGGGCAGTGGCGCAGCGATCCCAGTGGGTTGCTTGCGGTGTGCACACACCTCCTGTAGGTCATCCGCAGATGTCCTTTCGGCACCTCGTGTTAGCCGTGGCGTGACCCATACAACACTTCCTTCCAGGCGTCATGAAACGGTCCCAGAATATCGAGTGTTGTCGAATTATCCGGAACAGTTGAGGTTTGAACAGAGGACCTCCACCTTTTAGTGACGCCCCCAGGATGGTCCCAGTCCAGTCACCCCTGTCGCGCCAAACAAGTAAACACACTCAACCGGTGTCATCTTCCATCACCATTTCGCGATTTCACACTATCACCCACTAATTCTTATCTCAACCTCTTCTCTCAACGTCCACTTGCACCACCAAGGATGAAGATTGACACAGGACATTGGAAGGACTGGGAGGTGAGTCCCATCACCATCCCACCCTCGCCCGTCATGCCAGACAGGAATGCTGACGTCTAGGTCTACCTAATCGACGAGGATGGAGCCCGCCTTCGTGAGGCCTTCCCTTCCAACTATAGCGCGTTTACTGACCCGAGTCCCCAAGCCGAGCACAAGATCGAACACACGCCGCCTTCCTCGGCCACCACGGCTGGACTGGTGACTTTCCATGTGGAATGCAAGCACGGCCAAGTGAGTCCACCGACTGGTTTGGGTGGTTGTGTCTGATGGCCTGGTATGGAAAGACTTACTTTCACCCCAGGCATTCAAAATCGGCACGTCTCGTCTTTCGCCCGCCGCTTTTGACTGTCGCATCGACTACACTGTCGATGGCCGTAAAGTTGAGGGAGTAGCATTCCTGAAGGACAGCGTTCGTCCGGTCGAAAAGGGCTCCATCCCCGAGAACATGAACGGCGTTCCATATATGCGTCGCATGGTCTTCACGCAGATGGTGAGGGTTTACATACGACAGCGGGCTGACAACAGCAAATGGTAGAGAATGGCCCTCAACTGGACGTCGAAACCGCTGCAGAGATGGGGAAAATCAGCGTTCGTCTTACGGCCGGCATATGCACCCCCAGTGAACGAAAGCGTCCCCCGCACACCACACCACCAGCCATGAGCGTCATCGATGAGCGCACCAAGAAGGTGAGCCGTGTATAGAATCAAATAGTACAAGCGCTCATTCACGCAGGCCCTGATCGGTACCGTGGTTGGGTATGTTCTTCTCAATTCAGCATTGATTCTGATGACATTCAGAGGAGAGCTCGAATCAGCTCCAGCTGTCCACCAAGACACGTACAGCATGACTTATGTCCACAAGCACATTTCCCGGTATAAGATCGTCATTTCAGTAAGTCTGGGGTGTATCGCAGTGGGCTCACCTCAGTATGGAACAGCTGGCCACCTGCTCGCCAGCGGCGTCATTGAGAAGAACGACCCCAGGCAAGACTCGGAATCCGATTCCGAATCAAACGACGTGAAGCCCAAACTCAAGCGCCGTCACAGCGATGACAAGCCCCAGCGTTGGTCCAAGCGCAACAAGGAAGTCATCGACCTCACCGAAGATGACTAAGTCAAAGGAACAAGCTCTGTTCATTTTCGTCCTTTTGGTCGATTTTCAAGTTTCTCCGCAGCCAGAACATTGTCCATAGCTCCATAGCATTCGTTCAAGCTCTCCAGTCAATTATGTAGTCAAGATATGCAACAGTCATTCACAACAGAGGCATTGGGGGGTGAATGTACCTGCGCAGGGGCCCGGGTGACCAGTGATGGGCGCCCAGAAAGTCAGTCACCCCTGGGCCCCGCACACGGTGTTTTGCCGTTCCACAGTGTACACTTCATCACTGGCCACTGGATCACTGGTCACTCATCACTCCATCACCCAACCCTCCTCCTTCACCATGAGAATCCCAGGAGGCAAATGGAAGGACTGGCAAGTACGTCACTCCCTGCTAGACCCTCCGTTAACACACAGGTGACGTTGGATGACAGCCATGGGAACCCCCTCAGTACGCAATGAGTCGCGGGTGATGGACCGGCCATCAGCTGACCACCATCAACCAGCCGAACACAATGTCTGGCACACATATCCCAGACAGGTCAGGCAGGCGGATATCAACTCCAAGGGCTTGGTTAAGCTTGACGTCGTGTGCGAGTCGCTGGAGGTGAGTTTCACTCTTAGGCAGCTGGCGCTCAGTTGAAACCACATTGGTGCTAGCTGATGTCTCCCAGCCCATCACTGTTCGCGTTATACCACCCACCCCCTGCGACTTTGACGCGCTCGTCCGCCCTTTCTTTGAGGGACAATGGCTCGACGGCCTAATCGTGCCCAGGGACAAGAACCCCCGCGACATCTCGGTCCTTTACGAGGATCAGCGCGGCATTGCCTTTGAAGAGCTGGGTTCAAGTCGTATCGTGAGTCGCCACCTCTTTGCTTTTGCTGAGTTTGGACAAGAAACACTTCGACTGCAATGTTCCCTCAGATGACGCCACGTCGTTCGGTGTGATGGCCATCAACCTTATCGGTGGCGTGGTCCAAGCCGACCAGTCACCGACTTCGAACGACACGTCCTCGGAAAGCAATGGCAGTGCTCCTACGCAGTTGCTGAAGCCCACTGAAGCTATCCCAAGATACCGCGTCGAGTTCTCAGTGAGTGTTGCAGCCATCACAGACGCTGACTGGCGGAGTTCGGCACGCAATCGTTTTTCGTCGAGAGAGGTGTGTTGCCAGCCACCGAGAATGACAATCAAGCGAAGGAGGACGCTGGTATGACCGAGATTCAGGACCAGGAGGAGGCTATCGATGTTGAAGACCAAGAGGTGGACTCCCTCGAATCCCTCCACGACGGAGGACAAGTGGACGGTTCCTCATCAAGTGCCGACATTGGGAAGAGCAGTGGACCCAGCACCAGGCTCACATCCCAGCGGGGCATCGGCCGTCGCTGGAACTTTGAAGACTACGGGGACCAGAGTGACTCTCGCGGCAACCCACTTCACAAGCCCACACTCAGCTGGTCTGATGACGACTACGAAGACGGTCAAGAGGCATTCGACCGTCCTCGGAAGAGCAGAACCCAAAAGACGCGTCGGTCGACTGGCAGGTCTTAACGCCACTCAGGCAGCCTCCCTCTCCCCATTCAAGCGTCCTGCCACCTCTCCCCACACACTCTGGAGTTGTGGCTTTAGTGAACGTTGCATAGGCTTGGATGTTAGCGTGAAGCATATGTCCTTCACGGTCAGCAATGCACCTTCTACCCTTGAACCTTCACTGTACCACTGTCCTACCGTGGCACGCCGTCGTAGAATGCCTCATGTGGATGATCCGTCCTGATGCGTGTCCCATCCGGATATCAACGCCGGATATGGAAATTGGTCCCGCCCAAGGGCCAAGTATCACCGAGTCGTCGTTGTCCACTCTCTCTGTCTCTCATCCATCAACCACCGCCATGGTGAAGGTAGAGTCGGGCCACTGGAAAGACTGGGAGGTCTCCATACAGACTCTCGAAGGAGTCAGTCTGCGTACGTTTCATTCAATGCCCGCTTGTTCTGCGTTCAGCTAACCCTCTACAGCGGAGCACAACATACAACACACACCTCCCACCGACACTTCTCCCGGCATCATTAAGCTATTCCTGGAGTGCGAGCACGACAAGGTGAGCTGATCCCCTTTCCGAAAACATGCAGTGTTAACAGCTGGTCCAAGACATTCTGTATTGCCGTGGACCGCCCCAAGCCCGCCAAGTTTGCCGCCCACATCGAGATCAAGATCGACGGTGACAAGATACACGGCATGGTTCTCCCCAAGACGGATCGCGAGGCCGTCCGTAAATATAGGCTCGAGGAGATTAACGGTGTCGTGTACCGCAAGAGCTTGAAGTTTCAGCAAATGGTGAGTCGGTGTTGGTTCCAGACCCGCTAAATGGTCAGACGCTCGTTGAGAATGGGCCGCAAGCCGGAGGTGATGGCCTTGGAGCGCTGGCGACAATCAACGTGAAGGTTACAGCCGGAGACAGTAGCCGTACAAGTAGGGTATCGGCCCCTCACCATGGCCATATCTCGAAGGCTCCTCAAGGCGTGCTGGATGAACGCTCCAAGAAAGGTCTCGTGGGCTCCTTTGTCGGGTATGTAACAAGCGGGCTCCAACTTCTAACTCGTCGCAGCGGCGACATTCTGAAGGTGGCGACCAAGCGGCATGGTTCGGGAACGAAATTTGACAAGCGCAACGACGTGCCCCAGTACATCTTCGATATTTCATACGCCACTCGCGACCTCCTTCGCGCACAAGGCATCATCACCGAACCCCGTCGCTCGACGACCATTGCCGACGACTCTGACGACGTCAAGCGGTCGGCCCTCAAAACCTCGGGCTCTGACTCGGACGAGATTGTCGAGGTCGAACGTCCCAAGCGCAAGAGCAAGATGGAAAAGGTCAAGCAGAAGTCGTCCAAAAGGCGCAAGCAGGACAACACCGTGATCGACATGACTGGCGACGACGATTGAGCCCGGCAGGGCGGGGCGGGTCTGCACAGTTTCCCCAAGGGTGTATGGCAGGAGAGTTTTTGCGCTGCAAGTCAGCTCATGTAGCTTATGTGTACATAGGTCATGGTGTTTATATATGCATGTTAGTGTCCGTGGTCGGACTGAGCATCCTGTAGCTGCCTGCATGCTTTACATGTCAGTAAGAGGTGCCCGCCTCGTGTCAGATCTCTGGATCTCCGGATCTCTGGTGGTTGACAGCACTGGTGTGTCGCCTCCGGTTAAGGGGGTGGCACATTTAAAAACACGAACAAGGTACACATTCCCTCCTCGCCGCCTTGTCCATGACGTCCTCTCCATCAACAACTCCATTCTTCATCCAGCGTTCACCCAACATGAAGCTTGGAGCCGGCTTGTGGAACGGCTGGGAGGTGAGTGTACCCGGTCACACGTGCATATCTGACTGCCAGGTATACATTCGTAACAAGCGTGGAGTTGCTCTTGGTAGGTCCAACACCCAGGGAAGTGAGGCTGATCGTCGTAGCCGAACACCGTGCCGAGTACTTTCCCGACCAGGCCAAGGTCTACGTAGAGTGCGAGCTTGACGAGGTATGTCTGATATGGTATAGTGACGAGTAACGTGAAGAACGGGGGCTACACCGCGTGGACTCCCAGAACCTTCCACATGAGAACCAAACAAACCTTGGCCAGTGAGCTGACTTGTAGGAATTCGAGATTTGTCTGGACTACGCGCATGGCTACAACAGAGTCATGGACGTGCGCGCTCTATTCAAGGCGGATGGCCGTTTCATCAATCACTACATTGAGCGCCGCCATGACAACGTGCCGCTGGTGTGCAGGCACTCGGTAACAGAGGTGAACGGCGTTCTCTTCGACCAAACACTCAAGTTCGGCCGCCCAGTAGGTTTGATAATTCAGTCGGATGGACATCGGATGGCTCACTTGCAGAACATTGTGGAGGAGGCTCCTCAGCTCGACGACCACAAGCTTGCCGCAATTGGCAGTATTACGGTGGAGCTCACTGGCGGTACATCGTATGACATGGGTTACGGAATGCCCAGCGCAAGTGACCCTTCCTTGGACGCCATTAGCGAAAGGGCCAAAAAGGGCATGTTGGATTCTATTGTAACGTAAGTACGCACATGAAGTCGACCAGAGCTGATACCACAGCGGACAAGTCACACGCCCCACGGTTGCTACACAATCATGCAGCTTCATAGCCAACACTCCTAAATTCACCGTTCAGTTTTCTGTAAGAGAAGGCACAACGACAGTAGTAGCTGACTCACAAGTATGGTACCAGGGCCGCACTCATGGCCGCAGACATCATCCCTCGTCCACCTCAAGACCTCCAGGACGACCAGGACGTCCCCGACCGCAAGCCCAAGCGCAAGCTCTTCGGTGACCCCGCGGCGCTGCTGGGTCCGGCCAAGAAGTTCAAGCCCGGCGAGGTCATTGACCTCACCCAAGATGACGAACTCAAGCCCCGCAAGCGCGTGCAGGCGGTCAAGAACGAGGTTATCGACTTCACCCAGGAGGACAGGCCTAAGGTCACCGGCTCGTCCTCAAAGCACAAGTCCGAGGTCATCGACTTGACCCAGTCGTAACCGCCGGTCTCAAACATGGTCTCCCTTGGTCTCCAATGTACACTCAAGCCCGTCTCTCTCTCTCAAGCCCGTCTCTCTCTCAAGCCTGTTTCCTCTCCACACTTGTTTCAATTCGTCGTCAGTATTCGCGATCGCCACGAACGACCGTAGTGTTTACATATAGTATTGGTTGCCTGTGTGTATAAGATGTGCCATGTCCTTCAGATGTCGAGAGCAGGTCGGCTTATTTTGGGAGAGCCAAACGCCCCATAGGGGCGGTAACAACTCACAGGCCTCAGAGGTGATCAGGTGGTAACGTCGTGTACCCAGATTCTCACTGACCGTTCATGGGGGTGGAGTAGTAACTCTATGACATACGGGTCGTGTCCATAGGCACACTCATGCATGTCCCCCACTGAGCGTGTCGGTACGCGTCATGGGAATAGGTTTGGACATGTTAACCATCGGAATGCATTCCGGGCCTTGGAGACAAGTTGCTGTTCCTCGGTCCTCCATTTTCTGATCGTCAAGTTCCACCCAGCCCTTCATATCTCTACGTTCTTCCCGCGGTCCCTCGCCTTTCTACATCACCGCCCAACTCCACCACACATGAAGATTGAAAGCGGGTTCTGGAAGAACTGGGAGGCAAGTCGCCCTGAGCTTCGGACTGGTTGACCTCCTTCCTGGTCGCCGCCGAAGCTGGCCCATAACTGTGGAGACTGACGGTACAAGGTGTACATCAAGGACAAGCAGGGTATACGCCTGGGTTTGTGAACGGCACACTGTCATGACGCAGAGCCCTAATGAATGCAGCGGAGCACGATATCAAGCATATCCCGGCTTCAGCCAGCCTTCCGGGACTGGTACAGCTCTACATCCAGTGCGAATATGATCAGGTGGGTCTACCAGCGGCGTGTACGTCGCAGTCTGGCTAATGGGCAGGAGTTCCAGATCTGCGTGGATGGCCCTGCTGTTCCCACCAACCATGATGTGCGCGCTACGTTTACCGTAGATGGGAACGAGATTGAAGGCTTTATCCACCAGCCTGGAAAGACCACAGTTTGCCGAGTGTCGCACCATGAGTTCGACGGGGCCTTTTATGACCGGACACTCAAGTTCCAGCGCATAGTAAGTGTCACAACATCCTTCGCTGACAACCAGACCGCTGTTGAGGACGGCCCGCGGCCGGGAGTGGCTGAGGTTGGTGCGCTTGGGACCATCCTGGTGGATCTTGAGGCTGGCACATTGTCCTCGAAGCGGAAAGCCCTACCAGCCACCATCGAAAACAATATTGATACCATGGACGAGAAGCTCATTCTCAAGGGGGTGAGGCAGCAAATAAAGTATGCCGCATTCCAGCGCTGACAATCAGGGGTTGACGGGTCTGTGTGTTGGGTGAGAGAGCTCATGGATCATTCAGGTGAGCTCACTCTACAGGGGAGACGTGGCTGGAACAACAAGCAAGACGGAGACTTGGACGTTCACCCACATTGTCCCAACTCCTACCTATCAGCTTCGCTTCACAGTGAGCCGCCTGTCATAATAGGATCGAGGTTGACGTTCCAGTACGCCACACGGGAGCTGTTAATTCTGCAAGGTGTACTAGACGACCCCAATGGCGCACTTCAGCCCGCAGCGCACAAGCGCAAGGCACGACACGGAGGTCTTTCTGCTTCTGCTAAACGATCCAGGGCCAGTGATATTGCTCTCACGATGGCTCAGCAGCGTCTGAAGCGTGCCATTGATAAACTGAACAATGGCGGTGAGAACAACTGCTCTGATGACGACGAGGTCATCGATCTCACCCAAGAAGATGAGGAGATTTGATATTTAGGGAGGAAGCCGATGCGGATTCGGTCATTTGTTGTTTTTTTTTGCACACATTTCCGTGAAATTTTCCCGTTGTACATGGTTAGTTCTGATGGCACAGATTCTTCTTCAACCCAATCGTACCCCTTTAATCATCATATGCATCATATGAGTCACGGGCAGGTCACAAAGTCCCTGCTGTCGTTCGCCCGAACAACGGCGGGAACCAGCATCAAAACATTGACCTGCCATTTTTCCGATGTCGAGGGATCGGTGTGCCCGTTATTCCCAACGCCGTGTTCTCTTGGCTTCGTACAACATTCCTCATGCTCGCAACATTCCCCAACCAACCTAAATCGATCTCCATGTGATATCACAACCACCGGTAATCCGACTGACGTAATTCCCGAATGTCGGTGCCCTTGTCATGAAACGTCTAGGGTAGTTGGATTGTTCCCAGTATACGAACGGTTGTGTTGCTCTTCTTCTTTCAGCAGTATCCTGTCACAGCTACCAGTGCTCCACCTACCCAATATCATTCTAGCGGTCGACGTCCGTGACAGAAGTCATCCTCCAACCCGCTGAACTTCCGCTCTGCACTTGTCTACCTCTGGCCTCTGGCACGAACCGAACATGAAGTTTGAGACTGGTTTCTGGAAAGACTGGGAGGCAGGTATTATGTGGAAAATGTGTGTACAGTCTTCTCACAGTCCCAGGTATACATTGAGGACGACCAAGGGCATCGCCTGCGTGAGACTTTTGGTCCAGTTTGGTACCAGCGAGCTAACGACCGCAGCTGAACATAGGGTCGAGCACAATGAGACGGCAGGACGAAGTACACTGTATTTGGAGAGCAAGAATGACCAGGTTTGATGACTGTCCCGGCCATGTGGTCTGCCTTCCGGTAGATGCTGACTCACAGATCTTCAGAATATGCGTCTCTCCTACCACTGCAACTGCCGATATGACTATGCGAGCGAGTTTCACGATCGATGGCAGTGAAATCGCCGTGCAGGCCAATGTGATTGGGGCCGGACATCCATGCTGCAACGCCACATACAGCAAAATTGACGGTGTTACTCATCAAAATCTTCTCCAGTTCCATCTACCCGTTTGTTATGTACCACTGCAAAGTTGAGAGCTAATCCTTAGGAAGTTATGGCCGGCGCTCAAGACCTAAGCGAGGAGGAAGCTTCGACCGTGGGCACCATTGCCGTGCAACCGACGGCCGGGACGTTGGTTTTCGCTAGACGAGAATGCCCCACAGTACGGAAACCTGCCCACCGCAGTGGTGTCAACGAGAAGGCTATCAAAACAGTACGCAAACTGTTGACTGTTGATAAATCTGCTGACAACGTAGAGCATGGTGGACCTGGTTGTGGGGTAGGAGCTTTAATACTTACTGCTTTATTCACACCGCAGAGCGGGCGACGCATCACCTGCCTCGGAAAGCATCTTTCATCGCTTCTACCATACCCAAGGCACACCAAAATGGACAGTTGAATTCTCGGTGAGACACAAGTTTGGTTGCGGTTGGCTGATTATAAGTATGCTACACGCGGCCTCCTTCTCGCCAAAGGGGTCATCCAGTCCCCTCCGAGCGATGAAGAAGAGCAGAAGGAGGTTCCTGGGGACACATCCCAGCATAAGGATGTTTCCTCCAGTCCAGCCGTGTCGAAAAAGCGTTCCAGGGAAGACGAGATCACGCGCCTCACCAAGAAGGCAAACGCGCTCCTCCAGGAAATCAACAACCTCAAGCATGGTGATCCCGACGACCTTGTCGACCTCACCGAGGACGACTGACCGACCTCTCTCATCCTCGCCCGTTTGCCATCCACGTCAGTGTCCCCATCAAGTTTTCGACTGCCGAAACCCAGATTCCGTACTGAAGTTATCGATGTGTTTCAATGCATTAAGTGAGAGGCAACCATTGGGGGATGCATTGTAAAGTGACTCAATATTCTCCCAGAGGACAGAGACTGAGGCTTTAGTGTACCAGTGTGGTGCGTCATTTGCACGGTGCAGCATGCGAATTTGAGCGAGGCCGGTGGCGGGACTTGGGGGTGCCACAAATAAGCTCCGACGACGGCCGATCCCCCGTCGATGCAAACATGTCTTCCCCCGTGCCCACCACTTGATCGTCTTTCCAAAACATCACTCATTTCACACCTGCTTCAAAGCATGAAGATTAACGCTGGCTTCTGGACGGACTGGGAGGTACGTCACGCATCCCAACACAGCTGGCCCGAGCTTCTGACTCCTCCAGGTGTTCATCAGGGCGAAGGATGGTGGCGAGCGCCTCGGTGGGTTGTGTTCAGCTGCCTGGTCAGCACTCATTTTAGCCGAGTACAAGGTCGAATACATCCCTTCGGTTGGAATCGAGGAGCAAACGGTGAAGCTCCACGTCGAGTGCATTCACGGGCAGGTATGTGTGCAGTACCCCTTTTGCAAGCACCCATCCCGCCATCAGGTGGGACGACCCGTGTGTCCGGTTGTCCAGTTTCTGGTCTCTGCTGGCATGGTCGAGTTAAGCTGACTGTCACAGGAGTTCGAGATTTGCGTCGACCGCCCTAACGGCGGCAAGATCACCGCTCGTGTCCGCTACACCGTCGACGGTCGTCGCTTGGGTAGCAAGTTTCACCTGTCGAACAATCCTACCGCGCTCGTTTTGGGCGAAACCTACGAGGAGGTTAAGGGAGTTGCCATGGCCAAGAGCCTCCAATTTGGCTGCCTCGTAAGTGGTCGAATTGTATTCTTTGACTAACTACCTCTACCTGTAGGAACCTGTCGAGGACGGACCAAAGCTCTCCAAGGATTCCGCTCTTGGCACCATCGTCGTCCAATTGGAGGCAGGCGAAGCTGTTATCGTTGGTCGAGGCCTCCCCTACGTCCCGCAGCCTGCCAAGACCACCATTGATGAGAAGTCGAAGAAAGTGCGTAAACCGTAGACCTGGTGGTGCTCTGTCCATTGATGTAACATTGCTGACACTCCCAGGGCATGGTCTCCTCCTTTGTTGGGTATGGCTCTCCATGGAAAACGTCATCACTCACACTGCAGCGGTGTTCTCACCAACACTGTCGCCAAGGAGGTCACTTACATGAACCTCGTGCACACCGCTGGAACGCCTAAATTCAAGGTCGTATTCTCGGTGAGTGCTTGAAAGCAGAAAGTTTACTGATCGGCAAGTACGGCACTCGCGCCAGCTTGCTTGCCGCGGATGTCATTCCCGGCCAGTTCAATGTGATGCCCATCAACTCCTTGAACGCCGACCAGTCCGATAACGACATCAAGCCCTCGACTGGGACCGCCAACGGCCCCAGCTCTTCCAATCGTTCCCAGACCTCCACGTCGGCCAACAACAAAGTCAAGGAGGAGGTCGGGGATGTCAAGGAGGAGGTGGGCCAGGTTAAAGCCGAGACCAGCGAGGCCAAGGACCAGGATCAAGTCCCCAAGGCCAAGGAGGAAATCAAGGCGGACGTCAAGGTGGGCGGCACCCAGGTCAAGCAGGACCGCGACAAGGCCAAGAAGGACGTCCCCAAAGTGGAGGTGGTCCACCCCATCCTCAAGGAGGTCGGCCCCAAGGACGACGACGTTATCGACCTCACCCAAGACCCTGACATGTTTGAAGAGCTAGAGATCATCGACCTCACCCAAGACCTGGATGACATGGAGCTCTCTTGACAAGCAAGACCGACTACCATCAAACCCCCTTTTCAGCCTTCTTCGTTTCGAGTTCGCCGCAGCTGCGCGGACCACTCGCAGCTGAGCGACTCGTCGTCGTCCGCTGAGGTCTGTTCTTCTTTTCAAGTTCCCTTCTTGCTTCCTATTTGTAGTCCCTCTTTTGAATGCATGACAACTGAAGCCTCTTCTCTTGAGGAAGCGTGTCGTGAGCGAGGCCAGTAGACATGGACGTTGAATCAACGCTCCTGATAAAAGGCACTCGCGTCGCCGTCGGACCTAATCTCGGCAACCACTGTTTTCCCCGGGAATGGACCGACACTTCTCCATACGCGCCGGCATCCTTCCGCCCAATCCTCCCGATGTCCGCAGGACGGTCCGAAGCGGCCTTGGATCGCCAGGTAATGTCTGCGCACTCGGTGCGGTCCTCCGACTCTTAACTGGCACACTCGCCGCAATGGTGTTGCTTTTATCCTTCCCCTCTTGCGACTTGGCATTCTTGGATTCCTCCACCCAACGGAGCTCGACGCGTAGATAAAGGCTCCATCTCACCGCTCCTTACACCCTCCCTCACACACACCTCCCCCAGACATGTCGGTCACAAACACCATTCGCAACCCCATCCTCCCGGGCTTCAACCCTGACCCGTCCATCTGCCATGTGCCCGGCGTGGGCTACTTTGTCGCGACCAGCACGTTCGAGTACTTTCCCGCGTTGCCAGTGTACCACAGCACCGACCTCGTCGAGTGGAAGGTGAGTTGAGAGCTATTCGTTACGCTTGCTGTGAACTGACATTCCACCTCCAGTTGATCGGACATGCCCTCAACCGCCGCTCTCAAGGCGTGGATATGCAGACGGTCGAGACGAGCGCGGGCATGTGGGCGCCCACGTTCAGGTATCACAAGGGCAGGTGGTACATGATCTGCTCGTGCTTCTGGCGCTTCCGCATGCAGGATGTGAGTTGGATGCCGCCCGTATAACAGCTGACAATACAGAATGGCGTGGGCGACTTTATCCCTTCTGGCTTTTACGTTTCTACAGACGACATCTTTGACGACTCGAAGTGGAGCGAGGCCGTCTACTTTGAGGAGATTGGGTTTGACCAGGATGTGAGTCGTCCCACCATTCAACCTGCTTTGGAGGACTGTCATCTCCGCTACTCACATTCGCAAGCTGACTCCCTCAGCTCTTCTTTGACGACGACGACCGCGTCTACCAGACTGTCACCCGCTTTGACTGGGGTGCCGGACTGAACGAGCACGGCCACCCCAAGATCGAGTCGTTCATCAACGAAATCGACCTCGCAACGGGAACCTCTCTCTCCGAGCCCGTCCTCGTCAGCGCCTCGCCCTCGGGAGTCGCCGAGGGGTGTCACTTGCTCAAGCGCGATGGGTGGTACTATCTCTTTGTCGCCGAGGGCGGCACCGCCGACGGACACAGCGAGTGCGTGTACCGCTCCCGCTCGCCTACGGGTCCCTTCGACTCGCCGCCCGAGGGCATCAACCCGGTCGTGTTCAACGACAAGGACCCCTACATCCAGAACACGGGACACATGGACCTCGTGCCGATTGACGGCAAGGACGATGGCCGCTGGGTCGCCGTCTTCCTCGGCGTCAGGCCCGTGTTCAAGGCCGAGATGACCAAGGAGGGCGGCACGGGCATGCCCTCCCACCTCGGGCGCGAGAGCTACATGGCCCCCGTCGAGTGGGCCAAGGACGGCTGGCCGGTGCTGAACGGCGGCAAGCCCGTCGAGATTATCCAAAAGTTTGAGGGCCTCAGCCTGCGGCCAGAGGCCAAGGGCTGGGAGGAGACCTTTGAGAACGGCAGTGAGTTGAGCACTTCGCATTATGGCCTAACTGACACTCGCAGAGCTCAGCCTCGGATGGTACACTGTCCGCTGCCCGCTCCGCCAGTTCTGGGACCTCGCCGAGCGTCCTGGCTCTATCGGTCTCCGTGGCCAGCCGACCACCCTGGAGGTCGAGCACGTCCCCGCCATGCTCCTGCGCAAGCAGACCGAGTTCAACCTGGACTGGAGCACCGTCATGGAGTTTGCACCGCACCGCCCCGCTCAGGAGGCCGGTACCGTCGTGTGGATGACCCGCACGGAGCATGCCGTTCTTGGACTGAGGGGCACCGCCGACGGCGGCGCCGAGGTCGTGTTCAAGAAGCCTGTCGACGGCAAGTTTGAGGTAAGTACAAGGTGTACGTTTCGGACGATATTGACACCTTGCCAGACCACGACGTTCCCGTTCACCGCCGAGCCCAACACGCCCATCACCTTCTCTGTGCGCGCGCGTACCAAGAGCTACGAGTTTGCCTACCAGATCGGTTCTGGCGCCGAGGTCGTCGCGGGCAGCATGGCTACCAATGCCCTCAAGCCGCTGTTCACCGGCGCCCATCTGGGCGTGTATGCCCAGGGAGCCAAGCAGGTGCCGTGTCTCAAGCCGGCGTACTTCAAGCACATCAAGTGGGAGCGTGTGGAGGCTTAGAAGTAAACGTAGTGAGAGAAGTAGAGTACATTCGTCTTGGGCGTGGTGTATTTACATAGACAATTATGAATGGAGGCTCCATACACCATGGGTTGCTGCTAAACTCGTCGTTGGGCACTCTAACTGCCGCCCTCCTTTCCCTCAGTCTTGGCGCGCGTCATACGAGTCGGAACCGCAGGTGGAGTCGCTGGACTGGGGCTGCTGGTGCCGTTGCGGAACGACAGAAGGCTCCTCGGCAGCGACAGAGCGCGGAGGATGGACGGCTTGGACTTTGGCTTGCCGTTGTGCTTGGGCTCAGTGCTGTTGTTGATCGAGTCGGTGCTGGTATTGGGCGTGGTGGCGATATTGGGGAATGGCGACGGAGAACGCGTACAAGGGATAGGCGGGAGAGGCTTCAGCGTGTCGACAGACGGATGACGCAGCGGGATATACTCGTCCACTTCCATCTTGGCGCGAGCGTCTTTGACAGGTACGGCCTCAACGAGCGTGGGCGTAGGCGAAGCCTCCTGGAGCTGAACATGGAATTGAGGCTCGGGAGTAGTGGGGCGCGCCACAGAGCACTCCCGAACACCATACTGCGTGCTTAGGGTTGATCTTGACACTTAAGCACCTACCTTGAACTGCACAGTGTGCTCTGGCACGGCAGTGTGCGCGGTAAACAGGTACTTGGTATGCTTCTTGGCCCGGGCGAGAGTGTTGCCGCTGTGGTGTTAGTGCTGTTATTTTGCGTTATGCCGCCAGGCCGCCAGTACTTACCCAACAAACGAGCTCTGGGGCTATGTGCGTCAGTCACAGGTATATCTGCCGACTATGAACCTGGGTGGAACGTACCATGCCCTCCAAGTCTGCTTCACCGGCTCGTCCCCTCGCCTTTGGGAAACTAGCACGAGCGAGCTTGACGTCTCCAGCGCGCAACACGACAGTGATAGTACCCAGTGCCGCCAAGCGTTCCGACAGCGCCTCGGCCAGGACTGGAGTCTGGTTCTCAACAGTGGGAGCCTGCCGTGTAGTGTCAGGTCATGGATTCGGTCATTCGCATACCTGGACTCACCGACTCCATGCCCTTGCGATAGACAAAGTTCAGACTGGTCCCAAACACGCCGTCGGCCATCGCCTCGTATGTCCTGCGGCACTTGATCCTCTTCATCCTCGTCGCGGGATAGCCCAGCGTCCTGACGTGGTGCCCATCGATCCGAAACACCACTTCGGCACCGGTGTTGGCGCCACTGCTCAGACTTGTCATGGCGCGCGGGTGGGAGATGGAGACGGTCTTGGAGATGGTCTTCATGGGCACCTTGGACGTGCGCTTGTTGACGACGCTCTTTCCCCCTGCGCTGGCGCTTGTGCCGAGCTTGGCGGTCTTGTTGGCGCTTGGGGGCATACCGATGCCCTTGACCACGCCTTTTCCCCCATACGAGCCTGGAGCAAGAGGGAGAGGTGGGGCCGGGAGGTGAAGGGGAGGACGTTGGACACAGATCCAGAATTCCTGTGGATGTGGGTCAGATCTGACGGGCGGGTCACCCACCTGGTTGTCGTCGCATTCAATGTGGGCCGTATCAGGACCGGAAGAGGGTTGCTCAGCTGATGTTTGTCAGCTATGTACATTCGCATGGGTACTCCAACTGACCCAAGCGGGTGCCGTGGCCGTCCTGGAGATAGACCTGTGGGTGTGAGCGGTGGCATACGGTGGTGAGGACGAGAACATGGATGGAGAGTGACTCACCTCCCAAGAATCCCAGAACCCGCCTTCAATCTTCATCTTTCAAGTGGTGGTGGTGTTGGTACTGAAGAAGTGGCGAGTGGAAGGAAGAAGCATCCCACCATTTTGAATGTGGTTGACGCCCGCTCCCATACCCGTGTGCGTCCGTGTCTGTGTCTGTGTGCTTGCTGTGATGATCAGTGGAGGCGATCACTCGTCATTCACCCATCAGGCGTTGCACCCATACACACTGTCCAAGATCCAGACTTCACCATCAACAGTTTCGCAAAGGTTTGGTTCTCAGTGCTCGGCAGTCGGACTCGGGGGTCAGGTTTCGAAGACGGAGAAGGGCCGTCAGCTAACCGTCTTCCCCGCTGGGTGTGTTCTTGAGGATGTGTATGAGAAACGCCCATCCTCTCTACTGTCCCTCATCGGGTCCGGTGCTCAGAACTCATGCCTTCTCTCCAACCGCCAGAGGGCAACAGTACTGTGTGTCCGACGCGGTGTGGCACAACGCCATGGTAACGGATTGTCGGATTGTCAGCTGTGGGCATGGCCGCGACTGATAGGTTGACTGAGTCTGCCAGGTGCCGCTGTGGTTCTCTGCAACGAATTAACCTCTTTCGCATGAACTATACTGCGCTGTACTTCTCCTAGAGCCGCGCCTCCCCTCACCCACGGTGGGCCAAGGCTCAGGTAGGACTCCTTTCTTCTTTTCCTTCCAACAAAACAAAATCAACTCCGCACCAGACAGTGTGCCCCGAGACGCGACGAACGGTACCCGGGTCGCTCGGTCACTCGGTCGCTCGATTAGAGGAGGCACGCGACACCAGCGACACCCGCGACTGCGAAGCCGAGGAAGGTGGCGCCGACACGCTCGGCGCCGCTCTTGGCGGTCGCCGAGGTGGAGGCTCCCGACGTGGCCGTAGAGTTGCCGGTCGAGGTGGTGGTGGCGTTGCCGCTGCCCTCGGTGGTGGTGTTAGGAGCAACGGCTGGGGGGAGTCAGCTCAGAGGTCGCGCACGCAGATCCTGGAGCACTACTCACTGCCAAACTCGGCACCGCAAGTGGTCGTCAGGCCCTGGCCGAGCGAGGACTCGTTGAATGTCGGGGTAATCTTCGTGATCTCGTAGAAGATGCCACCGATGCACGAGGTACAGAGCTGACCAGAGCTGATAGCAGGCTCCAGGAGAGCATTCGTCGCGTTGTCGCCGGCAAGGAGCTCGGTGAGAACGGTCGAGGTCACGTTGGTGCTCGTGGTCGTCTCGATGGTCTTGAGACCCTCAACGACGCAGAAGTCGCCGGTCCTGCAGTAGCGTTTAGCAGTGTGGATAACTGGGATCATCTCTCGCTCGGGTTCCCAGGGGTTTGGCGCCTGTTGGCTGTATGCGCCACAGAGGGCCCATTTGGAGGCTAGGGCCACGGTCGCCTCCAGCAGCAAACGAGGCGTGTGGGGCATCAAGACCATCCACCGCAACGTATGCCCGCCAAGCCCCCCTCTCCCCCACACCGAGCCCAAGCGATAGCCCTTGGCTCGGCGCGGTTCGCGTCCCGGCTCGCTCCCCTTCGCGCCCCGCCCACTTCACAGACTGCGGACCGTACCCAGCACCACTCACGTCGAGTTTTTGCTGCAAGCAGCGGCGTACACGTCGTCATAGTTGGACACGACGGCGTTGACGAACGACAGCAGACCACCGAGCGAGGTCAAGTCGGCGGAGCAGTTGGAGGTGATGGTCGCCTGGGCCTGCTGGAGGGTCTCGTTGCTGCACTTGGGGGTGGTCGAGTTGCAGAGGCCCGTGAGGTAGCCCCCGACGGGGGTCACGACCGATCCCGTGCTGGAGAGGACGGCGACGAGCTTCGAAACCTGGAGACAGGAGCCGGCGTCGCTGCCCAGGAGGCCGACGAGGCCCGCAGAGCAGGTGGCCGAGATGTTCTGGCTGCGGATTGTGAGCGGGGGAACAGGGGGGAGGCAGGGAAGGAAGGGTGTAGGGAGGGAGCAACGCGAGTAAGGTATAGGCAGTGTCAACGTACGCGTAGGCGCCAGCGGCGAGGAGGGCGGTAGCGACGAATGCAGTGCGCATGGTGTGTTGCGACGGACGGATGAGCGATGCAAGAACAGTGAATGACACGGACGTGGGCAGTGCTGCTGTTATTTATACTCGTTGGTGGGAAGAGACATCACATGCCGCGCCCGGTGCAGCTGTTGCTTGTTTGGTCCAAGCCCCCAACCCGCCCCGGCCACACCATTCTCCGCGCGGGGAACCGGCGGCGTCGTGCGCGTCGCCCGTTGATATCCCCCCAAGGTGTCTCCCGTTTGACATGCACGCACGCCGCCGCTCTCGTCATCTTCCATCGAGATCTGCACAGCGCGCAGCAGGTGTGTTTTTGCAATGTCTGCAATGTTGGGAGACATGGAGTCCCACAGTGTTCCCTCATTCCTCTCGTGCCTCGCCCTCGTCAACTCTGTCAATGTTGTTGCCCACCCTAAAAGAGGCCAAAAATGGAGTGGACCCACCTTTTGGAGCGCGGAGCGAGATACAGTAGTCGCTGCACAGCCCATTGATTGGCCGGCAAGTGTCCGACACCACCACCCCCAATTGAGCTGAGAGCGCGGAACTGCAGTCTCAGCCCAAAGACCCAGCGGAGCGAGCGAACGTGCGACGCTTCCGAACAAGCGACGCGCGACGCGTCCCCAATCTGTTCATCTTGGCCTCGGAGTGGCGCCGCTGGCTGTGGAGTGGAATGGGCCCGACAAGCTTTGGCGGCGTCATGTGGCCTTGTGGCGGTGGCGGAACCGTCTTGCTGCGGCTCTACTGGCCACCACTGACACGGTGGTCTCCATCGCCGTCGACGTGGTCGCTCGTCGCTTGGGGACCGCTGGTCTCGAAGGAATGTAATAGCCTATTGCATGCGAGGCACTGATACCTGCGAGGCACTTTGTTGTCTCCGCGATCGATTAAGAGACATAGGGCAACCGGTCCACCATCTACTCCTTCAGCTCTCAGCAACGACCATGCGCAGGCGTAGGCGTGACGTCCGTTGGTACATGCATACAATTACAAGCTATACACAGGGAGGCTGTGCGAATGCTACTGTCTTTCAGTTCAGTCTCGGTCGTCTGTATCCGTATGGTGTTTCGTTGACGCAGGGGCAATGGTCGCCCGCTGCAGTATCCTTTGTGTTCCGAATCCGTGTTGGCTTCTGAGATGCTCTTCTTCCTCATCGGCCACAACCCTTTCCCCTACTCGTCATCGCCCATCTCCTCATCCAGCTGCGACTCGGACCGCCTCTGCAGCCTCGGACTCGGCGTGCGCCGAGGACTCCTGCCTGCCGGCGGCATCAACATGTCGCCGGCGAACAGCTCGCCGCCGAGATCAGGCATCATAAGCCTTGGACTAGCCGGCGGCGAAGGCGGTGGGGTGAGGCACAAGACGTCAATGCGCACAAACAGTGTGGCGAAGAGGTATCGCGAGCGATCGCGGTCGTCCAGCGGCAGGTAGCGGTATCCGCGCCCGGCGTCGGGCAGTGGCCTGGTCCATTGCGCGACGACGCCTTTGGGAAGCTTGAGCTCGAGGTGCAAGAAGACGAGGGAGAGAAGGGACGGTTTGGTGGTGATGTCAAACTCCATGGTCTCGTCCCACTGCGGTCCCAAGGTAGCCGCCTTGGTCGGGCGAGTCTTGATTGTCGTCTCGCCGATCGTACCTTCCACATATAGGTCGGCGAGCGGTGGGAGTCGCTGCGCCGAGATGATCTTGACGCGCACGCGATACTTGGCCGACGCTTCCGTGCTCTTGTAGCGCAGGGCAGGCGGTTTGAGGACGTATCCGCCATCATGGAAGAGCGCGCCATTATAGAGCGACCCAGAGTCCAGTGTCTGATAGTTGATGGCGACCATTTGCGCGCCGGCAGACCAGTATGGCCTTGGGTCAAAGTTCGAGCTGGTCAAGCGCACGCCTTTAGGATACACGCGGGTCAAGTGCGTAAAGTTGTGCTTTATCCAGTCGGCTTCCTGTCCCTCGCGCAGGATGCGGTTGGCAGTGCGCTCCGATACCGAAAACATGTGGTGCGGCTCATAGTTGACCAGTTTGGAGAAGCCACGGTATTTGACCGCAGACGTATAGACCGGGAGTTCTGTGAGGCGGTGTGAGTGGCCGTTTGACGGCGACGCGGGACTGGCTCGTGGTGTGGGGGCGTCCTTGTTCCCCGACCCAGCTGAAAGTGAGATACGGCGGGCAAAGCGGACCAGGCTCGAGTCTGACTCTGTGGTCGAGTCGGTAGAATCTTGTGTAGACGACGTAACGAGGGCATGTCCAGGTGGCGCCGGCGGCGAGATTGACACGGTCGGTGAGGCGGGCACGGGATGGGGTTTGGTCTTGATCAAGATTCGGCCCTTGAGCTCCTCGGGGCTCGGGGTACCGTCTATATCGTTGAGAGGTTCCGTGACGAGCCTGTCCCCGAACGACTCTTTCAAGACTGAGGCAAGACGGTCTTGAGCAACAACCGAGCACCGGATCTCGAGCGAGATGATCACGGGATAGGGTGAGGTGACAAACGCGTACTTGTTGATCGCCTGGCAGACGTCTCGGATCGGCACGCTGGATGTAATCGTCATGCCATGGTAAACGACAGGGAGGCCATCGTTGCCGTCGTGGACGTCGACTGTGTGGGTCAGCAACAGGGCAACCTCAAAAACACCCACTTTCAACGGAACGGCAGCCAGCAAGCAGCACACGAATGTAGCCTTCCACGGTGCTCGCACCGCGCCACTGTTCCGCCACGAGGTACGTGTTGTGGCTGCTGGCAATGAAATACTCGTACAGCGGCCGTGTGTAGTCCTGTGCCACCTTGTGGAGGTTGTCTGGCGAGGCGAGGAAGGAAGCCAGTGACTCTGCGTTCCACAGGCCAGTGACGGCGTCGGCGAACCGGTCAAACAGGACGTCACGGCTGTGGCCAGAAACGTCCGTCTCGCCTTGAATGTCCCGCAGAAAGGCGAACACAGCCTCACGCGACAGTCCGTCAGAGTTGGCGGACGCGAGGGAGCGGTACAAGTCGTCGAGATCGGGGCGCGTCTGGATGTCCCGGATGAGTCGGCGGAAGGCAGCCAGGTCGAGAGGGAACTGGGACGTCAGCGGCTGTGCCAGTCATACCTATGCAGCCCCCCCCATCTCATACTCCCACTTTCGTCCCCACCACCGACTCACCTCGTACTTTGCCGCGGCACGGGGGCCAACCACCAACCCAAGCTGCGCGCACAAACTCATGGCCGTCGCTCGGTCGACTTTGCCGACACCCGCCGGCCAGAGCTGCCTCACAAACCGCAAGTCCGGGTCTGCGGCGGGACCATGCGTCGGGGCCGTGTACGCCCCCACAGCGGAGCCTGCGCCCACGCCCGAAACCACACGGTCGCTGGCCACAGCCACGAGATCGCGCAGTGCCCGCACCCAGAGCTCGTACACGTCATCGGTGTGTGCGATGAGATGCACGACCTTCCACTGCTTGTCCCGCACGTAGACGATGGTGATCCAGCGGGCGCCGTCATACTTGTCTGTTGGGGACTGGCCGAGTCGAAGCTCGCGGATGGACTGGATGTCGACTGCGGAGGTGTGAGCAAATGGGAGCAGTCGTGTGGGAATGGATCTCCCCAGCTCGAAGTGCATAACGATAGCTGGCATCCCAACAACACTCCAGACCTGCGAGGAAGACTTGGAGGACAAGACTCACCTTTCCCGCCCTTGAGCGACGGCCACGTAATGGTGCTCGCGCTCAGAGTGACAATCACATTCTTGATCTTCTTGCTGGACACTTTGCGCATGGGCACGCCCGAGGCCAACAACGCCGGGATCGCAACGTCTGCAGCTGGCGTCCGTGCCGGCGCAGCCTTCGTGGTCGCTGTCATTGTTGCCTTTGGTGGTGTTGTGCCTGTCGTGTTGTTTGCGTTTGCGCTTGCGCCTGCGCTAGTCGCATTCCCGTTCCCACTCCCACTCACACTCCCGATGCCGGTGGCCACGCTCGCGACCAAGCTGGCCATGGCCCCCAGGCTGGAGCCTGCAAGACCAGGCTCTACGGGCATGGTTGGGCGAGTAAGAAGAGTGCGATGGCGTGGATCGCACACCGCTGTTGGACCGCTATTATATGTTTGTGTTGTTGTGTGTTGTGTGGTATTGCGGTGCAGACGACACGTCCACCTCATGGGCCTCGTCGCCGCCGCCGGCGGTTCCGGAAAAGGGACAGTGGAGGTGGAGGTCGTCGGAAATTGGTTTCCCACCCACAAAGGGAGAATGCCAAGACCTCAATTGTGGATGACGTCCCACTACGCGTCATCTACGGTGCACGCTGTGCAGAAAACGATGTGCATGCTTAGCGGAACTACTATGGGAACGCTATCACAGACTCTCAAACCCCAGATAACTACAAAACACAGACATTATACGAATCACGCCTCTCTCCGTGTAGGATAAGACGCTCGCTTCTTTGCTCGCTCAGAAACTCTAGTACGGACTGTTGACAATCGCGCTGTGCGAATCACCTCCCAGTTGGGAAACGCGCGTTCCCTTCTTAGGGGTAGACAGCGAGGCTCGTGGCGCCAATGAATCGCGGGTCGGGCGGGCAAGCTCCTTCTTGTTGGCCATGAGGACATTGTGCTCGAGCGCGACGATGATGTTCTTGTCGGCGCCAAACTTGAAGTTGTCGGCAACAACGCGCGAGTCGTACTTCTTGATCTGGTAGTCGTCGGTGCGCCCCTGCTTGAGACGACGGAAGTTCCACGTGATAACATACTTGCCCGTCGACGTCACAATGGTCTTTTCGGCCTCGTTCATGCCCGTGTTGAAGCGAGCTGGGGTGAAAGACACGGGGTCCTCCATGTAGGCCAGGTGCTCGGGCTTGAGCTGGAGGCGCCTGGGGATCGGCTTTGCGTCGGCAGGGAAGCTGCGGTCAAAGCCGAGCGAGCCCTTGTACCGTCCGTCGCCAATGAGGGTGCTGATGAGAAGCAGGTACGTCTTGCAAGTAGCAACGACCCACTTGCCGTCTGCGGAGACGTCGACACCGATAATGGGGTCACCGAGCGCTGGCAGCGCCGTCTTGGCATTCTTGCCAATGGCGTCAAACAGGCGAATGTCACCCTTGTTGCTTGCGACGGCCAGCTTGCCCGACTCGGTGGTAGCGGCAGCGGAGAAGTCGTTCTTGGAGGCGTACTGCTTGAACTGGCTGTCGACGAGCTTGTTACCAGCAACACGAGGGTCGATACGGAAGATACCGTTGTGCGAGTGACCGATAAGGGTCTGTTGGGGGTTCATCTGGGCGTACTTTGAGCTGGACGGCCGTTAGCACACCTATAGCCGGCCTGTTTGTGTGTTTTGTAACTCACTCGGGAATAATATTGTCCACGTTCACAGAGTCCGAGACCTTCCACTCGTCCACAATCTTTCCGTACTCGAGGTCCATGCGGAAGAGAGAGTTTGAGTGTCCAGGGTCGAGGAGGAGCATGTCGGCGTCCTGGTTGTGCAGCATAATCTTCTTGGGGTTAAAGCTCTTGCCGTCCATGTCCTTGACGCGGTCAATGGCGGTGCGGAACTTGACCTTGTCACGGTCGTGCGCAAACACGCCAATCATGTTGCCACGAGTGACAAACGACATGTCGTTCTTGTATCCGACAGCGAGCTGCTCGTTCTTGGATCCCTTGGCAAACTCCTCAGAGTCGCTCTCCTCCTCCTCCTCGTCTTCGCCCTCGGCCGACTCGTACTGCTCCTCCTCCTCTTCCTCCTCCTCCTGGGCAGCGAGCTCGGCCTCACGATCGTCCTCCTCGCCCATCTCAATGTCGCCGTACGCGTCCTGGATGTAGCGCTGCTCGACCGCCTGGGCCTTGGCATAGCTGGTCTGGTTCTTGTTCTCCCACATGTAAATGGTAAACTTGTCCTTCCACTCGGCAAACTCTGCCGGGTTGAGACGCAGGCACCAAGTCATGCCAGGCAGACCCTCGGTCTCGCGGAAGGTGAACATGAACGCAGCGTTCGCCGTGTCAAAGCGTGGGTTCATCTCCGAGTCGATGGGGATCGAGATGAACGGGGTGTTGTCCTTGCGGACAATGATCCAAATGTCAAACACGCCGTTGGACGCCATGTCCACATCGACATCCTTCTCTTGGATCACAAACACGTCCGTCTCGGTGTCGAACAGGTAGAGCTCGCCCTTGGTGCGCTGCAGCACAGGAACGTCCTGGAACGGGTCCTCGGCCTCCTTCTGCTGAACGGGCTCCTTTGGGTCGACGACAGCTACGGTCGCAGTCGCACCGTCGGCAGCGGGAGCCGGAGCGTCTTCGGCGTATTGGAGCGCCTCGAGGTCCTCCTCGGTGGCGTGCTCGTGCGAACGCTGAAACTTGCGCTCGTACACACACTGCAGGAGAGTCACCTCAAACAGCTTGCTGGTGGCCTTGCCGACAGACTGGAAGAGGTGGTCAGTACGTTGTGCCGTGGCGTTTGTGTAGGCGCGCGTACGTACCTTGTTGCAGACAAACTCCCACAGATCCCCCTCATCGCCGCTGAGATCGCGCCAAGCGCAAGTCGCGTCACCGTCGAGCGAACCAAAACGGAATCCAAGCGCCTGGTCGATGAGGAATACGCGCTCGTCGTCGGCTGAAGTGTGAGCTTAAGGGTCTGACTCGTTACAATGACAAACAACTCACTCTCGGCGTCCTCCTCGAGAAGCTGCTCCTCGCCCTCTTCGTACGCGCGGGTCACGACCAGCTGGTACTGAAACTCGACGCCCGTGCGTCGGATAGTAGCGACGGCGTCTTTAAAACTGCGTGCGTCAGTTTGGGGGTCATCTTCATGGAAGTTTGACCTAAACTCACATGCACTCGCGCGAACCCTTGATGCTGTCAGGGCGGACGAGGTAGAGCTGGCCAGCCGGGATCTGGATGAGCTCGGGGTTGGCGGGGTTGCCTGTGCGAGGGTTAGATTATACTTGGTCGACATGTGTTGAAGACGTACCCCACATCTGGCCAAAGACTGGACGAGTGTCAGCAAAATGTACACGAGCGGGTGGTGGGGTGGTGGTGCAAACTGCGGAATGCGAACTCACGAGACTTGAGGACGAACATGGCTGCCGCAAGTGCCGTGCCAGTGGTTTAGAAAAAGAGAGGTGGAAACTGGAGGATGAATCTCTCCTTGCGTCTCCGGGATGTCGTGAGAGGGAGTTTAAGGAGAGTGAGTCGTGAGAGACAAAGAGAGAGTGGAGAGAATGAAGGGGTGAGAGAGAGAGATGTCTCGAGTGTTGTGTCCTGCCTGCCTGTTTGAGGAGGACCGGGTGGCAAAACACAGAAAGGGAGCGGGGTCCAGTCAGGCGGGAGCATTTTTGGCGGCCGTTGCGTCACTGGCGGATTGATAATGACGTGTGTTATTTACGAGCATCCCACCCCCCGGGCGTTATCAGTGTCCGCCCGCAAGCAGTGACGGAACGCGTGAGCGTCGCAGATGATGAACCACAGAGAGCGACAGGCAGTCGAGCAACACACAGTCATCCACCCCAACCCACCTCTAGACACCAACCTCACTCATCATGGTAAGCTTACGAGACTTGGCATCTAAAGCTCACACCTCAGGGTCAGGCTCCTTCAAGCGGCATGCCGCCCGGCGGTCACAAGGATGACAAGGACAAGGACAAGGTAAGACCATACCTCCACAACCTTCTACAGAGCACAGGTGCTGACTCTGTTCCTTTAGAAGAAGCCCAAGTGGGAGCCCCCAGTGCCCACACGTGTGGGTAAGAAGAAGCGCCGTGGACCCGACGCCGCGTCGCGTCTGCCACCCGTCTTCCCCACCACTCGCTGCAAGCTCAAGATGCTCAAGATGGAGCGTATCAAGGACTACCTGTTGATGGAGGAGGAGTTTGTGGCCAACCAGGCCGCCTACTCCGGCGAGGACCGTACGGCTGCCGACCGTTCGCGCGTAGACGAGCTGCGCGGTTCGCCCATGGGTGTTGGCACCCTGGAGGAGATTATCGACGACGACCACGCGATCGTGTCGTCTGGCAACGGCCCCGAGTTCTATGTTGGTATCATGTCGTTTGTCGACAAGGACCTGCTCGAGCCCGGATGCTCGGTCCTGCTGCATCACAAGACGCACGCTGTCGTTGGTGTCCTTGCGGATGACACCGACCCCATGGTCTCGGTCATGAAGCTGGACAAGGCGCCTACCGAGTCGTACGCCGACATTGGTGGTCTCGAGACCCAGATCCAGGAGATTAAGGAGTCGGTCGAGCTCCCGCTCACCCACCCCGAGCTGTATGAGGAGATGGGTATCCGCCCACCCAAGGGTGTCATTCTTTACGGTGTCCCCGGTACCGGAAAGACCCTTCTCGCAAAGGCCGTCGCCAACCAGACCTCGGCCACCTTCCTCCGCATCGTCGGCTCTGAGCTTATCCAAAAGTACCTGGGTGACGGTCCCAAGCTCGTGCGCGAGCTGTTCCGCGTTGCTGAGGAGAACGCTCCCAGTATCGTGTTCATCGACGAGATTGACGCCGTCGGTACCAAGCGTTACGACTCGACCTCGGGGGGCGAGCGCGAAATCCAGCGCACCATGCTGGAGCTCCTCAACCAGCTCGACGGCTTCGACGAGCGTGGAGACGTCAAGGTCATCATGGCCACCAACCGCATCCAGTCCCTCGACCCTGCACTCATCCGTCCCGGCCGTATTGACCGCAAGATCGAGTTCCCCCTCCCGGACACCAAGACCAAGCGTCACATTTTCAAGCTGCACACGTCTCGCATGTCGCTGGCAGAGGATGTCGACCTCGAGGAGCTGGTGATGACAAAGGACGACCTCTCGGGAGCCGATATCAAGGCTGTCTGTACCGAGGCCGGTCTTCTCGCCCTCCGTGAGCGCCGTATGCGCGTGACCAAGGCCGACTTTACGACCGCCCGTGAGAAGGTCCTGTACAGGAAGGACGAGAACACTGTGAGTGCCAATGTGGTGCAGAGGCCCATCGTTTTCTTCACCGCTGACGCATTTTTAGCCTGCTGGATTGTATCTGTGAGAGAGGCTACGCATGGAGTATGTACATGGAGAGAGAATGCATGGTATTGCACGCAGCGAGCAATGAGACGACGCCAGCACGGCTGCAGACGTGGGTGTGGTGTCATTGTCGTCGTGTCCCCGTCCCACCCCGTGGGGAAGGCGCTCTGCCCACGCACTTCCGCCCCGAGAAGCCGGTTCCGCCCTCGTCTGATCCATCTCTCGCCACCTAACGACCCACAACCTCACAACAACCCTTCCCTCCATCCCATCGTCGCTACACCATGTTTGGCCGCTCCAACCCGCGCGCGCAGACTGCCACTGCGGTCAGTCGGTGAGTACTGTTTTATGGGTAGGCAAGGCTGGTCGAAGAGACGTGTAGGAATGGGAGCTGGGTGGCGAGCGGGTGACGCCGATGCCGACGGCCAGTGAGCGCGTGCTCGTCCGATACACTGGTTCGTGTGCGAGGTCGCCGGTCATGGGTCCACTTGGATATGGCCTGTGGGTGATGAGCTGGACTGCCGGATTAGTTGTAAGGGCGCCCTTGCTCTGACCTTGAAGCCGAGTGCCGACACCGTCGTCGTCGACCGTCGGGCATTGTCCGTCTGCTACAGTCCACGATGTCCAGTTCCACCGTATCGCTTCCAAGCACAAAGCGGCGTGCGATCACCCTGCTGCATCCAGCGCATTACGGCCGTCCACATTTCTCCCCACGTCCATCCATTCCTATCCCCCTCCCTCGCATCTTGCCTCGCCTTCACTTTCAACATGAGCTCGGCCACTGACCCGCGCCCAGACTCATGAAGGAGTACAAGGACCTTACAGCCGACCCCATCTACGACATGCTCACCGCCGGCCCTGTGAACGAGGACAACATGCTCGAGTGGGAGGCTCTTATCCAGGGTCCTGAAGGGACACCATATGTGAGTGGTGCCGTCGTGGAAGAGGTAGTGCTGTCAAGAAGGCTGTGCTGTGCGGTGTGGTCTATCGCGTGACAGCTGAGGGACCTCGGTATGTTCAGCTGTGCCGAGTGAAAGTACTTGCACACCATACACCGGCCTTCTTGCGAGAAGCAACTTTTGCATGTGTGACTCCCGTCGATCCATCGGCAAGGCCACCAAGTGCTCCCACATGAATCGAGAACGCAGCTCATATCGTCTCAGGAAGGCGGCATCTTCGCTGCCAAACTCTACTTTCCCTCCGACTACCCTCTCAATCCATTCAAGATGGTGTTTGACCCCCCTCTGCTGCACCCTAACAGTGAGTCAAAGTGCCACACGGCGTACCTCAACCTTCGTCGAGTAGGAAGACGAGGAGGATGAGAGGGCGCTGGTGTTGTGGCTACCCACCCACCAGCTGCTCGCCCCTCCTCTGTCTCCCAATGTGTTTCCTATCGCCCTAGCCACTTTCTCTCCCACATTGGATGGCACTAACCCTGCACATCAGTCTACCCCAACGGCACAGTCTGCATCTCCATCCTGCACCCCCCTGGCGACGACCCCTTGCGCTACGAGTCGGCGTCGGAGCGCTGGTCCCCCGTACAGGGTGTGCGTTCCGTCCTCCTTTCGGTGCTCAGTATGCTCGCCGAGCCGAATATCGAGTCGGGAGCGGATATCGAGGTGAGTGGGGCCAGACTAAGCACAGTGGGAGAAAACTGGTTTGGCATGAGCGGCGCTGTGCTGTTGTTTGTCAGCGCGTCACAGGTCAATGCTCGAGCTCCAGCGCTCCCGCTCTGGCTTCTCTCAGTAATGTCGCGGTGTGTTGCTTACCGTACAGTGCTGCAAGCTCTACCGCGACGACAAGCCCGAGTTCGAGCGCCGCGTTAGGGAGCAGGTCAAGCGCCTCCTCGGCCTGTAGTCCAACGACAGCCATATAATCACAACACCATACCCAGCCTGTACTCTCTTTCCCGTCTCTGCCGCGCGTCATCGGCTCCCATCCGTTCCTCCGTTTTCGAAACTGCAGCAGCACTTGCAACCATAAGAACCCACGCAAAAGGAAAAGATCATGACAGGGCAAGTAAACTTTGGGTATCTAGACAACTACGATGTATCCACGTCTTCTTCTGCGTGACGTGCGAACCTGTGATGGAGTATGTGTTTAATTCGTGACGGGTCTCTCTCTCATCAGGACCTGGGGAGCAACATGATAAAGGAGCAGCGTACCACGACCTACGCCCTCGGCGACGACTTTAGCCTCGGCGCCTATAGGTCGCGCTCAGTCGTCATTCTCGTGGTATCCCGCGCGACGCATCTCGCCCAACCTCCTCCTCGCGGCGCCGAGCTCCTTCTCCAGACGGAGAATGTCGACCTGCTGCTCCATCTCGCGCGTCTTGAACTCATGCGACGCCATGGCCTTGTAGTCGACCACCTCCTCGTCGGTGTGTTGGTTCGAAATAACCTTGACCTGCTTGACGAGGGCCTTGCACGCGTCCGTGACGGCCTTGGACGCCAGCTCGAGGTTGTGCTGCGCCTTGGACGTGAGCGACGCCTTGACACGGGATGCGGCGACGAGCTGGGCAGTAGAGGCGGCGACCTCGTTCGAGGCCACGATGAGCTGCTCAAACGAGTGGGTGCCCGAGATGACACCGTCGGCGGCCTCGATGAGGAGGCCAGTGCCGTACGCAACCGACTTGGCGGCCGAAATGAGACCCTCTGTCCAGCGGTGGTTACGCTTGTAGAACTGCTGGGTCGACGAGGTGCCCTTGCCTTCGCGGACAATCTCCTCCTGGCTCGCAGCTGCGGCCTGCATGAGGCGACCGATGGCATTGGTGATGGCCAGGGCAGCGTTGAGGATGGCATCGTGCACGTGGCCCTCGAGAACGTCAAACTTGGACGAGGGGCGGGCACGCAGGGCCTCGAGGCGGGCGGTCGCGTCGGCAATGGCGCGGGCGGCCGACTCCATCTCGTTGGCGACCAGGTCGCCGAGGTCGCCGTTGGCGGGAGTCAGAATCTTGGACTTGGGAATCATGGTCTCGACAACCTCCGACAGCTTGCCGAGGGCGTTGCGCGCTTCGGCGTTGTTGCGGAGCGCAATGTCCTCCTTGTTGCCACCGCCGACAAGCTTGTACGACTGGAGGTTGAGGAAGAAGCGCTGGACAACATCACCGGCCGTCTTGGCGACCTTGACGAGCTTGTCCGAGGCGTCGTCGCCCTCTGAGAGGCGGGTAAGACCCTTGGACGCAAGAAGAGTGTCCGAGACGGACTGGGCGAGCTCGTTGGCGGTCTTGATGACGTCCACGTAGCCACCGCCAGACTTGCGGCCAAGGTAGAGGTTGAAAGTGGACGCAAACTCGGTCGCGTTGGCCATGGCCTTTTCGATCATGGACAGAGTGTACGGGGCGGTGGCGGTGGTGTTACCGGTCTGCATGGGGGCCTCAAGCTCGTAGATTGAGTCGTCGACCTTCTGCACACAGGCCTGGAGGATCGAGTCAATGATGGCGTTGAGCTCCTTGCGGTGGTCAAGGATAAGGGTGTCGACCTGGGCATCAAACGTGGTGGACGTCTCGCCCTGGGCAAGGCGCATGTCGCCAAGCTCCTTGATGGTCTGGTCCATGCCCTCCTGCATGATGGCAAGCTCGGCCTCCTTCTCCTCAAGGGTGCGCGAGAGCGTGTCCTCCTTGTCGTCCAGCTTGGTGAGCAGGTCGTCAATCTGGAGCTGCTTGCTGCGGAGCGAGTCCTCCAGCTCGCCTAGCTGGCGGTTGTACTTGGACATGACGGTCGACACCTCGCTGCTCTTGTTACGCGACGCATCCTCGGCGCGCTCGTTGGCAAAGCTGAGATCACGCTTGACACGTTCAATCTCCTCCTTGTGGCTCGACTTGAGACGGTCGAGGTCGTAGCGACTGCGGTCACGCTCGCGGATCATGTCGGCAAGCTCGAGGTTCTTGGTCTTGACGTCCCGTTCCATGCGCTCCATCTTGTCGACGGCCTCCTGCGCCGAGTTGGCCTTGAGCTGGAAGCCCTTGGACTTGTTGAGCAAGTCGAGGTGCTCGCCACGGAGCTGAGAGTAAAGCTTGGCGAGGGCCTCATACTTGTTCTTCCAAACCTCAATCTGCTTGGAGAGCTGGGCAATGAGCTCGTCCTTGGTCGACATCTGAGCGCCGACGTTGGCGCCGACCATGGCGAGCTCAGTCTCGAGCGACTTGACTCGCCTGTCATACTGCTCGAGCAGCATCTGGTCGCGCTCGTACTGATTGCGCATGCCAAGCATCTCCTGCTGGAGCTGCTGGGCCTCGCCAGCACTCTGCTGGTGCCACTGCTGGTTCATCTGGTCGCGCAGAAGCTGCTCCTGGGCAAGACGAGCCTGCTCCTCCTGTTGGCGCTGGCGCTCGGCAAACTCGGCCTCCTCCTGGGCCTTTTGCTGGTTCTGCCTCAGCTTCTCGGCATCGCGCTGAGCAACGAGGGCCTGCTGCTTGCGCTCATACTCCTCGAGCATGCGACGCTGCTCCTCAATCTCGCCCTGGGTGGCAGAGGGCGAGTCGGTACGCGGAATGTCTTTGGTAGCGTCCTTTTTGGCAGCAAGGTTGGGGCGAGGAGGCATGTCTGGAGCGTCATTAGGTCCAGAATCAAGCAGGTTGGGAGGCTCCTGGCCGAGCTTGGGTACGTTGATGAGGCCAGTGAGGTACTTCAAGTTGGAGCACTCGTAGTAGAAGCGGCGGAGGTTGTAATGCTGCGAGTTGTAGCGCTCGCGCAGGGGCTGGAGAGCATCGGCAGCGTCGGTGCGGCGGAACATGGCACGCATCATAGACGTGATAAACTTGTAGATACCGAACGACTCCTTGACAAGGGGGACGAGAGCCGAGATGCGGCACTCGTTGTTGTTGGAACCGCGGAAGTGGGCGAAGATGAGCTTTTGGAACGAGTCGATCTGGTCCTGCAGCGACATGAGGTCGGTAATCGTCTCGTAGCCCTCGTTCGGGTCGTCAATGTTCTTGAGCGAAATGTACTCTTCATACTCGAACAGACCGTTGAACTCGGGGTGATGGCGATGGAAGCGCAGCTTGGCGAGGAGGAACGCAGTGTACGCGCGAATGAGTGCGCCGTAGCCCTTGACGCCGTCGCCACCGACAGTACGACCACATGTCTCGAGCCAGCCAGTCTGGCTGTGTGCCTCCTTGATGGTCTAAACCGGACGTCAGCAAAACATGGCCATCGGGGTGGGGCGCCAAGAAGGAGAGGCGCAGCATGCCAAGCGATGGGTACTTCAACGCTCGGCGTTGCTTCGGCTACACAGCGTGATGCTCGCCCGAGACTCACCACCGGGTGACCCTCCTGGAGGAGCTTGTGGACGAGAATCAAGGCCTTGAATGTTTGGACCTCGTCGGTAAGGATGGGCTGGGTGCGCAGGCCGTTCCACACCGACAGACTCGAGTGGTAGTCCCAAGTGTAGACGATACACTCTGTGGATTGCATCAGTGGACGTCACGGGGCATGGTCGCCAACAGGCAGTCGTCACCGAACACCGCTATCGTTCGTACTCACTGCGCACATGCTTCTGCTCTGAAGTGTGTTGTCAGTTTAACTGAGGAGGTCCACAGTGTCGCGTTGCTTACTAGGGGCCGACTCCTCTGGACTTGTTGCCTTCTTAATGTTGAGACTGAGCTCGTGCTCGGTCTTCTCCTTGTCGACTGGACGGGTGGGCTGGTGGCCTGTTCCAGTTGGACGCCCACCGCCGTACGATTCGTCACCCTCGTAATCGTCCTTGCGTCCTCCACGGCCGAACCTGCGGGAGTGAGCTACAGCACAGTGACTGGACAGTGGGCGTACATGGTGGGCAGAGGTGGGGAAGGCTGTGGTTGTTGATGGGTACGGGTGAACTGGATGGATGTGGATGGGAGATGTGGATATGGGACAGAGGGAGCACAAGATGGACCACCCCCGCACGGACAGCACCCCGTCCTCAGATTCCGGAACGTCATCGTCGACGACAATGAGATCGGAGGAACATTGACGTGCGCCTATTAAAAGGTTACGTGCCTATTTATGGTTATTACCTTGATTAGGCGTGCAAATTCCACCGCCCCTCACCTCCACGCGTGTAGTCCACCGGCCGTACAGTCACCATAGTGACGCGTTCATCGACCGCCTTGCCTCTCCCTATCCATCGACCAACAACATGGCATACCAGCAACTCCCCTCATCAAATATCATGTAAGCTGCGATTCTCATTCATACAACTTACACCCCCAGTCAAGCAGACGACGACGACCTCGACGCTCTCTCCTTTGCCCCAGACATTGCCCCAGCAGCCTCGTCGTCCTCCAGCAACCCACCGCGCTCAGCCAACGCAGCGGGAAAGCAGCGGCAGCAGCAGGGGCAGGGCGGCCAGCCTGCTCTGTCTGGAAGGATTGGAAGTGCCCCCAGTGGAAGCAGCAGTAGCTGGAATGGCGTCCGCCTCGAGACTCGGTTCACTGGCGAGTCGACGCTCGATGAGCCCGTCAGCGCCACTATTGTGAGTATTCGGTGCTTGTTGACATGAGGGGAAGGGAGGTATAAGCCCAACTCGGTCATCGGCTGCACTGTGCCGGACGCCAGCCGACTACATGTACCTCTCACGCTCCATGCATCGCTATGGACTTCACTGACACGCCAGATGCGTGACCTGAGGTCAATCTACACCAAGCTCCTCCAGGTGCTCTATCCTCCCAAGGGTGGAACCTCACAGGCCTTGCGGTAAGTTTTTACGCTGCTACAATAGCTCTCCAGATGATCTATCCCCTTTGTTGCGGACATCTGGCATTTGCAGATGCTGTCAGCACCGCATACGGGCTCACTTGCTGACCCCCACCAGCGACTGGGACCTCTGGGGTCCGCTCGTCATCTGCCTGTCCTTGGCGATTACTTTGAGTCTTGACGTGAGTGTATATGGCCGCCTCCTACCAGGTTACAGTGCCATGATCCCGTGCTAGCTGGGTGTAGAGCTATCATACCGGTTACATCGTCTCACACACGCAGTCGCCCAAGGACCAGTCCCTCCAAGTCTTCTCCCTCGTCATCTCGCTCGTCACCATCGGCTCGGCAGTGGTGACAATCAACACCAAGCTGCTCGGCGGGAAAGTGTGCGTGCATCTCACAAGTTAACGCAATCCCGATTCTAACTGCCCAACAGGTCCTTCTTCCAGGGTCTCTGCGTCATCGGCTACGCGCTCGCACCGCTTCTCCTGGCCTCCATCGTCGCGCTCTTGCTCCACCAGCTGTACGTGCGAGTCCCCGTCTCCCTGGCGTGTTGGGCATGGAGCGTGTGGGCCTCGGTCAACTTCTTCAACGGCACGGGACTGCCCTCCCAGCGCACCATGTTGGCAGTCTACCCCCTGTGTCTGTTCTTCTTCGTCTTGGCGTGGATGATCATGATCCAATAAGCCGACACACCGCACTGTTTTGTCCGCAACCTTTTAGAAAGAGACCTATGCATGAGGTTCATGAGGTTCTACTCCCCCACCTATACGTGATCTACATCAACAAATCCCCATCCCCGTCCTTCTGTGACTCTTGTGTATCCTTCTTCTCCTGCAATCTAGCTTCTTCTTCCGTGCCCGTCCCAGTCTCCAACTCCGCCCCGGTCTCCGTCGACGCAGTTGCAGCGGTGATGCTGCTCCCCGACGACCCGCCAGTGTCCATGTGGACCGGAGCACTGACACTCCCACTCCCGCTCACCTCCCTCGCGTCCGCCCTCGGCGATCGCAGGCTACCCGGCGACGGCCGGGGTCCGCCGACGTGGTACTTCGGGGACGTGGATCGACGCGCGCCGGGGATCCAGTTCTGCGACTGGGACGACCGCGAGCGAGAGCCCTGGGGCGAGATTAGGGGAACGGATGGGAGACTCATGCTGCCGACTGGGGAGGTGGTCTGCAGCGCTGTGGGGAGCACGGCGGTGTTTACCTCGATACTACCTGGCACCGCGGCAGGAGAGGCGGTGTCGCCCTCGGCCGGTGTGACAAGTGCATCCATGGTCGACGGGGCAGGCTTGACTTCCTCGGGGTTGGGAGTGTCGGTGAGGTCGATTAACCCTTGCTCCTCATCGACGCTAATTGCGTCGGCGGGACCCGTACCGACCGGAATGGGGATGCTGCCGCCAACGCTGTCGACCGACATCTGCTTCTCGGCTGAGGTTTCGGGCTCGGGCTCGGGGCTCGGAAGAGCAGGACGGCTTCCCTCCCGGCTGTAGACGAGGAGGTACGGTCCACCGTCGGTAAACTGGCCCGTGACGTCGCTTGCCACGTCCTCCCAGGACACCTTCTCGGCATCGTCTTGGATGCGCCACCAGTCCGCCACGCCTGTAGACTTGTCCACGTCGCCGCGGACATAGGTGAACAGGTGTCTGCCGGGGGTCATGAAACCGTCGTGCCACAAGATAGCGCGGAGAATGTACTTGTGCTCATTCTTGGTAGGGTCGGCGGTCTCGAAGAGGGCTCCCGATACCAATTTCTCACGGTCAGCCACGTCTGTTTGAAGCCGGGCAGCCTTGTCGCTCATCGTTGTGGCGATCCGCTCGAGCTTGGTCTTGAGTTCGGTACGAGTCTCGGCTTGCACGTTGTCAAAGGACGAGGTGGTGGAGAGGTGTTTGATAAGCGTCTGGATCGCGTCCGGGATGTTGTTGCCCTGCTGGGTCAGCGTGGAGACTCCGCCAACACAGACCCACCCTGAAAGAACTCAAATGTTCAGCCTGCTCCTTCAACCTCTTCAGTTCGCCCTGGATGGCACTCTGCTGAGCACGGACCTGCATCGTCGACACAGCGTTGTGCGTGAGATACCTGTCGAGCACAATCTCCTGCTCGAGGTCCCACTTTTGCACCGAGATGCCCGGTGTGCGGCGGAGGGAGACGAACACAATGTCAGCGAGAGACGAAATGCTCTCCATTGGGGTGTCAGCCGTCCACAGGATGGAAGCGAGGTTGGGGTGGACAGAAGTAGGCGCCGACAGGCCGCCGCGCCCGAATTCGACGTAGGGGTGAGGAACATCTGGCGCGGACGACAGGCGGGTAATGAGGAGTCTGCTGTCAGCTGCCGCCAGACGGTCCAGGCTCACTGCTCGGGCTTGCGATAAAAGTCGCCTAAAGCATTGTCAAAGTCGATGAGCTGAGACCTGGTGCCGGCAGCCTGAACGAGCAGGTCGCTGACACGGGGAAGCCACCGCTCGAGAATCTCTTGGTGAGGAGGCAGACGGGGCGAGTAGACTTCAAAACTGCTGTTTAGGCCGGCAACGAGGTTGTCGACATTGACGAAGTTTTCCTTGCCGGAATATTGCTCGCTCATCAACTCTTGCAGTGCGTTGAGTTCTGAGCCGTCAGTAAATGTCGCCATACTGATGCCTACCTTGTGGGTCATCAACATCATGAGCCAAACCAGCAAACACGTCCCGAAGCTGAGGGACAGCTGCAAATGCCTGCAGCAGGTTGGCAGCAAAGGCGGGAGCTTGGACAGTGAGGTACACCACGGGCCTGCTTGTCAGTTTCTTGCCGCGAACAGTAAGCTCACGCTCCAGGCTTCCTGTCAACTGGGATTGGAATGTTCTCCTCCTCGCTCGGGATGGAATGAAAGCTCGCAGTCATCATAGACTCTTGCAGAGCACGCTGGAAATCCTCTTCTTCCTTGTTGCTCGCCGCCGCGCCGGTTGGCACCATTGCGAGCTTGCCGTCGAGGTCATTCCGCTCGCTCGGTCCAAAGGCCAGGAGAGGCTCGTCGCTGTTCTGCCTGTGTGGGGAAGGTGGCGGTGCCGACGCACGTACGCTCCGTTCACGCTCTTCTCGAGACAGCCCCGCGTCCGCTGCGGTCGGGGCGCTGGTGCTCAGGTTGGTCGTGCCGATCACCGCGCCACCACTGGCACTCGCACCGGCACCGCCCTGGGTGTCCTCGTCGGGGTTCCTCCGGCTCAGCTCTAACGCCATCAGCAACTCCTCGTCATCGTCATCATTGTCGAGCCGGACGGGACCTGCTCCTGGGGAGATGTATGGAGTTGCTGGGCCGGGGCGGAAGGGATTGCCGGTCCGAGGTGGTAGAGTTGGGACGGCAGCGGGCTCAGCTGGCCAGGCGGTGTTGTTGTACGATGGCGTGGGTTCCGCTTCTGGTGTCCACTGAAAGAGCATGAGTCAGATAACCACGAACAAGTTATGACCTTAGCTGTATCATATACAGCCCGCTACGCAGCAGCGGCAGCCTGGGGGCCACCATCTGCGAACATTGCCACCCACCGATTCGCCCTCGCCAAAAACCCAGTTGATGGCGGCGTCAACGGTATGGAAACGCACTGCCGCCTGGTGAGATTTGGGCGCGTCGACGCCCATGTCGAGAAGGGCGACGCGGACCTCCTCGTTGGCGGACATTGCGCGCTGTTGTGGTGTTGGTGAGAGTGAGAAGAATGGGATATCGGACAAGGGGATGACGGTTCAGATCAGTGACGACACTGGACGACGCGCAGCCATGTGAAATTGCTTCCGTCTATGATCTGTTCATCTGGGACGGATGTTTCGAAATCTCTTTACGTCTACACACTCTATACTCTCTCCATCTCCGTCACCATGTCCGTCGCCGGCCCCTCGTCCAGGCCTGTCCAGGCCTTCTACTGTGCCATCTGTAGCCTCCCTACCGAGTATTGCGAGTTTGGACCCAGTGTGTCCAAGTGCAAGACCTGGCTCGAGAGCAACGACAAGGCCGAGTACGAGCGTGTCTGGGGCGAAGGTGAGAACAGCACGGCGCTGGGTGCCCCCTTCTTTGTGCACTAGGAGGGAGGGATGACATAGTGGAGTATGGCTGGAGCTGAGCATTTGCCGCTTCAGCTCCAGCAGCGCTCCAGTCGGCCAACATCCAGCTGCCGCCACCCTTGCGAAGTGCCTCCAGCTGACACGGCCAGGTAACCTCGCCGCACGCATCGGCACCCTCTCCCTCGACAAGCAGGAGAAGCTCGAGGCCGACGCTGCCAAGGCCGAGGCCAAGGCTGAGAAGAAGGCTGAGGCCGAGGCCAAGAAGAAGGACGCCACCAAAATCATCATCAAGCGCAGCGAACGTACCAAGCGCAAACACGCTACCCATATCCAGAACCTGGAGCTGTTCGGCGTCGACCTGAAGAAGGCGGCAAAGCTCTTTGCGTCCAAGTTTGCCACGGGTTCGAGCGTTAGCAAGAACCCCCAGGGCCAGGACGAGATTGTCATCCAGGGTGATGTGGGAGATGAGATTGTGAGTAGTGCTCGAGCTAGGCGACAGTATGCCTGTCACCTCGCAACGGGATGGGCTTCAAATGGTATCCCAGTAGGCTGCACCAGGGAATTGGCCTGCAGCCCTTCATCAAGGCCATTTGTGGTGCCGTGGTCGGACGGCACAAAGTAGCTAGGCGAAGTAGCTGCCAGCTACAGGTGCCCCAACCCCACCCCCTCTCATCGCAGCGTTCCCTACAACTCGTTGCTAACACTTACAGGTCGAGATGCTCCGCCAACAGGTCGGTGTTCTCAAGGGAGCGCCCGCGGATCAAATCACCCGTGTCGAGATTAAGAAGAAGAAGGAGCCTGAGCCCGAGGTGTAAACCCAGAGAGCCTTACTTATCTTGTTCTCTCGACGTATACATGATGTCATTTTGCATTGTTATACCTGCCGCGTACAGTACAGTGCACTCGTCTCTGAGAAAGGCGACTTGAGAGCAATTATGCTGCCACTTGAGTCGTTCAACCGACCCGTGTTGGTGTGGCCCACATGGCTTCGCGGCGACCACCATCAGGAGACAGAGCCACTCAACTTGGCCGGTCGTTGCGCAAAATCTATATTGGATGCTTTGTGGCTATACTAAATGGTACAACCTGGCTCGCAGAGCTCACCGAGCCTACTGCCAGGCATGGTTGTGCAAACTATCTAGAAGTAATGGTCCCAGAAACCGCGGGTGCCATTGTTGGGCGGCGCGTATTCCTCCACGCCCTGGAGGCGGAGAATGAGGTTGAAGATGTTGAGGTTGGCGAAGGCTGCGGGGCGAGCATTAGCGATAGATGAACACAAACGCCATATCGCGCCGAGGACTCACTGGACATGACAGGCGGGTGTACAGAGGCCCAACCCTGCTTTGTGCCTCCTACTTGTCCCTCATCGGCGTCGACCTCACGCTTCCTCAGCTCTGAGGTTTCCGCGTCGGCCGCCTCGTCCACGGTCCATGCCACTTCTTCACTGACGGACAGAGTGCCCTCTGCAGCCGCCGAATTCGCGCCGACCTTGTCCCGTATCTGGTCCGCGGCAGGACCAAGTGCGAAGAAGACGGCCTGCATTTCGGGGAAGGTGTTGTCGTAGCCGTGCGCGCCGAGGATGTGGAAGCCCTTGTACCGCTCATACTCGTCCTGACATGGTTTTGTCAGCTACAGGTGCAGGCGTAAAGAAGGCAGCTGGCTACTTACGTGGTCTGTGACCACCCACCCCAGATCGGGGACAACATACACGGGCGCCACCCTGGGCCCCTCGAAATGCCATCGCTCAGGCATAGTCTCGTGCGTGTACACTGAGAAGCTGCCGTTCATCTTGGATTCCAGCTGTGCAACGTGGGGCGTGTAGTCGGTGACGTCCGAGTTGAACCACAAGCCAAACGCTGGCCAGCCGTCACGATGGGCAATGTCGGCATAGAGGTCGGGGCCGAGGAGGTCGTCCAGGAAGAGCAGTCGGGAGGCGGAGAGTTGGGCCATACCTGTAGCGTGTTAGGTCGCTCAGAGTTTCCGGTGTCCGCCGAGAAACTCACCGTGGTCGCTGACTACAACGAGGTCGACGATATGGCTCATGTTCCTCTCTCGAATCTCGCCTACCAGCTCGCCAACAAACTCGTCCACCTTCTCCAGAGCGTCTGTGACGCGCTGAGAATCTGGACCAGCGGCGTGACCTGCCTGGTCGACGTCCGGGAGGTAGGCGAGGATCAAAGACGGCGCTTCTGTTGGCGGTTGGTCAAAGTAGTGGGTGACAAGCGAGAGCTTGTCGTGGGGTGAGAGGCGCCTGTACGGAACAAAGTGGTGCGGTGAGATGCCTGCTGCTGTGGTCGGTGGGCCAGGCCTAGGGGTGTCAGCGGAGATCATCTGGGTACAGGCAGTTGCAGAAGCCACACAATACAGCTGTACGCTGTACAGCTGAAACACATATGCCGACACACACAGCTTATACGCAAGAGCGCATTCGGCCAGCCCAGTACAATCGTCATCGGCAACACACACTCTGCACTCACCACATGACGTTGGCCGCTCGCCGCCCAGCACGCTGCACGACACTCCACATAGGCTCCCCGCCCCACCACCATGGATCCCAACTGTCGCGGTTGCCATAATCAAACGCCCCCCTCTCCTGTGTCCAAAACTCGTTTGCCACAATCCCGTGAACACCGGGATACAGGCCCGTGAGCATGGACCAGTGGTTCGGAAAGGTCAGGCTTGGGAAGCTGGGCTGCATTTGAGCCGACACGCCGTTTCGTTCCAACGAGAGGAGGTGGGGAAGCTGGGCTGAGTGCGACTGGAGGTAGGACGGCCGGACGCCGTCGAGGCTGACGAGGACGGTTGTGCGCTGGAAGAGGTGGGTGCCGTTCGAGAGGAGGTGGGGGTGGTAGGTTGGGGATGTGGAGCGGGTAAAGGAGACGAGGATGATGATTATTGGAACGGACAGGAGCGCAATGAGCGGGTATGGTAGCTGCTACTGTCAGCTGGAGTGATCGTAGTTTGTATCTGCGCATGGGATACCCACCTTGACGCCAGCAACGCGGAATGACTGGCTGCTCCAGTTCCTCAACCGTGCTCTGGCACCACCTTTCCTTCGTGGAGCACGAGGTGGACGTCCTGCGCCTAGCAGGGCAGCATTGACATCGTCGAGCTCATGTTCAAGGACATGGTCGTGGACGAGGTCATTAAAGTCGACGCTCCCCACGCGTCGGGTGAGGGGACGCTGTTGCTCGAGGGCGTCGAGTTGCGGGGTGCTCGACTGCGGCGGGGTGAGTGGTGCTTCCAGAAACTCGGCGGGGATGCGCGGCATGGTTTGCGGACGGCCGAGTTGGCCGATCGAATGGCCTGCTACACGAGAAGAAGTGTAAGAGTTGACAGGGAGAGACTGAAAGAGTTGTAGTAAAGACGAGGATCGAGGAGATCTGGCACTCGGCACATGGCACAAAAGGCGGGGCCCAAAAGCGGCAACCGTCAACACCCATGGCATAGCGGGCGACAACCCGGTTGTAACTCTCTCCTTCTCCCTTTCGTTCACACAAGCTCAGCTGGTCGAGACCTCGATCAACGTTCACTCGTTGCCCTTCAGATACCGACGTGGATTACGACGTAAGTGTCTCTTGGGAGCTACGGGGCGAGGAATGGTGTCGACGTCATCACCACCTCATTAGCTCGCTCTATGCCTCCATCTTCGGATCCCTAGCTCACGCTCATTCCCAGCCACGTCGTCTAGCGAGCTAGCGATACCATCGGCCACCTGTGCCGACCTCCTCATACCCAGGACCGGACACCCACATACAACCTCTACAGCCATGCCGGCGATCCGCCCCGCAGCGTACCTCCCCGTCATGGCTCTTGCCTTGCTGCTCTTCCTCGCGTCCTCGACCTTTGCATCCTCTGGCGACCGCCATGGAGCCTTTACGAACTGTCACACAGCCTGTCTTCCAAACTGTACCCATGGGGCTCTTCCACTGTACCTCCGCCTGCTGGGCTGGTCGTGCTCGGGCGAGTGCAGCTACGTGTGCGCCCACCACCTCACCGACCTTTCGGACAGCGGCTACGAGCACTACCACCAGTTCTTTGGCAAATGGGCCTTTTACAGGTTTATGGGTGCGCAGGAGCCTGCCAGCGTCATCTTTTCCATTGGAAACGCGTGGATCCACTGGACTGGCTTCAAGGACGTTTGCAGCGGTTTGAGGAAGGAGAATGGACTCCAGTGGTGGCTCAAGCTTGCGGCCCTCGCCCAGATCAACACCTGGGTCTGGAGCACCGTGTTCCACACGAGAGGTGAGTTTGCATAGACAGCCCGTGTTTCAACGAGCGAAGTCTGGCGCTGTGCTAACTGACCAGACCTTTGGTGGACAGAGCGCCTCGACTACTTCTCTGCGACGGTCACCATTGCCATCACGATGCTGTACGCCGTCGTCCGCATCTTCCGCCTCCAGACTCCCCGCGCTACCTCGCCGCTCCTGTATCCCGTCTGCGGGGTGCTCGCCCTCATCGTTGTGGGCCACTTCATCTATGTCTCGTCCCTCGACCATTTCCCGTACGGCTACCACGTCGCGTTTGCCGCCTCCCTCGGGATGCTGGGCAACCTCCTGTGGATCTCGTGGAGCGTCTCGTTCGTCGCCCGCCCCTCGTGGTTCCCCGTACCGTACCCTACGAGCCCATACTCCTCCTCGCGCCCGCTGAGCGGTGGACGCAGCGGCAACAGTAGCAGCAACAGCAGCGCCGCTGGCAGCGCGCCGAAGACTTGCTGGACGCCCACCGTCCTCGTGGTCCTCACTCTGCTCGCTATGAGTTTTGAGATTCTCGATTTCCCGCCCTTCCACCGTGTACTCGACGCGCACGCGCTCTGGCACGCGGCGACCATCCCCCTCGGCGCTGCGTGGTGGGCGTTCCTCATCAAGGACGCCAACGCGATGGACGAGGCGTACGCCGACAAGGGTCGCGAGTAGATCGTTTGGCGAGACCGGGGGCACGCGCGGTGAAGAGACGAGAAAGAGAAAGAGACATGGAACCGCCGCTGGTGAAACGAAACACGCCTGCGAGGCTGCGGCTCCCACAAGTGTAGATAGAGAGAGAGAGATGGTTGACTGTATGCATAATTGATCCGCCCGCGTCCAGCGGCCAGCGGCTAGTGGATGGTCAACCCGACCTGGCTCTCACCACCTGGCGCCACACACATGCAGTAGGGCCACGCTGTCGACAACCACACCTCCGCTGCAACTTGCTCTGCTCCCGACCCGTTATCGCGCCCCCCAACGTATGGTTCATGGTTCCCGCGACGGAACGCGGTTTGTCCGATAGTCCCCACCGCCGGTCCCCACGTAACTGATCCGTGCCTATCATGTGTTCATGTGTGCATGTGTCGTCGTGTCTTGTCTCATTCTCTCCGCCACTTCGATTACAGCCCAGTGGCCAGTGGGCGGGGACACGATGTGGGGGGGGGCACAGAGCGCGACCGATACGATGGTTACACTGCGGGCGTTGACCCGTGTGTCATGCATGGGTGGACATCTATGTGGGCGTGGATGTTGTGGATGACGCCTCCTGTGGCCTGTTTGGGTTCTGGCGGTTCTGCTCGGCTTGCATTCTGTCTTTCTTGGCTCTGCTGTACTCGTTCTCGGGTCGGCGCCATCCCACGCCACACAGTTAGTCCGCTTATCAGTCATATCCCACGCCAAATCCTCCTTCCATCTGTGGGTGTCCCTCTTTGCTTTGGCATGTCCCCAGATCCCCAGCCACACATGCGCGATCGATTACAGGCTGCATCACCGAGCTCTATGAGGGATGTGGTGCCCTGGGCGTGCGCCAAAGGTGCTGTTGGTTGTTGTTGTGTACGTGGGGGGGAAGTTGTGGGGGGTACGCAAAAAAGGGGGTGGGTGAGGGGGTGGTGTTGAGGAGAGGAAGTGAAGAAAGAAGAAGGAAGGGAAAGAAGAAGAGATGGAATGACACACACACACTTGCAACACTGGGTTTCTTACAGGGAACGCCTCCCATCCGGGGGGTCCTGCGAAGAACACAAAGTGTAGAAAGCGTGGTGTGCCAGCCGCTACAGCCACAAGTGTGACTGGCCCGATCTGATGATGATCATCCGCCATCCGCCGTCGTAGTCGTCGTCTCGCTCCGCTTCTTGCTCCTCGCTGTCTCCTCCGTCGTTGCTCGTTCGTCGTGGGTGGTTTCGTTTGTGGGGGGGTTTAGGGTTGGGGGAAAACAAGGGTACCGGGAGAGAGACGAAGCGCCGTCCCAAACACCAAGAATTCCGTTGTGCCTCGCAAGACGAGTCGCTTACTGGGCCTTCTTGTTGGCGGCAGCGCGAGCCTTGGTGGCGTTGTAGGTCTTCTTGTAGAAGGCAATGAAGAGGAAGAGGTACGAGGTGAGGAGACCGCAGCCGAAGAGGGCGGCGTACTCGGCACCGGTGCAGTCAACGACCCAGGGGAGGGGGATGTTGTAGCGGAAGAAGAAGTGCTGCGAGGTGGCGAAGAAGACGACGACAATGTCGATGATGAACTGGGTGATCTGCATGGTGGTGAGGTACTTCTTCCACCAGATCTTGGCTCCTCCAGCGGTGGCCCAGTAGTAGTAGTACATGACGACGTGGACCCAGAGGTTGAGGCCGATGACGACCCACTGGACGGCGGTCTCACCGTCGAGCTGGGTGTAGCAGAGGACAGCGGTGGCCGAGTGGTGGAAGACGTGGAGGAACTGGAGGGGCTTCTTCTTGGCGACAAGGAAGACGGTGTCGATCAGCTCGACGTACTTGAAGTAGTAGTTGATCATGTAGTAGGTGACGAGGGTCTTGTTGAACGCCCTGGGGGAGCAGATGGACCAGTAGAGGCCATTGTCAAAGAGACGGGGGAGAATCTCCTCGAGGATGAGGAGGAGGAGGACAAACGAGCCAGTGGTGAGGAAGAGGTTGTGGCACTGGAAGAGGAACTTGGCCTTGTACGCGGGGCGGTTGCTAGAGAGGGAGAGACGAGTGTCAGCATGCAAGCACACCGATTATAGATACATGGCGGGGGACGGCGAGGCTTGGCTGCATGGGGAGGATGGGTGGGAGGTGTGGTTGGGCGACTGGCTGGTTGGCCAGCGCTGGATAGGGGGTGCGTGCGTGCATTCAGGTTCTGGCGCGACGCGTCGCGCCGCACGCCGCGGCTTACTGCAGCCAGAGCGCACTCCACGTCGCTGCGGGACAGCCTGGGCCAGCCAGCCGCCCACAGCGCCGAACAGTGCCCACCAGCGAGTCTGGCGAGCTCGATGCATGCATGCTGGCCCCCCCGTTACCGCTGGGTTACACGCATTCTGGGTGGTAACAGGCAACGGGACCGCTGCGCCTTGTTGGACCTTTTTTTTCCCCGGTGCGGCGCGCGTCTGTACGGTGACAGACTGAAAATCGCCTTTGCCCAACACCACTCTCGTCGTCCACGCAGATAGATGGGAAGGGGGAAAAAATGAAGACTCACCGCATCCACTCCTGGCCACCGAAGATGACGGCGAGGTAGGTAGCGACGGCAAGGGCGACCTCGGTGTTGTTTGAGATGAGGGACTGGTTGGGGACCCAGTCAATAGCCCAGACGGGGGGGTTGGGGAGGTTGGCGGCAGACCAGGTCGACTTGATGGCCGAAATGACGGGACCCGCACCCGGCTTGAAGTACTGGGCGAGCATGGTGAAGAAGAAGAAGAAAAAGGGAAAGGAGTGTGAGGGGGAGAGGTTGGGGGGGGAGGAGGAGGGGGGTGTTAAAGTTATAAGAGTTTATGTATGGACGAAGAGAAAAGACAAGAGGAGGATGGATGCAACGGATGGGCCAGAGATATAAACCGGGTCCAGGGTGGACAGGGACGCGGTGAGTTTTGGCCGCGCCGGTAGACCCACACAGTGATACATCCCAGCCAGCCAGCCAGCGCCAGCCAGCCAGCCAGCCAGGCCCAGCCAGCGGCAGCAGTCGTGGGTCATCGTCCGTGTACACACGTATACAATCAGAGCCCCCCCGTCTGTCCCCTCCACCGTACGCGGCCGTACGCAAAGCTATTGCAAGCGGAGGGACAGTCACAAGAAAACAAAAAAAAAAACAGGCGTCCCGTGCGCATCTGGCGGCTGGCCGGTTTGGTGGAGAGAGAAAAAAAAAGTTAGCATCCATGCCGCTCCACTGCCGCCCACGCCACCTCTCAATTCCACAACCCAGGCTCTCCGGCAACTACGGGTCTTGGGCGGCTCTAGCGCCCATGCATGCATGCTCCCGATTTTCGCTGCTCTCATGTGCATATGCATGCAGGTATGCCAAGCAGGACAGTGCATGCATCGGTTTCTCTTCTGGTGCGCACAAACAAAACAGAGGCCACAAGGTGTGTCTGCTGGCAGAGCTGTAGCGTGTGGGATTTTAGAGCTTTTCGCGGTTCCATTATCGGGCCCCGGACTGGCCTGGCGGTCGCCCCCCATATGTCATCGGCCTGCGCAGGGAGTGGGCGATCAGTCCACCTGTCGTCACCACCACATCGTCCATCCCATGCCGATACCCCGCAGACTACCATCCATCCCTCTGCCGCAAGCACCCCTACGCCGCCACACCCTCGCCACCACCGCTGCTGCTGCTTCTGCTGCTTCTGCAGCTTCTCTGCTCCCGCACGCACAGCCCACGCTCACAACCTTGCGCTGCACAAAACGCCCAAAGCTCATGGACCCGAGGCTACAGCAGTTGCAGCAGCTCCACGAACACTTGCACGCCGCCGCTGCCGGCTCGGCCACCCCGGTCCAGAGACCACCTATCAAGGCCCGGCGGCCCTTTGTCTCTGCAGACAACCGGCCCGCCAAGCCAGATGGCAAGTTTCGCGTCGTCCTCGTCGCGACCGGGAGCGTCGCGAGCGTAAAGGTGCCCGACATGGTTGGGTCATTGTCCAAAGTGAGTTCCAACCTTGCTCCCCTTATTGTCGGCGTCCAGGGAGTGGGCCAGTCGGTTCACATGCCGACATGGCCATGGGTCGAGGGTTGTGGAGACGTATCGGCGTGGGTTGTTCGGCGTGGGTACACACGCGGTGGCCAGCGGCGTCTGTGCGTTCAGTGGCCGGCCATGCGTGGGTTGCTGGCGGCATGGGATGGGTCAGAGCACCCGGTTTCACTCTAACCGGTGGCGGATGCGATTTCCATCCACAATCTCCACAGGCCACAGGCCACAGGCCACACCCTGGTTCATGGTCAGCGAGTCAAGAGCTGTGAGGTGTGCTGTGGCCCATGCTTGTGTGCTTGCTCGTCATGCAAGCAGCCGTTGTCGCCATCCGTCGTTGCGTTTCCCAGCCTCGGTTCCGCGTTCGCTTCCTCCTGTGTCTTCCTTCTCTTCCTTCCTTCATTGCCTTCCTTCCCCCCTCACCGAAACCTCTGTAGCTAACCTGCAGGACCCAGACATTCAACTTCAGGTCGTGGCCACCGACGCGTCCCTCCACTTCCACACACAACAACAAGTCGACGACGCCGTGAAGAGGGCGTGGAATTTGGGCGAAAGCACTGGACCTGGGACACAGCCAGACTTTGGCGTACGCGTGTGGACAGACAAGGATGAGTGGGCAGTGAGTCTTGTCTTGCTGTTTCCTTCGTCTCTCTAGCAAGCTGACCAGGCCCAGGACTGGGGATCTATCGGCGACCCAATCCTTCACATCGAGTTGCGGCGATGGGCCGATCTTGTCGTTGTCGCACCATGCTCCGCCGACGTCTTGGCCAAGATTGCCTCTGGCTTTTGCGATAACCTAGCTGTGGGTTTACGAACCGCCATTCTCTAACCCAGCAGTTATCTATCCTTCGCGCACTGCCATCGCACACACCAGTGATTCTGTGCCCCGCCATGAACACTTACATGTACGACCACCCCTACACTGCCAAGCACCTGCGCGCCATCCGTGAAGAGCTCCGATATGTCGTCATGGGACCACAGATCGACGGAAAGCTGGCATGTGGCGACGAGGGTAAGTGTTGGGTGCAGAAGTCGTGGTACGGCCCAGCTGACATTTACCAGGCACTGGCAAGATGACGGACTGGCGCGACATTGTCATTGCAATCCAGGACATGGCCGCACTCTTCCGCACTCGTCTTGCACAGGTCGAGATGGCCCACATGGCGGAAGACGAGGCCGCCGCAGCCGCCCGTGGCGAAGTGGATTCTGGAGGCGATACGACCATGGGCGACTCAAGCGAGCCGCGCAACATTGACCACCCCTTCATGCCCCCGGTGCAGAGGTCGCCTGGAGGTACCGCCATCCCTGCTGGGGCGTTGCACAATGTACGCCTGGCGGAGAACGTCGCCCGACTTGATACGATGTCCTGGGAACATCATCCCACACATGGGAGTCAGGCGCGGGGCTCCCAATTCACTTCGGCAGACGGCAAGCGGCACTCTGAGATTAACGACATGATCGCCGACGCATGGGGTGAGACCGCCAAAAGTGTGTTCTTCGCTGCGCCTAATCCTCCAGGTGCACAAGGACAACCTGCTCGTGAACCTCCACGGCGCAAACGGCACGATTTGCACTCTGCGGAACGGCTTGTCGACCTGACAAGCCACTGGGATGACCAGGAACATCTCGAAGCCGAGGCTCCGAGCCGTGCCGATAAAGGAGGACAAAACGGAGCTGGTGCTGGAGCCGCGCCCAGCATGCCCACCGAAGCTGGTGAAACGCACGGCAGCCGCCCATCGGGAGTGCTTGCGGATCTTCCCAAACAATGGAATGGTCCTGAAGGAGTGACCCATGTTCCCCCTTTCAACAAGTTCCATCCTGGGTGGTGCGACGTGGAGTATGACAACGATGTGAGGCCAACAACAGCATTGCCTGTTTCGAATCCTCCGCCCAGGCTCCCAGGACCCATTGGTGACAACGACGCTCACTTGCCACCAAACACGACCACGGGGTTTGCCATCCTCCGCCCTATCTGGGGCGAAACGACGTACGAGGACCACTCGAGGTTACCCGGAACCCACTCGTACGCAAGCAAGGCCGACAAGACCAGTACAGAAGCCAACAACGCCGAGGCTGGGCCCTCAAACTCCAGCCCCGACGCCGTGGCGTCTCTTGAAATTCCCCCCGAGTTCAACCTCTTCAAACCTGGCTGGGGGGAGGCCACCACCCGGGCCCAGGACGCACCCACACCAGCCGTGACCCACGGTCTTCCCCGGCGAGAGCGCGACCGACATGATTTGAACCTCGGGCCCAGTTCTCGGCATATCAGCATGGAGCCCACGAAAGCTTCGTCGGTAACGGAGCACTGGAAGAGCATGAGTGGGGGCATGTACTGGGAGCAGAGGTGGTGGTTTGGCTGAGAAGAGTGACTGGACCTATCAGAAATGATCACGACTTTGAGTATCGCCATCCGTAATTGTACCATCCATGTATTGATTGTCCAACTCAACCTTTCATGATCGTGCCCGCACAAGGCCCACGGTGACCGAGACCTCCAAGTAGATGAAGTAGATGGACTGACATGTGTGGTTGTCGCCACCGGGCCATCATATGAAAAACACACTACGAGCCCTGCCACGGGCTCGCAGCTGTAAACCAAGGCCGATACTTGGTATCCATCAGATCACGTGATCGTCCCCAAACCCTGGGTGACTGACTGCCGGTCGCCGGCTGAAGCCGTCGCCGGTGCACACCAAGAGGCCGACTGACAACATCATCGACTCTCAACCACTCTCACACCTTTCAAAGATGCTCGGTAAGCTAAGGTGGTCGCAGGTCTCAAGCTAACCCACAGTTGTTGGTCTCACGGGTGGCATCGGCACCGGTACGCATTTACCGTTCCTCCCTGCCCCAGTCCCCACTAACGTTGTTCCAGGCAAGTCGACCGTGTCCAAGCTCTTCGCCGAGCGTCACAACCTCCCCATCATCGATGCCGACGTGCTGGCGCGCGACGTGGTGGCGCCAGGAACCAGCGGGTACAAGCTTGTCGTGGAGCATTTCGGCGCCGACCGCGTGCTCCTCGCCGACGGGGTGAGCCTGGACCGCGCGGCCATTGGCGACATTGTCTTCAAGGACGCCGAGCAGCGGAAATGGCTCAACGGCGTCATCCACCCGCGGGTGAAGAACGCTATGGTCAAGGGCGTCCTCAAGGCGTGGCTGTCGGGCGAGTGGTGTGTCATCCTCGACGTGCCCCTCCTCGTTGAGGCCGGGCTGTGGAAGTGGGTCGGCGAAGTGTGTGTGGTTTACGTGTGAGTGGGAACGGTGACGTGACGGCTCGGTCGGCGGTGCTTCGCTTCGTCCCGACCATGGCGCTTACTTGCTCTGTTCAGAAACGAGAAACTCCAATTCACGCGCCTCATGGCGCGCCCGCAGACCCCACCTCTCACAGAGGAACAGGCCAAGAACCGTATCGCCGCGCAGCTGCCCATGGCCGCCAAGCTCGAGCACGCCACCACTGTGCTGGACAACAGCGGCACGCTAGCCGACCTCGATGCCCAGGTTGACCGCGCCGTCGCCCGCTGGAAGCGCCAGCAGGGAGGCAACACGGGCTGGTGGTGGCGCCTGTGCTGGCTCGTCCCGCCCGTCGGCCTCGTGGCGGCCTGGGTCAGCCTGCTCACGACCTGGCTGCGGTCGCGCAAGCCCCGCAGGCGCACGCGTGGCGAGGGCGGAGGCGAGCGGTATGAGATGAAGGATATGAAGCGGAAGCCGTCGGCTGGGTCGCGCAGCTAGGTTGTAGCTAGGTTGTAGTAATAGAGGTAATGAATGGTATGGTGGCGCAGAAAGGAACACAAAGAGGACTGGGGTTGTGTTCGTTGGACCGCTGGGGAGTGTACACACCGCCACTGTCATCCCCGCTTGGACAGCATCAACTTCATTGCTCCCCACTGATCGCCACTGACTCCCTGGGAGCGAGATGTTTTCACAAGCTGTGGCAATTAAATCGACTGGAAACTGTTTGTTATAAGTGAAATGTCCCCGGTGCTATTGTGCAATTGCCACGCGCACACATGCTTGTCCAAGTCTGCCCACTGACACATGCTTATTGTCATTAAATTTATAACCTAACAGAACAGAGACAGAAACGCTTGCGGCCAAGTATGTGCGTCCCCACAACCGATACCGAATGCGGAAGTGGCACTTCGCGCACTGGTGACTTTCTCATCTTTAGCGAATGTATTTTCTCACACTTGCTTTTTGTGTACTCAAATCCCTCGCCATCTCACTCCTTTCGATTGGCAGGCATTACAATCTAGCGGTGTAAGTCTTGCGCGACTACCCAAACACATGATCAAACACCCGCTGGCGGCACTTTCCAGCCCCTCGCATCAAGATTCATACGAGCAAAATGTCGCTGGACATGGACATGTACCCCCACCTTCTGGAGGCGGTTGTGGCGGCATCTACCAGGGACACGCTCCTCGTCCTTCGTCAAGTCTCCCAGACGACCAGACACCTGGCACACACACACCTATTCAACCACGTCCGACTGGTCGTGCACGACGTTCAGGACAGGCAATTCCTGGACGTCCTCTCGTCTGACTGTGCGACCTTTCTTTTACCGCGTTTCCACCTGGATGGCGAGTACCAGAAGGAAGCCATCACCCCTGGCTCGAGCCTGATCATGGAGGCGCTGAAGAATGCTCGCATCCTCGACGCAGAGACCTGTGAGATCCCACTTGTGGTGGCCGAGGTGATCTGGGACACCAGTGATCTACCGGACAAATGGACCTTCACCGTGCAACTCAAGAGGAACATGAGGACAAACTGTAGCCGTCTGGCTCGTGTTCTCATTCACGAGATGGGCAACACCACTGCGGCCAACCAAGCGCCAGAGCCTCCGGGATGGAAAACATATATGTATGCGTATAGCATGCTGGAAATTCCGGTACTCTTGGCCGAGTACAGATACTACAAGTGACACCCCTTTGCAAATAGATAGCAGGCCTGGCGGGTGATCAGCTTCTAGCTAGCACAACAATACCAACTCGGTACAACCACCTCAGCACCAGACCCTCGGCGCTTGAAGTCAGACTTGAGACCAACACTACCTAAATATTGAGTACGCGCTTCTCATACTCGATGTCAGGTGTGTGACGCATGTGCCCACAGTCCACACTCTCGGTCTCGGCAACGTCCGGGGCACAGCCCAGCCCGCTCGTGTTTCTCATGTACCTATGTACCTGTCGCCATGCATGCGTGACACCAATGGCAGGCTCAAGTCTGAGCATGGGCTTACCGTGCCACTGAATGCTGCTCCTCTGCTCATGCGGTGCGAACCCAGTCCGCAAGTACACTCCTGTGCTCCCAACCATGCACCACCCGCATCATCCATCAGTGTCTGTTGCTTGGTCCTCGTCTGTGCGTCCTTTGGCCTTTGGCCTCTTTCGCCCTCGCTCTCTCGCCGGGTGATGGGGTCTCTTGTAAACGCAGTATTCGCCACCCAAAAACGTCAAAGGGTCCAACGTTGTGTTTTCCAGTTGCGTGCGCTGTGTGACACGGATCAGGGCAGGTTGAATCAGTCACAAAGACACGGACGGGTACGGTGGTTGTCACGCATGATGTACTACTATACCTCTCATCACTGGACCACTGGGCCACACTGTTTTCTCTTCAAGCCTCAACACGTCGGAAAATGCAGTGGTGTACATCTCGGCCAGCCCGCCCAAAACATAGCCCCCTCCTTCTCCCCATCACCTCGCCCTCCCTTTCCCGTCCAGCACTTAAACCCAGCGACCAACATACACCCTCGCCTGTGTCTTGATCCCGCGCCAGACGTCGCTCCACCACTGCTTGACCCACGCGCGCTGGCGGTCACGCGTGCCAATCTGCCAGTCGCGGTAGAACTGAGTCAGGACGGCTTCACGCGCCGCCTCGTCTTCCTTTGTCGGTGGGTCCGAGGCAGGCGGGAGCGCCGCAAGGCGGGAGTCACGCTGGGCCTGGAATTCGGCGTTGGAGACCGCCTGGAGTGTCAGCAGAGGAGGCCGCTGGGCGTTGACCGCTGGGTCGCAGATGAGGGTTGTGGGCGGCGACGAGTGGACGCTGGGCCACGAGGATGTCCGGCACGCATGGCATTTCTGTGTCCCAGGAAACCAAGTCCCAGAGTCCACTCCCCGCCCACATTACCCAGCCACCAGACCGCGACCGCAACAACTCACCCAGAACCTGTGGTTGGCAATGTCCACGCGCTCGCGCATCATCGTCCACGCCATCTCGCGCTCGGACTGCACCGCCGCATTGCCCGTCATGGAGGCCGGGAACTCGGACGCGCTGTAAGGCGAGTTGGAAGGGCGGCGGTGCGGCGAGGCGTAGAGCACTGGGCGCATGTTGGAGAGCGGGTCGGGTCTGGGTGTGTCAGTTGTCATTGCCAGAGAGGGAGCGCGGGACGGAGGTGAACTGGCAGCTGGGTCCTCGAGGCAAGCAGCAGCAGCACCTGAGCCCTCCTCCAGAACAGTCTCATATCCATTCCACAACACGGTGTGACACTTACGGCGCAACAAGGTCGACAGTACCGTCCACGGGCTGCTCCTGTCGACGTCTCCGACGAGACGGTGCGGGCGCCTCGGGCGTCGACTCGGCGGGAGCGGTCGACGCAGACCCGGACGCAGATGCCGACGACGACGACGCCGCCGCCGCTGCGATTATGGTGACTGTCCTGGGAGCTGTTCTCCTGCTGAGACTGAGCATGGTGGTTGAGTGGTGGGTGTATTGTGGTCGTTGTCGTTGGCGGAAATCTCGGACAAAGATGGACAAGCCTGGGTGGGGTGGAGGCGCGAGACGACCGTGGGAGACTTTGGCGAGTGAACCAACATTGTCCCTACTGCCCAGGTGCCACCGACATGGTTTGCATCTTCAACATGGCATGTCGACCGTGTCCTCGCCTGGACGAAGCATGGTCAAAAGGTGGAACACATGCACCATGTGAAACATCCCACCCTTCTCGCCCCCAAACACCAGCCAAACTCAACCCGCGGGACGGACCATCGCACGTACCACAGTGCCGCCGCATTTACGTTAGCTGCCTCACCAGAAGACCCCATCGTCGGGCGGTTGAGTGCCTTGGCTATCGTCACCTCGTCTCAACGCCAGGCGACTATGGACAAGAACCTCATCTTCTGCTGAACCATCGCGGTGTTCATCCTGCCGACACCGAGGCACTGAATGCTAAACGGTCCACACTGCAGAGTGGTCAATATCGCCAGCCTCGTGCAGCCTGTGGTGGAAAGGTGGCACCTCATAAATGCCGGCACCGAGTTCCCGCGTGTTCTGGCTGCCCTGCACTGGGCTAAAGTTGGCGAGGCCGACGGCATACGGTGAGAGTGGTGGCCTTGGTGCGCGCGTGGCCGCGTGGTGAGTTGCTCCAGCGATGTTTGCTGCCAGTTCCTGAGGACCGTCGGTTAGCAGCGACCAAGGGGCCTGACCAGGCGGGGTGTCACAGGCAGAGGACGCTGGTGTTTATGTACAGACGATGCCAATCGGCAAACTGTCACGGCCGTGTACTTACAGTATGTGGATGGCGTATGCTCACCACGAACATAGAACATGACATGCCTGGCGAAAACGTCGTACACCAGTCACATATGGACACCGACGCTTTCTTCGGGCACTCTTGTCCTTGCTCCTCCCACTGAACCCCGTCGTCGGCAATGTTTGTTGACAGACGTTCCATGACCTTTGACTTTCTCTATCCGCGTTAGACTTCGACTACGTACACGATCCACACCTGTTCGACTCGCGTGACGCTCACGGCTACGCCTCTCGGTGACGGGCACCCCGTCGAAAGGCAAGCAGGCCAGCGACTCCCCTCTGCCCTCCTCCTCGTCGAGTTCACGACACATGCGTCCCTCGTTGGTCGTCGCTGCAGCGCTCGTGTTCGTGAGCGGTAGCGTTGTCGCAGCGCCTGCGCCGTTCCCGGACCCACAACAGACCGCTGCGATAGCGGATACAAGGCGCAGCACAACAACAACAAGTCGCACGTCGAGAACCACTGCTCGAACCGTCAAAACATCGGGGACGACAGGGAATATACCGACAGTGACGGTGGGCGCACCAGTGACCAACAATGCACCGTCCACCGGCAAGTCGAGCAGACGTACCTCCTCAACGAGGAGAACAACAACGACACGGACGTCGACGTCAACAACACGAAACTCGACCAGCACAACATTCCCGCCGGCATCGGGAACCGAAGGTGGTATCAAAACATCAACAACAGCACTACCAACATCATCTACATCTACATCTACATGTGCATCACGACCAGGCGAAACAGGCGTACTGTGCACAAAGTTTGCCCTCGATTCGGGCCCCCTCAAGACCTTTCAAGCAGAGGCCGTTGCGCTGGGGCTCGTGTTTGGCAGTATCGCCCTGGCACTCTTGTTTGTGGCGGTGAGTACAGCCTCGTGCGGCAGACTCCAGTCTCCTGGGTTTGGTACCATAAACGCGGTCCTTTCTCGGTTTCTGGGATTCTCACAATACCATCTACACGGTGAGCTAACAGGACCAGCTGTATGCGCTCTTTGGCGACCGGTACCGCGTGCGAAAAGCACCCCAGCCCCGACCACCTGGAGCACGGAACCGTGCGTGGCAAGAGTTCAAGGCGGACATGACTCCCGCGTCGAGACGTCCGCCACCGGTCCCGCCCAAGGACTATCCCCCCATCCACACCATCACCACCACGACAACGACGACCACGCCGGCCTCGACGTTCGGCACGACCGCAGGCATGACTGCGGGGATTGCGGCGCTGGGCGCTGGCGCCGGGCACCTGGCCCACCGCGCGCGGTCGAGCATCGCGGGAATCGCCAGCATCCTGGGCCGCAAGGACGCCAGCCACAGCAGCGACAGCGACTTTTCCGACGTCGACGCCGCCAACGCCAACGCCGCTGCGCAAGCCGACGCAGACGTGTCGGGCGACACGTCGTCGGATCTCTGGGGCGTGGGGTTCCCGCAGTACGAGCACGACCACGAGCATGAGAGCGGGATGCGGCCCATGTCGGGCGAGAGCGCCGTGGCGGGTGCCGGCGCCGAGGGGAGCCGGAGCGTGGGGCGTGCAGAGAGTGGGAGAAGACGGGGAGGAGTACGCTTTGCGCGTACGAGGGAAGAAGAAGAAGGAGGGCATCATCATCACGAAACCCTCGCCTCACCAGTTCTCCAGCCGACACAGGGTGCCACGCTCAGTGACAGTCGGCGGAGTAGTCTCGAGTCTGTCCCGCTCGAGCCCGTCGGGCCTCTCGATCCACTGTCGTTGCCTGAGATCAAGCCGCTTTGGCTTCCTTGGCCGCAGAGCATGAGCATGCGCCGCCCGAGCGATACACCGCCCCGTATTGGAGACAGTGGGAAGGGCAGCGACCAAGATATTGGTACCGCAGCCGATGCAGGCGGGAATGGTGATTCGGGGCCCTCAAGTGGGACTAAGTAAGAGGAAGTTCACTTGCGAGAAGGTGCGGGATGAGTAGTATAGGAAGGATTCGGAGCGGTAGCGCATAGAGTCTCATGAGGGTTATTCATAGGTACATACTCTAAATATCAAGTCCACATGCTCAGCACGACCCGGAGCCTAGCCGAAAATGCTGCCAAGCACGCTGTCCATGCCCTTGGCCTCGAGACCGTGTGCGCGGTCGGCGACAGCACGCTGCTTGTAGGAACGCTTGCCCTTGTCGGCACCGTCCTTCTTGGCTGGCGCAGCGCCCTTGGCCTCGGGGTCGGCAGCCGCAACGACGGCGGCCTTCTCCTCGCGCTTCTTGAGCACGCGGGCCAGCTCGACGTTTTGCAGGTATGCGCCCTGCTCGGCCTTGGCCTTGGTGATCTCGGTACGCAGGCGCGACTGGTGCACGTTGCGCTCGTAGGCTGGTGTGTGGTCAGAGGGAGTCCCTTGCAGCTGAGATCAGGGGGTCACCTAGCTGTACTCACCGACCTGCTCGCCAAGCATCTCCCACTTGAAACCCGAGAGATACTTCATCGTCCACACGTCGTCACGCCAGCTGGGGACAAGTTAGCAACAGCACTGGGAAGGGATGGCACGACACGGCGAGGACTAGTGCCCACACCCATTCGTTGCCACTACTCACCGGTCACCCTTCTTGCCGCCAATAACCTGTGCGTTGAGCATGTTGGCGACCGTCTTGGCAACGTTCTTGTCGAGGAACTCGACCCACGCCTCGGAAAAGTTTGCCGACTGGTGACGCTGCTTCTTCTTCTCCTTGTTGGCGTGGTCGGGGTTGTATCCGGTCGCCGCTGGGAGAGACGTCAGCGTCTATATCGTGATTGCAAATCGCTGTGGGAACACGGTAACCGTATTGCAGGGAGATTGGGCTGCTGGTCTCCCATATAACTTGGCAACCCCCTCTTTGCATCCACTGCACCAGCTTCGACTGAGACCACGGCACTCACCATCCCTGCTCTGCGCATACACCTTGCCAACCTCGCCCCAACGCGCCATGAGGTGGCGCACCTTGTGCGGGGTCATACCAGGCGGCACGCGCGAGACATAGATGACGCCAGACGTGCGCGCCTTGGACTTCTTCTTCTTCTCGCCGGTCAACGGCTTGGACGGCTCGTCCTCGAGGCCGGCAATGGGAGGGAGGGTGCGCGCAACAGTCGAAGGGCCAGCTTCGGGCTGCTCGTCCTCCACAACGGCGGCAGGAGCGGCGGCATGGGGGGCCTCGTAGACGGTAGCGGCGGCCTTGCGCTTGCTCTCCTTGACGACCTTTGGCATGGTTTGTTGTTGTGTGTGTGTTGTACAGTTGTTGCCACCCAAACGTCAACTTTTGAGGTGGACCGACGGAATCAAAATTTCCAGCTCGGACACACACGACGGAGCCAATCTCTGGGTGCAGTCCGGCCAGTCTCCGACGAGCAAGCGCTCTTTGACAGCGAGCAACTATACCTGCATCTCATTCACAGCAAAATAACAGACATACACGCCATGCTCGCCCGCTATCGCCTAGTGGCGCGTCTCACACGCTGCCTGTCCACCTCTTCGCGCTCTTCCACCGCGGCGTCGTCTCCCCTCCGTCCGTCCGTCAAGACCACCGACCTTGGTCTGCCAGTCACCCCTCTGCCGGATCCCATCCCCTCTGTGCCGCGCACACCGCTCGACCGCGCTGCCTTACATCGTCTGTGCAAGCTTGCCGCCCTCAACCCTCCCGCAAAGGGGAGCGAGGCCGAGACGCAGCTCCTGGCCGACCTCGGCGAGCTCGTGGGCCTCATGGACCTCGTGGGCGAGGCCGTCACGCTGGACGCGGACGTCGGCGAGCTCCTCACTGCGGGCGTGGGCGAGATTGTCATTGACGCAGGCAAACAGCGCGGTAACGAGGACAAGGACGGCGAGGAGCGCGGACGCGAGCTGCTGCAGTACGCTACGAGGCGCGTTGGCGACTACTATGGCTTCAAGAGCGAGCGCGCATGAGTGCGCTTTGTGCCGACGGGTATACAGCTCCAGCATATCCGTGATGTGTCGAGCAGCGGCGCAGCGAACGCAACACGCAGTGCCCGGTGCAGTTCGCTGTCATGTGATCCGGTGAGGTCCCCCACGTTGTGGAGCGGAGCAGCTTCCGCAACTATGCCGCGCCGAACCCTTTACTCGCTGGATCTCGATCCCCGGACGTCATCGCCCGCCCCTCGCATCAAATCGTCATACTCATTCGCCAGTCGCGCAACCAAACATCATCCTCGTCATCATACAGCTACTTTCCATTTCCGTCAAGCATTATCCATCATCACGCGTGTCCTGGCTCCACCGCGGGTAGTGGCGCCTTTTGCCTGTGCAAAGCCCCTGGTCTCTGGGTAACACCAGCTCTCGACTGACCATTGGCCATTGGCGATCAGGCTGTACCCCAAACAAGAACCTAAAGAACGTTCTTCGCCGATAGATAGGTGGATCGTCGAGCGGCTACGTCGACTCGCCGCATTTCCCTAACTGCATCGCCGTCAACATGAGGTCCGCCTACCCTTCGTCCAATTCGTACACTCTTGCCCACTCCACTCCGACCGAGACACCGTCGACGCCCAACCGACCTCGGTCATCGCCATGGCTGTAAGCTCAACATCCTGACATACGCAACCCGCCACATTCCATTTGAACACTTGCCCCTGTAGCTTGTTACCTCGTGACAGGCCACTGTAAGATGTTGAAGCACGCCATGGTTACTGGCACTAGTACCTACCCCGCACAACCAATACCAGTCTCGTCCATCCGATGCATACTTCCTTCCATGCTTCCTGCCCACTCCCAGTGTCGGCCTCGGGCCACCTCGTTGATCCATGGAATGTTTCCAAGTCTCTCCTTGCCAACGGCCGCGGTCCCGAGCATCGGCACAATTCTGCACTCTGGATCATTGAATGTGCTCGGATCCGCCACCGTGTCTGTTCCTCTGTCGTCTAAACGCTGTTTTGCAAAACATGAGTCTTTTGAGTCTGGAACAGTACAGTGTGCCCTGTGAGGGCGGACAATGGCGACAGACAACAGGCATAGAGGCTACACTGGTACACTGAGGGAGGGATAGGTCCCAAATGCCGCGAGGAAGCGAAGTATCTCGGAGAGAGCGATCCAAAAATGGTCCCAGACAGGCTTACGAAATGGTCAACCCACCAGAGCAACCGCGGGGCAAGTTGTGGGTGTAATGTAGATGTAGATACCCGGCTTGAACCCCGACGACCGGAAAGTCCAGTTGCTGGGAGGTGGACCTGGTCAAGCTTAACGCCAGGTACGACCTCAACGCCGTTGTGAGGCAGGCGTGTTGGGAACACGCAACGACCTTCAAGATTTCCGCGCGGAAAGGGTGATAAAGTTGCCAGCATCAACGGGGGAATGTTGTGACGGTGAGGAGTAGGCAGCAAGTACATCGTGGGTTCGCACGAGCCGGACATGGGAAGGCAAGCTCTAAAGCCAGAACTGAAGCTTGTATTATTGCTTTGTGCGAGCCACGCTAGATGGTCGTGAGGCGGTAGCATCTATAACACTGGCATTAGGGTACGGTACACTGCCCACGTTGCGGCGGCATGAAGCCAAGCCATATGACGGATAACGGGGACATGACAACCGATTTAAGATGTGGCGAAAAGAAAGCCCGCAGCCCACGTCATGAGAAGTGTGGCTCGCCGTTGCCGTGATCAGGACCAGAACGACGAGCGGACATGGAGACGCGGGATGCGAGCTGCCACGATATGGCCAAGGCGACAACGGACCGGACGTGAGCGGTCACCGGCCGGTATTGCCACAACTAAACCGGCCGCCGTGTGCGGACACCGGTCGGCTGGTTTCTTGTCATGAGTAATAACCACCTACCTCATCCGGCTCGGCGTCGAGCACAGTCAGCGGTGAGGTAATGTATCGGCCGCCGAGATGACATGGGCTGTACGTGGCAGGGCCGACGCGGGGAGCGTTGTTGTGCGAGCCCCATCCACCGGTGCCACACATGGCATCTCGTCAGCTGCGCAGACACTGCTCGCTGATCTCGCTGTCAGGTGGCCTGGTGGACGATTAGAAGAAAAAAAAAAGCATATCATGAGCACATGAGCAGCACGTTTCAAGAGCATCGCTTTCATCTAGTTACCGGGACGGCGAGAGGAGGTAGCATGTACTGGAAAACAGCAAAGGTTCCTGGTCCTGGCATTTGTGCTGTACAGGACGTACGTGCGCATACATACGTACTTTGCTGGTGGACGGAGGCAGACGATGGAGGCGGCAAAGAGGGAGAGGATCTCATCAGTCTCGGCGGGTCGCACGCGGTTTGGGTTGGGGCCTCATTCCTGCCAAGCCACGGCTCATGGCCTCTGGCGTCTGCTCGGCACGCTCGGTATCGAGCGAGTGGCTCGAGAGTGGTGACGCACCACCGGGGGGCCACCGAGCGGACGCTGAACGACGTATGACGCGTCCCGACGTAGAACCCACTTTCAGGCTCAGGAGCATGTTCCACTTGCACCGTCCGCTGTCCGCTGTCCTGTCGTCTTTCCTGCTGGAATTGCAATCTCCATGGGGCGCTCCCTGCTCTAGAGGGGCCATGGCCGCCGTGGATACCCCGCATACCGCACAGTACTGCTCTGCTTGAGCCCCCCCCCCCCCCCTCCCCCCCCCTCCTCCCCCGCGTCCGACGCCGCAGGCTGCAAATAATGGCCTCCCGCTGGCCGCTGATGGCCGCTGTTGTGATCACTCATTTTGCCAAGGGTTTTTCTGCCTTCTCCAGCGATCAAACGAGCTGCTAGAGAGCTGCTAGTGCACGGCCTTAGATGCACGGTGAGCGCAAGCAACACCCCACATCATAAAAGACGCCACGGCACACCACCGGTACCGCGGAGCGTGTGTCATAGTGGCTCTCGTTGGCGGCGGACAATATATGATGGATAGCGATCACCTCAGCCCCCAAGAGGCACCAGCGGGTGGCGTCGGTCTTGCGGGCACTACGGCAGAGATCAGAGACAGGACCCATATGGTTTGCGAACGGATGAATGCTTGGGGGGGGGAAGAGAGAGTTAAGAGAGTTCGAGGGCAACAACGCTGAAGCAGCAAACTGTGCACCATCTCCACACTGCCTACGAGGCCCTCGGGCACCATGCACCAGAGGCAATCAACCGCGGCCGCCGGGCCGTACAAGGTTGCGCCTTGTTAGCGCGATTTCTGCCTGACAAGGCGCCTTTGCTGATTGAGCTGCTCTCTACTCGATCTACGCTGTCCTGCCGCTTGGCGTGCGTGGCCCAAGATTTAGGTGGTGGTGCTGCTGCTTACCCATACGATGGGTCAGCCTTCCCCTGTCGTGATTTCACGCTCCTCTTGGACCATTTCAAAGTTGCAGCACAGCACCGATGATGTCGATGCTCCCCACCGTGTTATAAGAACTGGATCGAATCCTCCCCCCCGCGCGACTGCCTCTCGACCCCAACCACCACACCCTTTTGCCTCCCCACCCACTCCCCGACACCCCGCGCTTGGCATCACACCTGTTTTCCCTTGCCAGTGACCTCGACATCGCAGCAGTGACCTGGAACACCGTTCTGCGAAATCCAGTCCCCCCGTTCCCGTATTTGTGCCGCAGCATTCCGTCCCCCGCAAAGACGGCGCGCCGCCACCCGCGACTTGCCTGCCTCTGTAGTCACCCGCGACTGCGACACGGTAACACTTTTTTTCTCTTGCTGGCTGCAGCTGCACGCAAAGAGGGTCCCCCAATCCCCAACGTGGTGCACACATCGTTTGCACAACAGAAAACACATACAAGCCCCCCCAACCCCTTTTGTATATTGGTTTCATCCCACCTTCGTTCGGCCCACCCGTCAGCTCGCCCCCAAGACGACTTGCACCCCCTGTAAACTCTGTCTCTCGTTCAACACACTCGCCTTCCGCCTCGGACCCGCTACCGCTTGCATCTCGCGGTCCGGTCGTTACCGTTTGCAAAAAGCACCAGGGCCCGTCCCCCCGGTTTGTGCTGTCTCTCGTCGTCGTCGGTGTGTCGTTTCTCGCTCGTTCCGAGGCACGGTTCCTTCAGTGTTCCAGTCGGTTGCAGAGCGACGTCGCCGCGACAGTACAGGCCAAAGCATTCAGTGTCAAGTGACCCTCCCCGGCGCCGCCGCGCACACCATCCGACACGACCAAAGCATCTGCCCGTCGCAGGCCTTGAAAGGGAGCCAGAGTGACTTGCCCTTAGAAACCATCCGTCCAACCTTCCCCCCACACACCCCGCGCAGGTCCCCCACCCCACACGCACAGACGTTTCGAGTCCAAAAGTCACTCCACTGGAGTAACCCTTGGAGTGCACGCTGTAATACCTCGCGGCTTCTCCTCTCTCTCTCGTGCCCGCCCGACCGTCCACCAGGCCCCCCACCAACCCATCTCCCCACCCAGTTCTCGGATGTAAACAGCAAATAGTCTACCCATAGTCTTTCATCTTGCCTTTTCCACCGCGCATCACTTCCTTCCTTCTCTCCATCCCTCCTCCCCTCCGCGCGTCGCCCTACTCTTCGCCCTCTCCCTACCACCATCCTCCCGCGTCGACATGGGCTGGTCCGACATCTTCTCGTGCTTTCGTCGACGGGTGAGTACGCGTTTCCCGGGGGGAGGCAACTCGGAACGTGCGCGCGTGCTCGCGGTCTCGGTACCGTCAGCACCACCACGGGCCCACGCATGCCACCAACCCTGCTTCCTGCTTCGAACATGCGCTGACTCTTGTTTTGCAGACGTCCGAGTCCGAGGTGCTCGTCGCGCCATCACGCCTGCGCGCGCAGTCCATCATCTCGCAGGACGGGTATGGCACCATGGGCATGAGCGTGAACGGCGCCGGCCGAAATAGTCGCGGCAGCAGCACGGAGCGCGACCACGACGGAGGGCGGTCGCCTTCTCCGCCACGAGACGCAGCCGCGTCGCGGCAGCGCATGGCTGAGATCAGTCGGACTGCAGGCAAGTGAGTAGCAGCAAAGCGTATTGGGGGTGTGGCGCATGGTGTCGTGCATAGGAGATAGAATGTTCCCCCCCCGCACGCCACGGTTGCCATGCCCCCACATATGAGTGGCGCCGGCCGGCGTCACATCTGATTATCCAACCCCGCATTTCATGTCCGTGCTGACGCCTGGAAAGCCACATGAAACCCATCACATCATCCATCGCCGCCGCCGCAGCAGCAGTCGCCTACTCCCCACTCCCACACAGCAGTGTGTCGTCACGCAACCCGTCGCCGTCACCACAACGTCCCTTGTCCTCCCCGCCTGGCGGCGTCCTCAAGCCGCGCACCGTCAGCGACGCCAGTGCTGCGTCGGCCCAGAGTGGCCTGTCGCGCACGAGCGAAGAAGACGGAGCCGCCGATGGAGTGGTGCGCAAGTCGATATTCACGGGCGACCGCGTACCCTCCAACGGATCCAAGAGCTCGCGGAGCAGCAAGAAGGGCCGGCGAACGAGCGGACGCAGGTCGTCGGGCCGCGCAACGGCACCGCCACCACCGCAACTCCCTCAGCCGTGACACGGCACTCAAAACACGCCATGAAACAAGCACCCTCAAACCACAACAACCTTTGTCACATCCACTTCATGGCACATGGCACACATAGCCTCACAGCATGGTAGAAAATACGGCGCCGCGCGCCGGCCACAACCACCCCACCCAGCCCCCCATTGTAGCTCTTTAGCCTCCCACACCCAAACACACGAAACAACGACGACGACGACGACGACGACGACGGCTGGATCTCTTGGCACATCTTTGTTTTTCATACTCTCTGGCATGCATTCTGGGAATGCTGTACACTTGTGCTAGCCGGCTGCTGTTACGACGATGCTGTACCACAATGAGATCCGGGCTGTAGTGCTCGGCCAAGCGAGCCAGAGTGCCAAGACGGTCCAAGATGCCCGTCGCTGGTCGTGAAGAGAGGGCCTAAACACCGCCACCGTGCCACCCATCCATCCAACACTGTTAAGGCTTAAGAGCATGACGTTTTTGCTGACGTAATAATTGGCCACGCGTAGACCACGTGCTCCAGATATACTTCCGCCGGCCCGGGATCTGCCGGCACCGGGCGCGGCCTCCACCCGCGCCGAAAAGTCGGCCGTGTACTGATTTGTGCAGCCGGCAGGTCCATCTTGTTTCTTTCACCCATCTCTCTCCGTCCCATCCCTCACACACAATGGCCGACCAGATCGTTCTCCCTTCCCCCGCAGAGTACGTGGCAGCGCGGCGCGGATGAGCAGTGGTTGGTTGGGAGACTGACAGATCGCAGCTTCCACGTCCACGTCCGCCAGGGCGCCATGTGCGAGCTCGTCACGCCCCACGTCGCGCTTGGCGGTATCCGTACTGCCTATGTCATGGTGAGTCCGTGAGACGAGGCGGGACGGTAGCGACGGCTGTTGGTGTAATCCCCTCGATCTTCTCATAACCCCACTCACTTGCTCCCGGTCCTAACCCTCTCCCCAGCCCAACCTCGTCCCGCCTCTCACCAAGACCGAGAACGTGCTTGCCTACAAGGCCGAGCTGGAACGTATCGCTCCCAGCGTCGAGTGGCTCATGACCCTCTACCTCCACCCCGAGGTGACCCCCGACGAGATCCGCAAGGCCGCCAAGGCTGGCGTCAAGGGTAGGTCATTCTTGTCCTTGTGTCAGTGGGAGCGTCTGTATCCGCGGCTTGCCCCACCTCTCTATGCAAGCCGTAGTACAGACGTACCACTGCACAACAGTGCCTGTCCAGCTATAGCGCCATCGACCCTCAGCCAGTAGCTGACACTGTTCTTCAGGCGTCAAGTCGTACCCCCGCGGCGTCACCACCAACTCGTCGAGCGGTATCGAGGACTACGGCCTCTACTACCCCGTCTTCAAGGCTATGGAGGAGGAGGGCATGGTTCTCAACCTCCACGGCGAGGTTCCCAGCGACGACGAGAAGGTGAGTCGGTTTGACGCGGTCTTGGGAAAGGAGGGGTTGAGTGGTGCTCGTCTAGGTTGTGCGCGAGGGCGGTCCGCTATACTGCTCTCGTTGCCAGGCAGACCCCTGGGGACATGTGGTGGCCAGCTGCAGGCTAGCTGCGGGTATCCAATTCAGCTGGTACCACTATGTCCAGCTTCATGCCATTGACAGCTCATCATTTGCCACGTCGAGCTGTTCCTCTCACCCGACCATCACCCACATTGCTGACTCCCCAGAACATCTCCATCCTGAACGCCGAGAAGCACTTCCTCGAGCACCTGCGCAAGATCGCTGCCGCCTTCCCCAACCTCCGCATCGTTCTCGAGCACGCCACCACCGCCGAGGCTGTCGAGTGTGTCGCCTCGCTCCCTGCCAACGTCGCGTGCACCTTCACCGCCCACCACCTGTGGCTCACCATTGACGCTGTCGCGCCCCAGCCCCACCACTTCTGCAAGCCCATCGCCAAGGAGCCCCGTGACCGCGCCGCGCTGCAGAACGCCATCAAGAGCGGCAACCCAAAGTTCTTCCTGGGTTCCGACTCTGCGCCGCACCCGAGCGCGTCCAAGACGCCCTCGATCTCCGACTCGGGCGAGCTCCACTCGTGCGCCGCCGGCTGCTACACCTCGCCCTTCCTCGTCCCCCTGGTCGCCACCCTCCTCGAGGGCTTTGGCGCCATTGACAAGCTCGCCGGCTTTGTCTCGGACCACGGCCGCGCCTTCTACAAGGTCCCCGCCAAGGAGGGCTCGAGCGTCACCCTCCGCCGTCCCGCCGTCCCGAACCAGGTCCCCGTGCGTCTCGGCGAGGGCGCCCTCGAGGTCGTTCCCTTCTGGGCTGGCAAGGAGCTCGCGTGGGAGATTGTCAACAACTAGGCAGATGAGAGGTACAGAGAGGGGAAGAGAACAGAGAGGCACTGGCCTGGGGGGGAGGGGGGGGGGGGGGGGGGAGCTTAGAGTGAATGTGGCGACTAAGGAGTGCCAACGCCGGAATCACATAGAAAAAACAACACAATCCACAAATCAGCCACAAATCAAGGCCGGAGGGACAGTAAGGAGGGGATACATAGGCCACAGGGATGGGGGCGAGGGAATGAGTACGATGCATGGTTGTTAGAATTCCTTGCAAGGCACACCAGAGGCCAGAGGCCAGAGGCAGCAGCGTAGGAGGAAGATGCGACGTGTGGGGGCCCACTAATGAAAAGGTTCCGTGTTTGCCACCATCGTCGTAACACACATCAACATGCCTGGCTTGTTGCAGTTGCACACTTCATATCATCCCAGTCACAAGCAATGAGTGGCGACACATCGCCACCTACCTACACATCCGGAAGCGGGGGAGCGGGCAGCAGTGGAGGCACCGCCCCGCCTGTTTACCAGTCCGGCGCAAACAGTGAGCTAGCTCCTTGTTCAGCAGACTCGGCTGACGAACAAGCCGATGCAGGCGTTCAGCTGTCGACCACCACCACCGCCGCCGCCGACGGCGTGGGCATTCTTCTCAACCGCCTGGAAGACTTCGAAAGACGCCTCAACTCGCGCTTTGGAGGCGTTGAGACACGCCTGGGACGCATTGAGGCTGAGCTCTCCACGAAGGCCTCCAAGGACGATGTGGCCTCCAAGGACGACGTCCGCCGCGCTGGGTGCCGTTGCGAGGGCAACCCGTGAGTGAACCACCACCTTCCTTGCGTTGAGCACAGTTGCTGACTTTCCAGGCCCGCGCTGAAGCATGAACTGTAAGAGTCATGTCATGTGTCCGTGGACCGTACCGGGAGCCGATGCTGATAGTTGACTCTGAAGCCTGGCTCAGGCTCCTGCCGCTCCTGAGGATCAATCCCACCCAAAGGCTTGAGCCCTTGGCCCCCAGGTCGTAAGTTGACATCGCATACGTGCGCGATACTGACTTATAGCGACGACGTTCAGGTAGCCTCTCCACCCCCCCCCCCCACACACACTGTAGCTATAGCCGCATTTTGTTCATATATATATTTCCAGACTGACTGTTTTGTTGTTGGGTCATTTCCCAGCCATTCGCCTTCCCTTGGCTCGTGCCGGCAAGCGGAGCGATCGTTAGTAACACACTCGAAGCATGGACCGTTTCGCGCTCTGTTAAGCTCTGTTCCTGCTGTGAGCGTCATGTGGTTCCCTAGCCCTCGTCCTTGATCCTTGAACTTTGGTGGACTGACTGGGTTTTCTGGGGTTTAATGACTGTTTGTCGGCAACGGAAACACAGAACGCACATTCTGATTTTCATGAAGCTAATGGCCTGTGCCAGTGGCCAGTGGGTAGAGTGAACCGAAGCCTAGCCTGCACGGCACCATCGTTCTGAAATGTGCACACTTGAAGACGTATGGCCGAGAGCGTGTATTTTGTCTGCGCGAGCTCTAGACCATGCGGAATTAGCATCTGGCCGCTCTTTGCGGGGAAGACGCCGAACACTGACGACAGCGATTACGCTGACAGGAATAGAATTAGATAAGTGCACAGTAGCCGCTGGCATTGCAAGCTCACCCAGGACATGACCGACCCAGTGGCGCCAGCCAGTGGCCAGTGGCCAGTCGCTACGCTCCATGTTCATCATGCCATCAGGAACTCGACAGCTGTTGAGGCTGTGGCGCGCAGTTATCAGACTCACTGTACGTACCGTTTGCTTTCCAGTTACTCTGCCATTGGCTCTGATCGCCGCGTTCGACAGCAGGCGTCTGCGAGGTACAGGCCGTGCGGCCCGTCGACGCCGATCACTGGCGATTCGATATCAAACGACGACGTGAACGAACCCGCCAACAAGCGGCCTTCCCCACTCCGCACGCGTACGTGTCGATCCGCGCATTGTTCCGCCTCGCTACTCTCGCTCGGACAGGGGATTGGAAAGCTACCTGTCCGGGCGAATGGCAGGCGAGTGAGAGGCCTCTCGGTCTCGAATCACGCGTTATTCGGGTCAGCGTCCCTGCACGTTGATCGCTAACGTGCCCGACAAGAGCTGCGATTGCTGCGAGGTAGAAAATCAAAAATCAAAAATAAAGTCAAAACAGAAGAGAGCACCGACGCGCGTCGGCCCCGGATCCGGGTGTCGGCCTCTCCAAAATCACTTCTCGTGGCCACCATTCCCTTCTCCGCGTTCTCTGTAGGCATTGGGTGACCCCCGTAATGTATCACTGTGGAGTCACTAGGTCTACAACTGGTGGGTGAGGTGTACAGTGGTACGGTGACCACATGGTCCACGGATGAGCATGGGAGTGCCGGCTAGTTGCTGGTGCCAACTTCCGGGTGATCCGATGTGGCGCCGAGCAAGGTACATACCGCGTACGCGTCGAGTTGACTCACTCGAGTCTGACGCACCATGGATATCGGGCCAGCCACGAGCAACAGCCACCTGCCATGACCCCGCGCAACCTCTATTTATACCCTCCAGTTCTCTGTCTTTCACAGCTCTTGCCATCCAAAAAACTACACGCAGCGTTTTTCATCGCGTCCTCTACGTTTATCGCCTCGCCAACTACCTGTCGTCGTCCACGGCGCCTGGTTGGCCCTCCACTGCGACGGAATTCAAAGTATGTGCAGTCGCGCAATTGACTAGCAGGTCGTGGGGTTCCCGTTTTGATCTGGACCATGCCTTCCCTCACAGCTCGCGGCGCTGCTGGGGAAAACTCTGGGTACACAATGAAGTGGTCCTCTGGATAAACAAGGAAGCGGAACTTTGTCAAGTCTGGGTATAGCGTTGGAGAACAAGGCCAGGAAAAACAAAAGAAATCGCCGGCGATCAATCAAGAACGTGCAGAGCTGTAGCTCTGTCAGCAGCATGAAAGCGGACAGGCCACGATGGCGCGCATACGTACTAGAAATGAAATACCCTGTTGAGCCTTGGCTGCGATGCTCGTCTCTCAGCTATTCCCGTCGCACTCACCCGTTTGTGTTAACCGAGGCTCGCCACTTGCTGTTAAGCGTGTTATGCTTGTCGCGCACACCCACGGCAAGGAAGAAAACGACCACGGTGGATGACGTGGCAACGTGGGCCGTCGATCCGTGGAACGTGGGTCGATGATCAGATCGTCGAGGTCGATGGGAGACGTGCTCGTCACTGGCCATGCTGGCCCTTTTCTACCTTTTCACATGTCTTCCCCACAGCGCCACAGCAGACAGCAACAGCAAACACACTCTGCATCCGAGTCACCGTGCACCACCACGTTCCTATCCTGGTGCTTCCTGCAAACCGCACGACGCGCGGCGTGTGTCTGATCCTCTCTCCGCGCCTCCGCACGGCATCCCGACAGCAACACATCCCTAAACCGCTGCCCCACACCGCCGGCTCCGAGATCGGTGCCACTCCTCCGATCCACCCGAATATAGCACAGTAAACGGGCGGTTGTCGTGTCAACCGTGTCGTGTCATCCGCGCCGCCTCCTCCCGCAGCACCACCCGCAGCAGGCAGCACAGCACAGCACATGCTGCCCTGTGGCATGCTGGGGACGGAACCGGGCCGAAAACGCAAAGGTCTGCTCGTCCAGTCCGGCCAGTCTAGAACACGAGAACAGAAACAGGGTTGTGGCTGACGCGACCACGGCAAAAAAAACCGCCGAGAGGGGTGAGTCACCAACATGGGTGTGATAACCTACGTCACACAGGTGGTGCCGACAAGGAAGCGAGCCGCCGGTCACCGGTCGTCGCTGGCCATGTGCGTCCTGCTGGCTTTGAGTGCTTGGAGCTCCATGCTCTGCTCCAAATGTTACGAACACGCACACGCAAGCTGTCAAACGCCGGCCCTGACGTTCAGTGCCGGCGCCACTTGCCCGCGCAAGATCTCTGCAACCTTTTTCTTCGGAGCGCGTGTTCAACCGCTCCGAGATCAGGCTTCAAGCTCTCCCGCGCGGTAGCGCAGTGGGCTCTTTCTCATCGCGGTGACAGGAGCCACTTATACAGACAGAAAGCAAGTCGCTGGGGCCCCTCGTGCCCCTCGCTGTCCTGCTTGGGGCAAGGTGATGAACTGGAATATTTGGGAGCGCAGAAACGGTGGGATGGGTTGCCCGTGTCCGGCGCCAAAGCAGTTCGCAGTCGTGGGAGGAAGACTGACCTTTCCGTACACTGTTGTCATGCTCGTCTTCGCGCCTGGGAAATTTTCCCTCACACTCCAGTGGAAAAGCGGACCCGTGCTGTTCCTCGTGACGCGAACCCTGTTCTGCCATTGTCGGACACCAGCATCTGCCCGCACAGCGCCTGTGGGACAAAGTCGAAGGATGCCAAGTGTTGACTGGATGCCAGTCGCGGTCGCGGCGGGATGTGCAGCACCCATGACCTTTGATTTTATTTGCATAATGTCGTCGGGAGGGGACGTGCAGGCAAGACTGTACAAAGCAGTGAAACGGCCAACTCGGCGGAGAGGGTTCTTACAACGACTAGGCTATAGACTCGGAATATGGGCGGCGCGGCGAGGGCGAGGGCGAGGGCGAGGGCGAGGACGAGGACGAAGGCGACGGCGGGCAGCGAGAGCGAGAAGCGTGATCCAAAAGGGCGGAGAACGGGAGAGGGAGATAAGATAAAGATACCAATAACACAATCGCGGCGGGGAGAGGCGGATGGAGCGCTTTTTGCTTCTTCTCTTCTGGCTCCTGGCTGCCAGCTTCCGGCTCCACCGACGGCACACGCCGTCACGCTCAGACAGCGGCGACCTTGTTGACGCGCACGACGAGGACGTTCATCTCGCCCGTCGCCAGTCTGCGTAACGGCACCCCGAGGTTCTTGTACACTGCGCGCAAGAGACCAGAGTGGGCTGTGAGGGAGACGTCTGGAAAAGCGACAGTCAGCACAGCGTCACCTTGGGCGGCTGGGAGAGTTGTGGGCCCAGCCACGGCAGACTCACACGTATCCTCATCCCGCAAGCTGTCCATCAAGATGGCCAACCCCCGCCCTGCACGAGCGACCATTTCGTCCTCTGTCTCGCGGCCGCGGACGCTGAGCGGACGCCACACGGTATCCTCCTCTGGCATGGATGACGGGAAAGTGAACGTGGGGAACAATGCCTTGAGTTGGGACGTTGGCAGGCGCTCGTCGCAGTGGTGGACGTGCAGGTGCTCGCGGAGTTCCTGGGAGTGGGTGGTTAGCAACAAACGCGGGTCATCACGAATTTTCTACCCGCTACAGCATTTACTCACCTCGATACACTCGCCGGGCACCCCATGTCCCCAGTCACTGCCCTCCCCGCGCTCGACATGCTTTGGGAACCCATTCTTCCCCGCTCCATGACCGCCAACGCCGTTGACCATGGGTTTTCTTTGCTCGTGGCACTCGCACACCGTCGAACCCGCGTCGCTCCCAGCCCCAGCCCCTGCACTCGCGGCGTCACCGTTGGACCTGCTCTGCGAAAACATCCAGCACCACTCGAGCCCGCACGTCTCGCCCGGTCGGCGCATGGGGCTGACGAAGAAGCGCGTGGGCAAGGGCATGCCCCGTGTGTGTTCGCGCTCAAACGTGGCGCTGAGCTGGAGGGCCTGCGCGCGGCCGCGGGCGGTGAGGGGCGGGTCGGTGATGGGGTGGGTTTGCTGCACCTGGGTAGCGTCAGCGGGGAGTGGGGAGAGGCACAAGGACGTCCTGGACCAGAGTGGTTGGCGGGTGCACGAGGAAGGCAACCCAGCATCCACGGCCCGGCGACACCCGGTCGCGTGACTCGCCAGCGGCCACAGCTTCGAAAGCTTCCTTGCCACCACAGTGGCCGCGCTAGTCGCCAGCGGGGAGGGCGGGTGGCAGTTACGGTACTCACGACATTCTCTGGCAGGTTGTACTTTGCTGACAAGACGTTGTGTTCTGCCTCGCCGTGGCGCGCCGTGTACATGACACGGATACGTTCACCCGGTGCCGCGGTCGTCTCGAGGGCTGGAGTAGTACGTCAGCTTCGGGTGAAGCGGGAGGTCGGGAGTTGGCCTCGAGCTGGTAACGGTGCGAGGGGGACGAGGCGACGGACGACGACAAGCACTGCGCATCGCGTAGGCTGCATGCGATGAAGGAAAGGCAGCTCACAGCTATGTGCCAGCTGGCGATACCAACAACCGCAGCACCTCTGACGGGCTCCTGCCGCCGTCGCACACGCGTGCACTTGCCACCCGACGACCACCTGTCGAGCCGCGAGCTACTCACCATTGATCTCTTTCGCAAACGCCTCCCAGCTCGGCGGCACGAGACCAAACGAGCAGTCAATCTACAGGGTCAGCGCTGTTGACACAATATTCGGGGGGTGGCTGTCTGAAAGAGGGGCAAGATAGCCGAGCAGATTGTGCGAGTGGGGAAGAGACAGCCCGCAATCTCGACATGCGTGGGGCGCGCGCGCGCGGCCGGGGCAGACACAAAAGGTGACTTGCACACTGTATGTCGGCTTGGCACGAGCATGTTTGGGTGGCAGGTGGTGGTCACCTTTCCTAGCTCTTGGCCGCGCTCGTCCGACACACGCCCGGCGGCCCGCACCCCCCCCCCCCACAGACCCCCACAGCCGCCGCCGACTCACGTCCTCGTCCCATGTCGAGAGGTGGAAGAGACCCGGGACGTGCTCGTAGCGGTATTGGTGTGCGCTCATGGCGTGTGTGTGCGGGATGGCGAGGAGTGTGTTGAACTGTGTATGCAGGCGCGAGGCCGCTGATGGTCGATGTGGTAGTGTAGACAAGACACACTGTCGAGCGGGTTGACCGCCGACGACATCCGCTCTCCCGCCTCGCTCCGGCCCAGCGCTCCGGGGCAGCCGATCAGCCCGACGATCCGGAAAACAGGCATGCGCAAAGTCCCCGGTCATTCTGTTGACACGAGTAAGTCCGCCAGCACCCCCTCCCAGCTCGCACCCGCTGGGCTACATCAAGGCCGAGGCACTGCTCTGCACCTGCACCTGCGCATGGCTCTTGCTTGACTCCTGCTGCTGCTCTATGCATGCTAAAACGTATTTATGGTACAACACACTTCCATCACTCGCGACCCTGACCGGAACACCCCCCTCCACACCCTTAACGCTTGCGGGTCTGGAGCTGGCGCGCAAAGCGGTTGAACTTCTTGTTGTCCATCTGGATACGCGACACATGCGCGAGGTCGTCCTCGTGGTGTCGCAGGCGCGACTCGGGCGCAACAGAGTACTGGATCTCCTGTGGAATGTCAGCTTGACTCGTGTCCACTGGACTCAGCTGGTACTCACGTTGGCAATAAGAGGACGGGCACCCTTGCGGTCGGCATTCTCGGCGACGGCCTGGCGCACATCGAAACGACGGGGCTTGGCTGCCGTCTGGCGCTTGCGGCGAGGCTTCTCCTCGCCATCACCGTCGACGTCCAGGTCATCCTCGCCCTCGACCTCCTCGCCGCCCATCTCCACGTCGTCGGCGCGCGCAACGTAGCGACTGCGGAAGTCGGCTGAACGCTTGATGATGGGACGCGACCACACCTGGACGAGCGCCTCGGCCTGGCGGTTGATGGCCGGGGTGACGCGCTTGGTCTTGGTGTAGAAGAGTACGACGGCGCCGATCTGCGCCTCGCGGACGGTAGACGTGTCCAGGTCCATCTTGGGGAGGACTTCGAAGAAGGCCTTCTGGATGCCGACAGCGGGGAGCGACTTGTCCGGCAGAGGCTCGAGCCACTGCTTGACCGCCTTGAGCACCTCGTTGTCGACAATGGCAGACCACAGCGTGGTGCTGGTGGGTTAGCTGGTTCATGGCTTTCAAACCCACTTCTGGAGAGCGTCCACGACCTCGTTCAGCATCGCCAGCTTGCTGGTAGCAGGCAGCTTGTGGGTGTTGGCACTGATATCCTTGGCTGCAGCAGCGAGCATACGGTCACGCAGACGGATGCACACTTCGTCATGGTATGAGTCGACAATCTGTTCTTGTCAGCGGGTGCTTCCCTGGGTCGTGTCGTCGTCCCCTTCCTACACTCACGTCGACGTCCTCGCCGCCCTTCTTCTTCCTCCGCATGACGCGCTGCTTCTTGCCAATGTTGTCAATGCGCTCCTCGAGGGCGTGGCGGCGCTGCGTAGCTTCGTCAAGGACGGGTAGCTCCTCCTCCTCTTCTTCCTGGGCACGACGCTCCCTGCGCTCCTTCCTCTTCTTCTTCCTCCTCTGGCGCTCCTCGTCGTCGTCGTCATCCGAGTCGTCGCCGTCGCCCTCTCCATCCTCGTCGCCGCTTCCACGGCGCTTCTTAAAGCTCGGGATACGTGCTGCCGACGTCGCAGTTGCGGGGACGTAGGCGTCTGCTCCCTCGCCTCCGGATCCCTCGGGCGCGTCACCACCGCCTTCCTCGGCCGTGGGGGCGGGGTCGTCGGCAGTGTTGGCCGGTGCGCCGTTGTCCGAGCCGGCGTCTGATGCGCCGCCAAAGACGTTATCATTGTTGTCGGACCCGGGGGTGGGTGCCTCGTCGACTGGCTGTGCTGGCGGGGAGGACGACATGGGTGTGGGGTGTGGGGTGTGGGGTGTGTTGTTGATGCTGCCGAGGTCCACTGCTCTGCTCGAGATGATGCTCTCACCGATGATCGAGTGGCGGCTGTGGTGGCTTTTGGGTAATTCCGCGAGTGTGGCACTGGCACCGTGGGAGAGTTGCCCACTGTGTCTCCTTTGCGTGTGTGACCGTGGGATAGTTGATGGGTTAATGAGCCGATCCCGTGCGGCAGCCGGTGGTGGGCAGAGAGCGTCGTGCGCACAGGCTGTTTGTTGCCGCCGGTCCGGGCGCGGCCAGCGGGGCCAGCGAGCGGTTGTTCCACATCTCTCTCGCTCGTCGTCGTCGCCGCCATCGTACGTCGCATCTTGCTTTCACTCCCCATCGTTTCCACCACTCCACACAGCTCCCCCCACCCACAACACTACTGCTCTCTCGCAACCCCCGACTAGTCGACTCCCACACCACACCTCTTCCTCCCAACCCTCTTCCCACCACCTTTCAAGCTCCAGCAATGGGCGTCGCAGAGTACCTCACCCTCGGTAAGCCACTCTGCAGCAGCAGCAGACACGACACGCACACAGACAATGGTTGCTGACGCCACAAACAGCGGTGACCCACCCCGTACGCAGCAGAGACACCTCGCTTCCCCGTGGCCGAATGCTAATCATAACCAGGGAGAGCTCCGCTCCATGATCTCGTACAAGGTCTGGGCAGACAAGCGCGACATTACCGATGCGACCGAGCTCCAGTACACGGGCTACGACCGCGACACAATGAAGAAGTGCTGGGAATTTTTGGACCTGACCAGCCGCTCGTTTGCCATGGTCATTAGGGAGCTCGAGGGAGACCTTGCGCGTGTGGTGAGTTGGGCCGTTGCCATGTGAGACCCCACCAACTGACACTTGCTCCCCACAGGTGTGCCTGTTCTACCTCGTTCTCCGAGCTCTTGACACGGTCGAGGACGACATGACCGTCCCCAACGACGTCAAGCTGCCCCTCCTCCGCGCGTTCCACGAGAAGCTCTACGAGCCCGGATGGACTTTTAGCCAGTCGGGCCCCAACGAGAAGGACCGCATTGTGCTGGTCGAGTTTGACAACATTCAGAAGGAGTTTGCCATCCTGGACAAGGGCTACCAGGAGGTCATTGCCAACGTCACCCGCAGGATGGGTGCCGGTATGGCCGACTATGCCGCCCTCGCCACCCCCGAAAGGCCCGTCGCCGAGGTTGACAGCATTGCCGACTATGACCTGTACTGCCACTACGTCGCTGGCCTCGTCGGCGAGGGTCTCTCGGGCCTGTTCGCCGCCTCGGGCAAGGAGCGCTCGTTCATTGCCGACCAGCTCACCCTGTCCAACTCGATGGGTCTCCTGCTGCAGAAGACCAACATTTACCGTGACATCAAGGAGGACGTTGACGAGGGCCGTGGCTTCTGGCCCAAGGCCATTTGGAGCAAGTACGGCTTCAAGTCGCAGGAGGAGATTTGTGAGCCCGCCCGCGTAAAGGACGCTCAGTGGGCTGCCAACAACATGGTCCTTGACGCGCTCCGCCACGCCACCGACGCTCTCGACTACCTCACCCTCCTCAAGAACCAGTCCGTGTTCAACTTTGTCGCCATCCCCGCCGTCATGGCCATGGCCACCCTCGATGTCTGCTTCATGAACCCCAAGATCTTCACTGGAAACGTCAAGATCCGCAAGGGCCAGGCTCTCCAGATTATCATGCGCAGCTCCAACCCCCGCGACGTTGCCTACATGTTCCGCGACTATGCCCGCTCCATCCACCGCAAGGTGCCCATGGACGACCCCAACATGCTCAAGATCTCCATCTCGTGCGCTCGCGTCGAAAAGTGGGCTGAGCACCACTACCCGTCCTTCCTCGAGGTCAAGGCCGGCGCCAACGGTGCCGCCGCCCAGACCGGTATCGACCCCATGTCGACCGACGCCCGCTCAGGCCTGTACATGGAGCTTGTCAAGGCCAACCGCGCCAAGCAGGACGCCGAGCGCCGCGAAAAGTTCATGGACGACCTCCGCGCCAAGGGCCTCATCAGGCCCAAGCTCGACGACCCCGAGGAGGAGAAGGCGTTCCAGGAGAAGATGTCCAAGCTCAACGAGCCCGAGGACTTCCCTATCAAGCTTATCCTCGGTATTGTCCTGGGCCTCCTCGTCCTCTTTGGTGGCTCGATCTGGGCCCTTGTCTATGTCGCTACCAACTACCTTGTGAGTTTTAGCTGCCCGGTCATGAGATGCGGCCGTAAAGCTGACACACTTGCTTCCAGGACAACTAAAGGACTAAAAGAGTGTGTTGCAAGAACGAGTTGCACCGGTCATCAGAGAGTAATAGTTTGTTTTGTGTGGGGACGCTTGGGACCATATGGATAGCATGCCAGCAGCAAAAACGACGGGGTGGACATTGGCGCGACTGATTTCGTCCACCGTGGTCCACTCATCTGCACGCCTTCCTTTTCTGTTTCACATTCTTCTTCCTCCTTCACTCCTCCTCCCTCCTCCCTCCTCCGTACTCTCACCATTGCTGTACCAGGCTGGTCCTTGTGTATATAGCATCCTCCCTCATCTCTCTCCCCCGTCCATGTCCATCCCTCCTCCCTTCACCCTCCACCTGCCCCCAGCCGCCAGCATGCCCCCGTCCCCTGCACACCATTCTTCCCCCGTGACAACAGCGACAGAGACCCGCTTGGGCCCATTCTTCTTCACCTTTCGACCCACCCCAGCCTCGCCCGCGGTCACTGTTCCCGGTATCCTGATCCCACTGCAATGGCCACCGTCAACCGCGAGCTCGCCAGCGCCATTCGACCCGGGCCTCCATCCCTCTGGCGCGTCGTTTGTGTTCACCGAGTTTGAAGCCGCACCACACCCTGCTGTCCGTGTCGCTGCTGCTGCGTCTGACACGAGCGTAGCGGCTGGTACCGGTGCTGGGCAGTTACTCGGTGTCCCCACACCTGGCCCTACCCCGATGGCGACTTGGGGTATCGCCAAAGCGGGGGAGCACCACACCGCCTTCCCTCGTGCTCCTCCGTGTGCGTGTACTGTGCACTGCCGGACTGGCAAGCACGATGACGACACGGTTCGTCCCCGAGATCGCAGCCGTGCAAAGGAGACTGTCGAGGTCGATGGTAACGCGACGCCGATGGCCAAGGTGCCCTCACCACTTGCGCGCAGGCGACCTTCCCTCCCTCTTGCCTGGATGGGCCAGCCAGAGGGCACCACCCCCAAGGCGTCACGCAGGGATACATCCACCAGCGAGGCGACTCCTATGAACAAGACCCTTCAGCAACTTGGCAAGCAAGACTCGGCACGTCCACAGAGCGCCGCCTCGCAACGTTCCCAGCGGTGAGTTGAACTATGGAGACAGTGCTAACTCTCATAGATCGACGCCTTCCCTCCGGCGTACACGTACCTTTTATGTTCCCTCGCGCATAAACAGCCCCGTTCCAGGCGACTACGGTGTCTCCCCTCGCGACCACTCGGGCCGCTCGTCGGCCATGTCGGCGCGCCGTCGCCAGTCCTCGGTCGATCTGTAGGTGGCACCTGGGGGTGTTGCAAGCTGACACCGACTCAGGTCACCTGTTTCTCTCAGTCGCCTTGTCCAAGAGCGTGAGGCTGCCCAGGCTGCCCAGGCGTCCCAGACTCGATCTCCCCCGGCTTGTGTAGGCGACATTACCAACCTCGTCAAGAGGTTGACCCGCGACGGCATTCCAGTGAGGAGCAGCAGCCTCCGTGCCGCGTGAGTTGAACCTTTCTGGGCACAACTGACATTTGTGGCAGTACCACTCCCGAGCGCGTTCTCTACCGCCGCGCCGTCTTCCCCAGTCCCAACCGTCAATCGAGCCCCGCCGCGCTTGGTTCTGGCACCATTAATCAGCAACAGGGGACACGTGCTCAGACCGGACCTCAAGGGAGCTGTGCTCTGGCTGTCGGCAACAACTTTACCACCTCGGAATCGCTGAACAGTCTTGGATCTATCCTTACTGTGCACTCTGAGTAGGGATCGCAACTTGACCCACCTGGTTCATCATCACTGACAACCCCAAAAAGGCCTACCCAGAACGCAGTTTTGCCTCGAGTCGAATCTGACTCTCGAGCACCCATGTCGATCGCGCCAGTCGCTCAGCGCACCCCTCAGCACATTGCCACCCTCGCCGACCTCTTGCGTACCGCGCTCGACTTGGCGACGGCATTTGGCGGTGAGCTCGGCGTCGACGTTGCCGAGTTGGACATTGCAGCAGTGGGTATGGGGTTTCCGTTGTCTGCCTAACCCACCCAGCCTGAAGTGACTGGCGAGCGTATGACCCCGCCACATGTCAGTGCCGACTCGCCCTCGCCTGTCGCAACTCCCAGGCAAGCTCTTCGGCCTCGCGCCTCTCCCGACTCTTCGGACCACTCGTACGACCGCTCTGCAATGTCATGGCACACGGACGACACGGCATGGCTGCACGCGTCCACTGCCAACGCGCCCCACATCTTTGACATCGACCACTCGTTTAGCGGCCTTTTATACACCGTCCCGGCGGGCTACGTGAATGCGGACGAGTACAGCCTCAGCAGCCACCACTCGCCGTCGGAACCACCCCTTCAGCGCAGTGGCAGTGCCCAGTCGACTCCTGTGCCCTCGCACCACTCGGCCCACTCCAGCAACCCCTTCACCCCCCGCTCCAGTCGCCACTCGAGTGAGGCTAGCCGTTCAGAATACGCGTTCGACTCGCCGCCGTACCCGTCCACCTGGGATCACGAGGACGAGTCCCCCGATAACTGGACAGACCCGGATCCGCAGACCCCGTCGCCCCACTTCCTCGAGCTCGTCCAATCGCCCGTGAACGCCCAGATGGAGATGGACGAGGGGTTGGACTCCATGGACGCCATGGACGCCATGGACGATATCCTCATGGACGACAGCCCCGGACCACCAGGACCGGCCGCCACGCCGTGGAACGTCGACTCGTACGGCTTGTTCTATCGCCACGACGACCAGTGGTCCGAGACCCGCTCGCGCGTGTCGCTCACCACCATCCCCGAGAGCCCCGAGGACCGCAGGTCGAGCCTCATGGGCCCCCGCTCGTCCATCCCCAGTTCCGCGTCGGGCAGCTCGTTCCCTGCGGTCCTGTAGGCCTGTAGCCTGTGTTGTAGAAAAGTAGCTTGTTTCTTGTCCTTTTTTAATGTACCCTTTCGTTGTCCTTGTCCTTGTCCTGTTCCATGTGGCCCGTGGGTGTGTGCAAAACGCATCATTGCACATTTTCTACAACAGTACAGTAATGCAAAGACAGACGAGACGGGCCGGCCCCGTGGGACAGGCGGCGACACAGCAGCGGCAGAATAACCCAGGAGAATAATGGACACGGAGCCAGCCGCGTGGTGTAGGAGGGGGGGGGGGGGGGGTTAAAAGACGTGGGAGGACGGGGAGAGTCCTGCGCGCCGTGTAGCTGTCCGAATGGGGTCGGTTCGCGTCCGTAAGAGTCCAGTCGCATCGCGCGCGCGCGTTAATCGATCGTGAGCCTGTGGTGCTGCCGAGTCGGGGCGTGTCCGAGCCCGCCAAAGCCTCCGGCATTGTACTGCGGCGACAGGGCCATCATCTGGTTCTTTTCCTCTTTCTTGTCCTTCTTCTTATCGGCCACATGCTCCTTGAGCCCCCTGCCGAAATTGTGCCACACGATCGAGCCGTAGACCGTGCACAGGATGATCATGACGAGCGACAGGCAGCCAAACGCCGTGAGCGATTTCGCGACCATGGAGTATTTGGCGCGGTCGGTCCAGATCCGGACGAGCTTGTAGATGAAATAGGCGGTGCCGCAGAGCAGGCCCGTGACGAACGCGACCATGCCCCACATCAGTTCGCGGCGGGCGGCGATCACGCCGAGCCCGAGCCACACGAGGAGGACGGGGAACATGATCCACGTGATGATGTACTCCGGGTCGGAATTGTTCAGGACGAGCAGCGCGAACTGGAGAGGGACGGTTAGGTTGGAACAACAAAAGCTGGATATGACCTGTCACGGGTCGCCCAGCTCCTTCCCTCGTACTCACCTGCACGCCGAATCCGGCAAAGAAGAAGAATGAAAAGCAGCAGATACACTCAAAGATCTGGTACTGCAGGTAGAAGCGGCGGATGCGCAGGTCGGCGCCCAAGAAGCGGTAGATTCGCCAACCGAATTCGCGCCAGATAAACCATGTGAGAACCACGACGGCAATCTCGGACGCGGCCACGACGGCAATGACAATGGCCGTCAGGACGTTGAGCGGGAGCGTGAGCAAGTTGTGTGTCGTCTGGGCGTTTGCCGCCGGTGTCGTGTTGCCGAGGATGTTGCGAATCTCCTCAATCTCAATACCGGCGTAGATGACAAAGAGGCCGTTGAAAATGGCCAAGCCGATGACCTGGATGGTGTTTCGCGTGCGGATGGCGTACACTGTCAGTCCCAGCTGGACGATATGCGCCGTGACGAAAATGTAAAGATAGACGGGCAAGCGGCGCTTGTTAGCCTCGAGAGCCGAGGACGTCGTGTCTGACGACTCTTCGGCGCTGTCGACCTCGAGCTGGAACCGCCACAGAATGTTGGCCTGGATGGCAATGTCGATCACGGCCTCGAGGAAGACGGTCAGGAGCAGCAGGCGACATGCCAAGGACGCAGGAATGAGCTTGCGCAGTTGTACGCCGGCCTTGTCCCCGCGGCTGAGCTTGACAGGCGCAGGCGGCACGGCGGCGACCGAGTTGCGCGACTTTTCCGGCAACGGTGGCGCAGCATGCTTTTCATCGTCGTCGTCGTCCTCGTCGTCGGACAGCACACCCTGGGTCGTGGGCGACATCAGCGCACCGTCAATGGTCATGGGGGGACCAGAAGCGGCCGCGCCAGGCGGCAGCTGGTGGGTCTGTTGCCGTGCAAACGCGCTCTGCTGTTTCTGGTTCATGCTCATCCCCGGTCGTGTGGGCGACGTTGTCGAATGACCAGCGACAGGCCCGCGCGGCGGTGATGGCCGGTTGTTGCCGCCCATGTAAGCCGGGCGCGAGTCCGAGTAGCCCGGGTACCTGCTCTGGGGAGGGTACGTGAGCTGGGGAACGTAGACGTCCTGTGACGTCCTGCTGTCGCTAATGTCGGACGCGTTTCCGTCTGGCGAGTTCTGACGGGCCGTTAGCTGGAGGACGAGCGAAAAATATAAACACAGTTGTCAACGTGGGCAACTCCAGGCCTTTGAGCTTGGGGCATGGGCCGACTTACCGGGTAGGGTTCTGGCCCAGGGCCGAGAGGGGATATCATCACGCCGAGAGGGTCCCGGACGGGCTTTCGCAACAGGCGCGGCGGGGTGAGCGACTTGGGCGACGTTGTGGGTGGGAGTGGTTGGGAAGAAGAGGAAGAGGGAGGGGTTGAACGAGACACCACGGGAGGAAGGACACCGCTGCCAGAGCTGGTGAGACCGCCAAGAACGTCGTGGGCTTGTCGAGGAGGAGTGCGCAGTGGGGTCTGCTGCGCGCGTGTGGTGGAAGTCGAAGAAGTAGGGGGCAGGGGGAAGTGTTGACGGCTAGTCGGCGGTGAAGAGATGGCTTCAATGTCGAGGTCAGCGTCTGGCCGTGGTGGGCGCGAAGGTCCAGCCTGTACGCGCGCAATGGGGCCTGAAGTGGTCGGCGACGACGACGACGAGGGCGAGGGGGCAGCGGGGCCGTCGTTGTTGACACCCAGAGCCTGAGCCTGGTCGAGATAGTCTGAGATGGTGAACCGGTGGGTATCGTCGTTCTTGGCAGCGGTCGGTTGAGTCGTTGCGCCGGATGAGTCCACCTCACTGGTGCTATAAACGTCACGGAGCTGGGACATGGCAGAGGATGACAGAGTTGGACAACTGTGAAATAGGCAACGCCGGCAGAGGCAGCACGCTACGCCTACACGCGCACCAGTGCGCACGGGGGTTCCAGGACCAGGCGGCGGCGTCGGTGGAGCCTAGCTGTTCTCGCTCGGGCCTGGGAGCGCGGGAAGACCGGAAGACAGCGATCAGACACGAGGTGGCCACGGGAGTGACAGGGAGGACACGGGGATGGGCGAGAGAGAAGGTATCGGCTGGGGTTGGGAGTGTCGCACGGGGATGTGCAGCAACAGTGCCGAGGGTGTGCGCACGACGATAGCGCGATCAAGAATAGCCTGTGTCGAGTGTCGATGTTTCGAGCAGCGACACCAGAAGCAGCAGCGACGGCGGCGGCGGCGTAGCGGGTGGCGCACGGACCGCGGGGGGAGAGGGCGATGCAATGGCCCGCGTGGACAGTAGTGTGGGAGAGAGAGGGGGAGTGATGGAGAGGGAGGTGATGACGGTGGGGAGGGATAAACGAGTGTGGAGCGACAGAGCAGGGAGAGTGGGGTGGAGTGTGCAAACGCTGCCAATGGATCCGAACGAGCGCGCCGCGTACGACGACGACGACGACGACGAGCGAGGACGCAAGGTGTGCCGTAAACGGGGGGTGGGTGGTGTTTTTCTGCCTTCCCTGGCCCGGAGACCCCCAGATCTGTGTCGCAACAATTCCTCTCTGCACACCGCGTCGCCCCCCGCCCCCGTGTACCCGTGTCTTTAACGCGTCTTGCATTCCTCTGGCCTCTTTATGCTGGACATCATGCATATGTCTTTCCGTGAGTGTTGGTGTTGCCATGTTGTGTTCCTGCCGACGAAACAACAAACAGCGGCAACATCGAACATGCTGCCGCCCTCCCTCCCCTCCCGCGCGCAGCCCCCTCCATATAACCCCCGTTGCTGGTCTGTCTCGCTTGACGGCCCGCGTTTTCCAGTCGTCACGATGCGATTAAGTTCTTCTGCAGCAGCTCTTCCCGCCTGTTCTGGACTGCCAGCTGTATCCAAGGCTCACTGCGCACGTCGCAGTAATCGCGCCAGTATGCTGCGAGTATCTTCACAACCGCTTCTTCATCATGCTGCTATAAACCATCTCTCACAGACACTCAAAAGTGCGAGACCGCATCCTACTGCCTCTGCCGCCACTGCCCCACTGTGCTCATTTTCTCCTCCTGCTCACTTGCTCACAGGAGGGATCCCGCCGCCGTCCTTCCATCCCTGCTCGACTCCCTCGGCGCGCTTCTGGTTCAGCCACTCGTACACCACTCTGCAGAACGTGTGTCAGCGCATGCCAAGTCATACCAAGTCTCTCTTCATCGACACAGGCCCTGTGTCTACACTGCCCCCCGGCCAGCAAACCACCACCCTGTATTCCACATTCTCGGGACATTGCTGATCGAGTTCAGGCTCATCCCGCATACCCCGGAGCGCGTGGACATGGGTTATGGATCATGGATCATGGACCTTGCAAAGCCGACGGAGGCAGCACAGTTCATGTTCGCTCGTCCGGCGGGTGGCCGCAGGAGAAAGACTGCGCAAGGAGGCACGCGCTGCACGCTCGCACAGGTCTCCGTCTCCGGCGACTGCCCAGTTCCTCTCGAATGCGTGTACCGGACCCACCACTGCTGGACGCTCCCAGCAGCTCCCAAAGCCCACAGTCCAATCGCTACACACGGCTCCTTCCCTCCTACTTTCTGTTTTCTGGCTTGGTACTCACGAAAAGTCCTTGGACGCCATCGATCCGTCGCCCTCGGCGCACACGGCATCGTAGACGCTCTTGGCCGCCCACGTCAGGGGTGTCGGGAGCGAGTGGACGTGCGCGGCAGTGAGCGCGAGTCCGACGTCCTGCGCACAGAGGTCAGTGGTCATGTACGAGAGGAGAGTGGGAGGTGTGGCGGTGACTGAGGCAAAGTGGGGACACGTTTCCTCGCTGCTCGTGGCGGCGGTGTTTGTACATGGCGAGCAAGACCCCCCGCCCACAGCTGCCGTTTGACTCACCTTGAGCATGAGCTTGGCCTGGAAACCGCCGCTGTAGCCGCGCGAACCGGGCGAGCCATCGACCTCGGGCAGGGGCGAGTTGACCTTGGACGACCACGACTGGGCTGTACCAAACGTCAGCCTGGACTTTGGGACAGTCTTCCTGCTATCGCATCACCCACCGAAGACGTGTTGAAGATACTGTCCATGAGCTTGGGTCAATGTCGAGGGCCTTTCCGAGCGCGAGACCCTCGGCAAGGGCGATCTGGTTGATGGCCAGGACGAGGCTGCGTGGGTCAGATACAATGCACGGTGCAACACCCACTTGTTCGCCACCTTGATGCCCACGCCGGCCCGTTACCGCCACACGCAATCACGCCTCCGG